CTTTGACCTTGCTGATCCCTAACCCGAGTGTGTCGTCGTATTTCTCATTTTTGTAAATAGTATTTACTGTCTTTATTATCCTCCTGCCAAAGGGTCTCTTTACAAGTGTTCTCTGAATCTGGAGCTTAATTTATTACACTAAGACAATTATCATGTAGAAACTTTATTGATCAGAAGAGACCTTTATTGAGCAACGTATACCGGATCGTCCAGCCAAAGTGTAAGTGAGGTAATGTATCATGCTTTGTTTCATGAAAAGTCCAAGTTGACAAATCCATACTGTCTTTCTAGCGCGATGAATCGCATCTTTTTCTTAGAGCCGAAAACAACAATAATCACTCATTTGGGCACTGTGGGTAATTTCTTTTTGCTCCTGTCTTCCATCCTTATCTCGAGGCACAAGATGTTCTGGATTTCTATGACATCAGCCTCGCGTTTCGGAAGAAGGACTCCACGTTGGTCCAGCAATATATTTTTTCTGAATGGGCGCAACAACGACCTACCTCCGACCCTTTATGGCATCTGGTGATCAACTATGCTCAAGTCGAGGCTTTCTAGAGGAGGTTAGGTCAGCAAAACGAAGACACATGCTTGCATGATTATTTCATGCCTGTTTTCAGTTGTCTCCAGCGGCCAGGACCCACCCGGCACCTGTAAATGCCATGTCCTCTGTATATAGTTAATAAAGATGAAAGTGAGTTGAAGGTCTTTCCCTTGCCGCATTGTATCCCGTCACACTTGTTCCTGCCTTTTTGATTGCAAGCGCTCTGATCTATCCGTGCAAGGTAGGGGCCCTGAGAATCGGTGGGAAATGGGATGCCTTCTTTAATGGAGCAAGTATGCAGCGTTTATCTAGCTAATTACTATACGCATACGTGGACTTCATGGTTGATAGACAATGCCTGGAGGCGTTGAGCATTCTCGTTGCTCAAGGAAATGGTAGCAAGCAATACTTAATGGGTGTGCTAAGTGACGATATCTCCACTCATTTGACGCAAAGAGATCGTTCCAGTCCTTGCAAACCTTTCACAAATTGAGTTCACAAAAAGAGGAATGTCGAAGGATGTAGTACAAGGAATATGGGAGGAGAGCGCGAGAAAGTGCGAAAGGAATGCGAGAGAGAGTAAGAGAGTGTGTGCGATAGTGCAGGAGAGTGCAGGAGGTGTGAGGGAGTGCAAGAGAAAAGGTCGAGAAAGTGGGGAAAAGCTAAACATAGTCTCCATCCACATATAATATCCATAGTCTGGAGTAGTTTCCCCTGTCCGTAGCCCCTGACTAGGAATTATAGCCATAGTCCGCGACTCTGAGCAGTATCCGTACTCCCAGAGTGCATATACTACCCACAATCAACGAGTACATATGATATCCATAATTTTGCGTAATACCGTCCTATTCGTACTCTCTAGTCAAGTATTATTCATAATATCCGGTCGAGTGCTATTCGTACTCTGCGGTTAACTGGTCATCCATTGTAAGAGCTGCATATTTTCACGGCGAGCGCAGCACATTTTTTTTTTTTTTGTGTTAGGCAAAACGCGTCTACGTGACCGATTTATTCAAACTGTCCTTCCGGGCTTGTAAATGACCAGAACGAGCATGCTTGGTCTCTCTTTCCAGCACTTCATACATGTGAGCGATAACACAGGAGAAAAAAAAGTGACAGATTGGTAAGGCAGAGAACGAGAGAATGACGCTTGCTATGACAGCAGAATATAACGCGCCTGCGCGTGATTGACACAGGATCATGTCTTTTAAACCTCACTATGCAGTTCCACCATAATTTATAGAAGAATAGCCAGGGTCGGAGGTAAGATCAACGGCAAGGTAGATGGCAATTATTTGCGGAGGTAGACCTGGAAGTGGAGTTGAAGATGGAGTTGAAGGCAGAACTGGAGGTGGCAATGAAAGCGACTGTGGTTTGAGTGGTGGAAAGCGGGAAGAATGGCAATAGAGAGATAGAGAGATAGAGGGAGTGGGAACATTGGCTATGGACTGTGGAGAATGGCGAGGATGAGGAGGAGCAACACGCCTCGAGACCAGCGAATGCGAGGTAGCGACATTTATGGTTGACGCATGGACCAGAACACGGCCCATAAAACGCGGACATATTCGCTGCTACGCTGTGTCCGCCCCATCGCTCAATGCCAGGTCTGCTGTATAAAGAGTACCCGGGTTTATTTTAAATACAACTTCTTGCGGGCAACACACGAGTCGCTCGTTTCGATAGGGAATAGAGAGAGAGATTTGAAGAGAGTAATAGTTGAAGGGTGACTACGGGATGATAATATGACAATCAGTCGAACAACCTCAGTAGCAGGCACTTCTGTTGCCACCAATATTTATATCACGCTGTTAACAAGCATCAGGGATCGTTGAGTGAAAGATCGACTAGGGTACGAGGAATGGATTAGTTCCATCCACAGAACTGAGCATACCAAGCAACATTGCATCATTTGTTTGATTGTGCACGACTATGTTTATTTGGCTTCAGGATACCTGTTTACTATAGTACCTGGGGCCTGAAACCCTCCAAAGTAGCCCGCATTGAACCCATGCGACTGATATTTGCCACCAATTCTTTTTTGGCGAGGCGGACGTATCACGTGCGTTCTAGAGCCTTTTGGGTTCAGCCTACAAACTCGCTGGTTGCTGCCCATTCCTCCCTCCATTCAACAGCGCCCAACTGCCATGATCGACAACGCCGAACTGATCAAGCAAGGAGCTGAAGCAGTACGTTTTCTCCTATCGACCAGGAAAGCAGGAAAAAACGCACAGGAGAACCCCTAATTGATACGACTCGATCTCGGTTTTCGATGCTATTTTTTTCTGTATTGTACTGGAGAATAGAAGGTCTATTTGACTCCGTACCTCCAGCGCAAGGCTATTATTAAGGAGAGATTCCCCAAAACATACCGGCACCCAACTCTAGACAAGAAACTGACTTCTCGTAGAGTCATCCAGGTCCGTCCTCCAGTACTAAATATCTAACTCGCCATCCAAATTCAGCTCAAGAAAACTAAACTGACAGTGAAAACTGATCTTAACATCAACAACACACAGGAAGCGCGATGCCTAAACCGTTGTCAAAAGGCTCAGATCGATACCCCGACTGTCTACTTGGTCGACGTTGACCGCTCACTGATCTACATGGAACATATCGAAGGCTGCTCCGTCCGCGAGTTCCTCGTCACAGCCGAAGGACAGGTTCCCGAACGACAAACAGCTCTGGCAGGAGAGATCGGTCGAGCCCTGGGGCTGATGCACAACATCGATGTTGTCCACGGAGACTTGACAACCTCGAACCTCTTGATGCGAGAGGAGTCCGGATCCGTAGTTTTGATCGATTTTGGATTGAGCTATGTCAGTCAGTTGATTGAGGATAAGGCTGTAGACCTCTATGTACTCGAGCGTGCCTTTATAAGTACCCATCCTAATACAGAAGTCATGGTAAGAGGTGCTTGGTGGGAAGGAAGGAGCGTGATAATTGACAGCTTTTTTTTTTTCCTTGTCGCGCTTCTGGCAGAGGTCGTGGTGTTGACATGGAGAATTGATATTCAATCGCCCTTTCTTTTTTTTTTTTTTTTTTTTTTTTTTGTAGTTCGCCCAGATCATCGAGGCCTACGGTAAGAGCTGTAAGGCATCCAAGCAAATCCTCAAGAAACTAGAAGATGGTAAATGCACCCCTCTCGATTTTGCTGTCAAATGTTGCGCAGTATTTCCTGGCATGAACTATATCAACTCTAATAACCCATCCCTTGTTCATCATTCAACTTGCGATAGTACGTCTGAGAGGCCGCAAGCGTAGCATGCTTGGTTAATTCCAGAAAGCAAAGAAAAGAAAAGAAAATAATAAAGTGCAATTCAGGCGATACATCGGCGTGTATTTTATTGTACAATCGAGTCGTGGAAGAGGAGAATGTTGAGTATGAGGTCACCATGGAAGCCGGGAGGGGTCAATATATCGAGGGTAATTGGTCAAAGCCGAATGCAACAGGAGCCATCGCTCAGGGTGAAGACTTCCAGAATAATAGCTAGGCGCTCTTGTCTTCCTGAAAAATCCTGCCTCACTTTATCTTTCTCCGTTCATCGTCCTGATCCAAAAGTCCCGAGTTGACCGAAGCATTTTCCCTTTATGCTTCCGTTCCTTTAAAGAGAGTGATCCACTGGGTTGTGGGGTCTGATCTTGCTGTGCCTTGGTTGCAACAGCGGGTGCAGCTGTGCCAGATACGTGATAGCCCACCTAGAAAGAGTAAAAGTAGTCAGTTGTGAGTACCACTTGCCATCGCGCGTGTGATTAAGATCACAAGAGATAGCCCCCTAGAAACCCCAACGCTGCGTATGTCCAGCAAGCGCGAGATGAGTGAGGTCCTTACATGAGGTAGCAGGAAACCAACGTCATGATCAACGCGGTGCGAATGACACTATATGGTTATAAGAGTAAACGTATTCGTTAGTAAAGCCGCAACTCGCGAGGTCAGAGAAGGAAGCCGGGTCCTTCAACACTGGCATCAGAGTTTTGTTGACAGGCAGGGGATGGTTACGTTTGGTTGGGTCCACGAGGGGCAAAGAGGTACGAGGCGGCGGACAAGGCGATGACCACGGCGAGAACAAAAAAGATTAGGAGGCCACCCATTGTTTGTTGTTGTTATGGGGGAATGGGGGTGGAGTTGGCTGTCAAGAGAAGGATGAAGGGACGAGGTGTCAGTCAGGCAGGCACATTGCACACTCTCCTTTTTTCAGTTCAGGGCTTGCCGTGACTTGAACGCTGCCCCAAGGAGGGTCAGAGCCAAAGAAAGCATCGTCACAGAAGGGTCAATTAGTGCACAGAGTAAAGCGATCTTGTTTTTTTTTTTTTAACCTATTCAAAGGATCAACTCAACAACAAGCAAAGGAAGAATCAGCTTGACACCAAAACGATCGCTCAAGACCAAAAGGACTCACAGGAACACAGAAACATACACCTCTACTACTCGACATTTATACCATCACATATCATTATCACATCATGTCAAGGAGGAAACAAGCACCTAGCGACATTCTGACTGAGGTCCCAGAGCTCGAGGAGGGCCAGCGTTTCGCAAGAGTGCTCGGTAGTAGAGGCAAGAACGTCCACGAGGTCCAATTCCTAGAGGGTCAGGAGCTCCTCGTCAACCTGCCTCCCAAGTTCAGGAGTCTTGTCTGGGTGAAGCGAGGTCAGTCAGTCAATAAGTTTCTTTAACATCTCTCTGCTAGGGAATACGGAGTCTACTTTGGACAATCCTTGAGAGAACCATGACTAGCAATATTTCAACAGCGAACTAAATCCATACGCCTCTTTTCGCGTTCGTTACCATACCAACAGGAAGCTACGTCATTATCCAACCAGCAGAAGAAGAGGACAAGACCAAAGTCGAAGGAGACATTGTAGCAGTCCTTTTCCCTGACCACATCAAGCAGTACAGGCAACAGGGGATCTGGCCATTTGAGGATCAACTCACAAACAGTACAAACAATGGTTTGGGCGACTCTGATGATGAAGACGGAAGTGACGACAGCGACGACGATCTGTTTGTGAACAACAACCGAGTTATCATTGAGGAGACGGACAGCGAAAGTGAAAGTGAGGAAGAAAGCGAAGAAGACGACGACGGCGAGGAGGGACAGAAAAAATAGACATTGGCTCAAAGTTGACACAAATCATTTATAGACACATCCAGCATTATAATATAATACATCTTCCTCTTCAGGCATTTGTTTTGCATTGATTTTTTTGACTTTTTTTGGCTGAAGTCTACAATGATTAAATATGTAAATAGCGCGACGATGTACGAGGTCTATTGGTTATGCGTGATCAACAGCGCCTCATCGTCACCCTGGGCTGATGTGAAAAGGCCGGTACCGTACTTCTGATATCGTCAAAGAACGGGTGTAGTAGAGCTATCGGTAGTGAAGAAGACGAAATCCGATGTGAACATGTATTTTGAGATAGTGATGGTACCTGAGACATCATACAAATTATTATTTTTTTATATGTGCTTCGCCCAACTGAGCTCACAAACTTACCTCGCTTGGCAGAGATTCTTTTTGCTGGATCGTATTCAAGCATCTGAGAAAGCAGATTAATTCCATCCTTGCTCAACTGTGGTACTATTTGCCTGAGTGGTTTGGGCTTCCAATCCGGGAAAGTCGATTTCCAGTCCTTTAGACCCTCAACGCCTGGCCAAATTGATTCCGACGGTGTTCCTCGCAAGTTGAAAATCTTGAATAGTTCATCAATCTCGGAGTCGCCTAGTAGTTTGCGCATTGAGAATAAAAGCAACGGGGGGCACGGCGCGCATTAGCTAGCAAGCGAGCAGACCAGTTCAAACAACGTAATGCGTTTTGTTCAATAAGCTGGCGACTTGCCTGGAAAAAGCGGTTTCTTGGTGATGGTTTCTACAAAGATGCATCCGACACTCCACATATCAACAGCAGTCGAGTAATGTCGTGAGCCCATCAGAATCTCAGGCGCGCGGTACCACAGCGTCACAACCTCGTGCGTATATGTCCTTAGGGGAATGCCAAACGCACGCGCCAGTCCGAAATCCGCAAGCTTGAGTGTCCTATGTTCGTCGATTAGCAGATTCTGAGGCTTGAGATCGCGATGGAGGATACGGCGTGAATGGCAAAATTCCACTCCACGAAGCAGTTGATAGAGAAAGTCCTGTCGTGACACGAAAAGGCGAGGAAATGCATTAATCAGAGCAGTCGAGTGATAGCAACCATTAGTTCCTGAAAATAGTTCATGACTGATGGTCTATATCCGATTGAAGGAATACCTTGACCTGGTCCATTGGCAATCCTGCTCCTGTTGTCGTAGGCAGAATATCCATGTATTTTTTCAAGTCCAGATCCAGGAACTCGAAAACTAGGTACAGCTTGGTCTCGTCGTGAATGATATCGAGCAACCTATTTTGGCAGATATTTCATTTGTACAAAGAAGTCTTAGAAAGGTGTCTATTGTTGTTGTTTCTATTTCGAGGAAATGTGGTCAAAACAAAGAGTCGCATTGTTCATGCGCATGTACCCGCAGAACGAGGAAATACGATCCAGGCTTGATGACTTACTGCACAACATTAACATGCTTGAGTTCCTTCAGCAGTGAAATCTCCCTGATGGCAGTGCTGGGTACGCCTATACATCAGACCATAGCGCCAGTTAGTTTAAAATTAACGACCTCAGCATCGATGTGAACCGTGAGGGAGGGACCTTAGTACCTTCGTCCTCGTTCTCCAGGCGGATCTTTTTCAGAGCAACGATCCTTCCTGAAACTTTGTGGCTACAGAAAACAGTAGCAACAAAAGATTCTGGGTTGTTAAGGTGGGGTGTGCATAGTGGTGCTCGTGTCGTCGCACACATTCCGCGATTCCATTGGGCGCCATTCCATTCTCATTGAATACGAACTCACGTTGCTTTGTAGACGACTCCGTATGTTCCTTCTCCAATTTTCTCCATCTTTTGGTAGCCTTCTAGAACCAGCTCCTTGTCCTTGTCCTTGTCCTTGTCCTTCTCCTCCTCCTCTTCCTTCTTCACTTTCACATTCCCTTTGTCATCCTCCTCCTTCTTCACTTTCACATTCTCTTTGTCATCCTCCTCCTTCTTCACAAGGAGCACATTCTCTATTGGTTCCTGCTTCACGGCCACGCTCTCCATAATAACCGCCTCTACTTTCTCGACTTTGACGACAACAGTTTTATCGGTGGGCATAGTGGTGTTAGTTTTGAATACGCGGTTATAACAGGAGTAAAATATGTAGAGGAGTTGCGGTTCGGGAAATGTGAATGGGCAGTGGTCCTGTCAACGCGCGCTCTTGTGTTATCATTTGAAAAGGCAGTCTCCATTTTTATTTCTATACTAGATAATTCCTTTAGATCGCTCTTTCGCAGTTCCTAGGTCGATTTACAGATCCTTCTTCGTCGACGACTTGCTGTTCTTCTTGCTGCTCTTGGCAGGGGCAGCAGTCTTGGCAGCTGCACGCTCCTCCTCGCGCTTGCTGTAGATTTTGGTCGTGAAAGGACTATTTGATGTGCAATTGAAAGGAAGCAGCATAAATCGCCTGTCAATACTCTATTGAGATGAACAAACGCATCCTTATTGACCTCCGTGTGCATTTGATCAGTAAATTTACCCTTCAAATTTCAAGGCGATGCGGTAGACAAAGTGGACAATGCATGACAAGTAAATTCCGGCAGGGCTCAAGGACCTAAGCATTGACAACAACAGTCGTGTTAGTTAGCTATTCATATCACACGTTCATGTCCGTCGATGGTCAAACAGGCAATTGCTGATTATTCTACGAACCAAATGGATGTCCCGAGGAAGATCATCACGGTGCCGTTGTACATAGGGTTCTCGTTGACGTTGAAAGGGAACGAGGTAACGCGCTCGTCCATCAAGATGCCAAAGTAATCGCCTAATAGAATATCAAGCAAAGAGCACAGATCATGGTATTAGCATCATGTTATGGCTCCGCAGACCATTCAATTGCTCTCACAGTCCTGGTTCCTAACAATTGTCCTGAAAACGGTGTTCATACCCAAATAAGTGCCGGTGACTCCGAGGACCCACATGGAAGAGAGGACAAAGATGTTGCCGACAGCGAACAGAAGCACGCCCAAGGCCTGGATAGGGAGCTGATCCATGCACTTTGCCTGAGGCTGGTGATCAATTGCATTCTTAAAGCTGTTAAGAAAGGACAGATCAGATATGGTCTCAGGTTAATTAGTCTGTCGGAACAATAAAGTCTTTGTATACACGTACTTCATAGTGTACGCGCTTACATTGCATCGCGGATCAAACCGAGGGTGAAGATGGTGGCGGCCAAGGCGTAGCATCCGTAGAGTCCATTGCCGTTAAATATGCGCGTGATGAACTTTGAGCGATACTCTGTAGATGATAGATAGAATCTTGATGTTAACGACGACTTTTCTTTGCTTCTTTCGAGACGCTGCAAGCCGTTGAAGGGGGATCAGAAAGAAGCGAACCTTTTCTGGCGACGATGTTCCAAAAGGTGGGGTTGAAGATGATTGATGCGACTGAGAACCACATGCGCTTGTCGTTCCAGTCGACGCTGAGTCGCGAGTCGTTGTAGCACTGCAGAATGTCCATGGCGAAAAAAAACAGGTTCTAGGAATCAGAAGCGAGGATCAGGAAGGGGGATGAAGGGAAGGAAGAGGAGAGAAGCAGAGGAGAGTGCGATCGTTATATTTATTCCAACGGAAGGAAGCACGTTCACAGACACAGGCCCTCCCTCCCTCCCCCAAAAAAGTTGATTCAATTGAACTGAATACACGCAAACCCCCAGGATCTGAGAAGAAGCACCGTTCCCGCGTGCACAATTAGACAGGCACACAATCACTCCATGTGCTGTCACGTGCGGGAACATGGATCGCACTTGGGGAGGTGGGGAGACAGCACAGATCCTGGGGATGCACTGGAAGAACACTGGAGACCAACTAGCCAATCATTTCTCGGAGCCTTGTTGACGTGTCAATAATGGGTCTCGATCCCGCCCAATATGTCTGTGCGAAAAGGATTCCGAGGGTGCGAATTGGTTTGCCACCAATCTCCAACTGGACTCAGTTCCCATAACCGCCTAGGTGCCTGCGTAAGTGCCTGCTTACCTGCGGGAGGAGATGTGAAGAAGACTCCCCAGTCTTTCAACGGCTAGACCCTGAAGAGTGCATTCGATACACGAAACAGGTATGCGCAAGGAACTGCTGCTCCTGTGGAATGTGTTTCGTGTACCTCGTTTTTGTGCTAGCCCTTCGAGGGAATACGATCGAGTGGGTGATTGTCTGATTGTTACACAAACCTGTCGTTATTTATAAACTTTCTGAAGACCCATTTTATATAGTCGTCGAAGCCAGCACCCAAGGCTTCGTCCCAACCTATGACCAACTCGCTCGCAATTTGTTGGTCGATTCTCTCTTTGCGTCGCTCCTTCTTCTGACGTCGGTCGCGATCTAAAACGAAAGTATAAACGAGTGCCTTGACTTTTCTTATGGTTCATGACATACAGAGGTTGGCCATACCTTGGTAACGTTTGAATGTCATTTGAAATTGATGACCAGTAATGGTGATTCTAAGAACGCGCTCTATGAAGAAACAATCAAGGCTGGTATAAGTAAATCAGTGCCTGCAAAGTCGATGTCGTGCTCTGTTTTGCGGAAAGTCGTGTCTGGGCTGAGTTCTTGGGATGATGAAATTTTGGATGAGGATAAAAAATGGTTTTTGAGAAAAACGCTCGCGGCTAGTGTAAGCAAACTGGGGCTTGAGAAGACAACGGCATGCTCCGATGCGCAAAAAGCTGATTCGGCAGCGAGATTCAGGGGCGATGAAGAAAAAATAACAAAACTTGTATAGCCGGATGATAGCATTCGTATTGGGGAGCGTTTTTTTACCACGAACAATCTAACTATCGCTGGCAGGTCTCTATAGATTGGCCCCCCAACCCAACCCAAAAATCTAATAAAAGAGCCTCTTTCTTTGTTCATACCTTTTTCATTAAGGACTTGACCCTGCACACCTTTTTCTGTTTCAGTCGTCCTCTACTTCTCCTCTCTTTCCCTCGCCCGCAACTTGACGCTCAACCACACAAGAACCCTTCGCCCACATCAGCTCTGACCGTGCATGTCGGTCCTCCATGGGAGAAATGTCGTCTTGCATCTTGCAAGACAGGCATGCATGCATTCAAACCAACCACTCCAGAACATCCACCAACTTCAGCTCGGCTTTTTGGCTAGGGCACGGACATTGGGCTACAATCAGTTGCACACATCCCCTATCTCCCATAAAGTGCTACCTTCAACTGCCTCAACACAGCCAATTCGATCAACTGCGCTCAGCGAATTCAGAGCAGGAGGAACGACTTTTTTCAATCGGACCGGGACGCGGACTCAAATCCGATCCAAGAGTGCGACAGCGAACGACATTCCTCGGGCACAAGGCCTATTTAACACTCCAGGATCACTCAGACAGCGAATCAGACAAGGATTCTGGGTCGGACTCGGTGTTGGCACTGTGATCTCGGCTGTGGGCATTGCCTGGAGCCCTTCTTACCACGAACAGGCGACCCTTTACAGCGCAGCGCTCTTTCGATCGCTGGCGACCTTTGTCACAGGGTACAGAACTATAACGATTCGTCCCTGAAAAGGAAACTCAGATTGAGGTTCAGTCGCTCACGATTGGTGTGAGATGTTTAGTTGTACTGACAGTTGCACTTTATCATTGCGTGTCGTAGATGCTTATGTATGGCGGATTACAAGATTCTGCATTTGCGATATGCCTCAGTCGGCTACACTTCTGATACCTACAAGGCAGAACGCAAGGTCGTACATCAGCGCTGTGCTGACAGGTTGCTGCGTTTGTGTCGTCTCAACACCGGAATCTACTGCAAGGCTGGACAGCATGTTGGTATGTTGTGAACCACTTGCGATCTGTGTGAGCCTCAGTTTCAGGGCATCGCATGTTCAGGGAGACATGTTACTGATCTCTTTTTTCTATGCTCCGTTTTACTTAGCCTCTTTGACCTATATTGTCCCGCCGGAATATACTAATACGTTGTCAGTATTGCAGGATCGGGCACCATTCAAAGGCATGAAGGAAGTTGAGCAGGTCTTTTTAGAGGAATTTGGCCAACGTCCGCTTGATTTGTTTCGGGAGTTTGATCCAGTACCTCTGGCAGCTGCCAGTTTAGCCCAGGTCCACCGAGGTTTGTTCTCTGAATGGATCACGATGTCTCTCTGCTCGATGGTCTAATTTGATGAGACTGAACCATCCATCTTTACAACTCTACTTTTATTTAGCGGTAACAATGGACGGGAGGTTGGCGGCGGTCAAAGTGCAGTACATCAACGTGTCTCGCCTTTTCACAAGTACGTAGTAACCATGCGACAATGTAACGTTCTTTGACATCTCCTAGATAATGTTATACTAAGCGTCTCTCTTCCTATGAATGAATAGCCGATATGTGGACTATGCAGACGCTTTCAAATATGGTGGGGTTTTTGTTCCCCGAGTTTGAACTTGGCTGGATCGTCGAAGAGTTCCGAGATAATCTCACGTCTGAATTTGACTTTACGAACGAGGCGAGGTATAAACAAACATGCGCCTGGGTTTTTGAGTCTACTTTATGATGTGCGGGGAGGCAAGGATTACTGACCAAATGATTGTAACGTTTTCGTGCACAGGAACGGCGAAGCAACAAAGGAGCGGTTCAAAAAGCGATCTGATTTTTACGTGCCTGAAATCTTCTGGGACCTTTCATCCAAAAAGATCTTGACCATGGAGTTCATAAAGGGCATCAAGGTCAATGATGTCGAAGGACTTCAGAAAATGGATATTTCTCCAAAATGGGTTCGGACGACCTTGCTCGAAGTATTTGCGGAGATGATTTTTCAGCATGGTGTCCTGCACTGCGATCCTCATGTGAGTCAATCCTCCAGTCCATGTCAACATATCGTGTTGTTACATTTTTTACTCGTGGATCACTAATTATTTTATTATTATTTTGTGCCATCTGTGTCAATATTAGGCTGGTAATATCTTGATCTCAAAGGACGAGAACACAGGAAAATGTCGCTTTGTTCTACTGGATCATGGGCTCTATCGCACTATGGACGACAATTTTCGGTACAATTATTGTCTGCTTTGGCGGGCCTTGATCCTCAATGATCACAAGTTACTTCATAGCGCTTCGACGACCATTGGCATCCCCGAGCAATACATTGGCTTCATCCCCCTCATCTTTATCCAGCGACCTGCGAACTCGGGACAGAAGATTGGTGAGGGCATGACGGCGGAACAAAAGAAGGAACTCAGGTCGTCGATGAAGAATGTGACCATGGCGGAGGTATTTGAGTTCCTCGAGGTCTTGCCCCGTGACATGCTGTTGATCTTCAGGACCATCAATCTCACGCGCGGTATCCATCAGCAATTGGGCGGAGAAAACGTTGAGCGGTTCCACATCAATGCCATGTATGCGACTAAGGGCGTCTGGTCCGAGACTCGGGAGGAGGAGCAACAGCGACGGTCGAAGCGCGAACAGCGGAGATTAAGCCGACTGAATGGCCGATGGGGCTGGCTGGCATCGTGGTGGTATGGAATTGAGGACGAGAAGGACGATAACAGCTCAGAGGCGACTCGGGCGCATGGCAGGCAGCTCGGACTGGGACCGAAGAATCGTTGGTACCTGTTTGGAGACACACCGACGCTGTATCGTAGTCTCGGATATCTGTGGGACAGCTTTGGGATGCGGTGGAGACTTTGGGCAGTCGAGGGGCTCCTGCGGTTGTGGCTCTGGTGGGTCGGCACGGATGTTGCCAAGGCTATCAACTAGACGCATATTGGATATAGAGAAATGCCCTATAGACGAGTTTATTACACCCATAAATTATTCGTTTTGCTATGCTTGTCATGTATGCTGCCTCGATTTGATTTTTATTCGAGCTATTTACTTCTTAATCCAGACGCAAGCAGTGCTTTGACGCACTTTTACATTAAGGTTATTGGACCCTTTTTTCCGAGCTGCATCTCATAATCTCATACATGCCAAGCTAGCTTCGCAAGTCCAAAAGAGGTATGCGCTCATTTTTTGTCTCTTCTGTTCTTCAACTCGCTCCTCTCATTCATCACACACTCACTCGCACCCTCACTCACACACCCTCACTTTCTCTTTTCTCCATTGCAGCCAACACCATGAGCATCATCTACGCACTCGTCGCAAGGAGAACCGTTATCCTTGCCGAATACACCAACTCGACAGGAAACTTCACCACAGGTACTTTTATACACACTCAACAACAAGCAGCCGACAACTAAGCTGCAGGGTTAAAACGGAGGAGTTGTTTGCTTGGTCGGCTTGCACTCTGGCTGCTGTTTCTAACCAGAGCACCGTTCACTTGGTCTTGGCCTTGGCATTCACCTGGGATGTAGTCACTGAGGCCATTCTCGAAAAGATCCCTCCCAACAACTCCAAACTCACATATGTCTACGACAGGTAAGCGGATTGCCTTTACTACAATGCAGCTATCTGCCGCCCACAGATGAATATGAAAGGAGGGGAGGTGCAAGAGGTTTGGATGCAAGTCTTAATAACCTTCATTTGGCCCTTGTCCACCTGTCCACTATTCACTTATCCACGTTACTAACACCGCAAACTCTCCCCCTCTTTCCCCACTCTCCCTCTACCCGCCTGCGATCCTTCTTTTTTTTTTTTTTTGTACAGATATCTGTTTCATTACATCTGTGAGGATGGACTGACATACATGTGCATGGCAGACGACACATTTGGACGTCGGATCCCCTTCGCGTTCTTGCAGGATATCAAGACGCGGTTCTTGACACAGTATGGGCGGGAAAGGGCCCTCAATGCTCTTGTGCCCTATGCTATGAATGAGTTCTCAAGGACAATTGCCAAACAGATGGTAGGTGTGCAGTCATTCGGATCTTCCTCTTCCCGCCATCTGAACCGTTTGGGCTTATCTAACATGATCCCTCGTTTGTCAATGTTGAATGATATGGTTTTTTTTAGGATTATTTCTCGACAAATCCGGAGGCTGATAGGATCAAACAGGTTCAAGGGGAGATTGAGCAGGTCAAGGATGTCATGGTGCACAATATTGGTGAGTGCAATACATTCACACATACACAACACCCAGTCGTATAAAAAAAAAAAAGGGAGTACGGACTCCCATCGCGTGGACATCAACAACCAAACCCAGCTTGGAAATGATGTTTAGTCGCTACACCACGATCACCGGATCATCGACCAAGTGACCGACTGACTGACTACTGACTGAAAACCATATTATCGCCTCTCTTTTTATTCGAACTCCGGATCGTTTGGATATCGTATAGAGCGCGTACTGGAGCGCGGTGAGCGCATTGAGCTTCTCGTAGACAAGACTGACAACCTGAACCAGCAGGCCTATGCATTCAAGAAGCGGAGTACTACACTCAAGGTATAGCACAAACGGGACCAACGGATGACACGGAGATAATAGGAGGATGTTCATCAGGAGGAGTATGCGAGATCATGGCTAACGCCGATCTTTTTTCTCCTTTATTTATTATTTTAATTATTTGCAGAGAGCCATGTGGTGGAAGAATACAAAGCTGATGATCCTCCTGACCGGCGTAATTATCGTAAGTGATATCATTTCGGTGCTATGCCGTACAGGATTCTCGACTCTTTGCAATCTACCTTTTTCACTGTCTTTAACGCACCCTTTTTTTTTTTCTTTTTTTCTTTTATCTCTATCTCGATATCCAATAGTTCCTCATCTACCTCATCATCTGCGCTGCCTGTGGGTTCCCATTCTGGTCGTCCTGTCGCGGATAGATCTGCCTAGTGATACATTCACAGTGCCAATTGATACCCGCTGATCTCTTCTTGTTATCTTGCCATGCATATTCTTCCCTGCCCTGGATTACGATCACTGGTGTCGGCACAAGATTGTTCAAGTCATCGATAATAAAACCTTTCTTTATTTTGTAAAATGCTGCAACAGTCCCTGTAAAAAAATATATAGCGTCCTTTAAAGCACCGCTGCCATGGTCGTGGTCGTGTGGCGCGCCATTTAACCCTGGCGTACCATTTAACCCTGTCGTTGCCTTGGTGCGCAACGGATAATATCGTCGACTCTCAGGATCATCTCCGCAGCCTCCGATGCACTCAATAGTACCTGGCGCTTCAACTTGAACGACTCTGTGATGCCCAACTCGCGCATGTCACCAACGATGCCCTGGTCCATATCGAGACCGTGGGTGCTGTTACCCTCATAGTGCGAAGCCCTCAACTTGGCAACCAAATCAGCACTGTCGTATCCACCGTTGTCAGCCAGAATCGTAGGCATCTGACGGAGAGCGCGCGAAAAGGCCTCAATGGCAGCCTGCTGCTTACCAGCAGTCTTGGCCGCAACCTCATCCACAGCCTTGGACATCAACACCTCTGAGCAGCCACCACCAAGAACTGTCCTGGGCTCCTGAGTTGTCTGTGAGAGAACACTGAGAGCATCATGAAGAGAACGCTCAGATTCATCCAAAAGCTGGTGGGTCGCTCCACGAAGAACAATGGTGCAGGCCTCGCCGGCAGCAACGCCCGAGAATTTGATCAACTATGTTGTAATAAGGAAGGTAGTAATCAAAAGCAGCACAGGATAGTTAGTTCTTCAGTCTTAGGACGCTTTATGAGTCTCAGCCATAAACATGGATGCAAGGCTTACCCTATCCTCTCCGATAATGACTTCCTCAATGACATCGCAGTGGCCGAGACGAACCAGCTCGGGGTGATCAAAGGTCGAGGTGATCTCTCCTCCAGTGACCAAGGCCAAGCGCTCAACGCCATCGAAATCTGCGTGCTCGATCGACATGATGCCGGCGTCGGCGAACAACTGCTCGGGCCAGTTGTAGATCAACTGTCTGTTGACGAAGCAGGTGATGCCGTGGTCCTTGATCTTCTCAACCTTGGCACGCATCTTTTCGCGCTCTGCACGCTCCAGCTCCTCCAACTTGCCAGTTCCCTCGACACGAATGCGGGCACCGAAAATCTTGATCTTATCGGTATCCATGGCTGATGAAAATAAGCAACAGCAAAGTTAGAGGGCTAGCCACAAGTGAAATGTATCTTTGCGAGAAACGTAGCCCATGCAGTAGACTTCTTATGAACTTACGGGTGTTGGCAATCATGATGGTGGCGTTCTCGATCCTCTTAGGCTGGTTGACACCAATCTTCTTGTCCAGAATGAAGCCCTCGTCCAGGTAAGAGTCCGCAAGACGACCGCCGACCTTCTTGATGATCTGAATGTTCTCCAAGTTGGTGCTGCCCTTCAATCTAAGAACCGCATCGACAGCGAGCTTTGAGAAATACTCCTTATCCTGCGACAGAACCTTGGAGCTCAGTGTAGTCCTTGCAATGTTGATCAGATCCTTTCTGAAGACCTCGGAATCCTTGCTGTGATCGATAGCAGAGTCCTCGAGGGCCTTGTAGGCGGCCGCGCTGGCGATCCTGTATCCCTCGATAATGGTCTGAGGGTGAATCTTTTGGCTGACCAACTTCTCGGCCTCTCTCAAGAGCTCGGCAGCAAGGACACAGACCGAGGTCGTACCATCGCCAACCTCATCGTCCTGAACTTTGGAGATGTTGACAAGAACTTTGGCTGCGGCGTTGTCGAGAGCGATTGACTTCAAGATGGTGGCGCCATCGTTGGTGACCATGATCTCTCCTGTGGAAGCAGATTGAAGGATCTTGTCCTGTTGTACCGCGAAGTGTCCAATGCCGTGAAGCGATAAAGGTTATATAGTTAGAATGTGGAATAATTATGATACAAGTCCAAACGACTTTGACAGTGAGGCAATAACATACCATTCCCTTGGGGCCAAGAGTGCTCTTGACCAAGTCTCCGACGGCAATGGCGCCGATGAACGACGACTAGAGTGATGGAATTAGCATTGGTATGGTTGTTTTAGCCTGGTAAACATATCTCGTGTGTATGTGTCGTTCACTGCAAACTGCCGCGGACAGATCACGTCTGATGAAAGAAAGCAGTTCATTCCTACCAAACGAGCATTCTCGGCGCGCTCCTCGGTCGCGTTATCTTGGAAAATCTGTACTGGAGCCAAAGACTAGCGAGTGCGATAACAAAACAGCAGAAAGGCAAGGTCAGCAGCCTCATCATGAGTTCATGCCCTTGGTCCCTGACAAGATCCTGATCAGTGTAGATGTCTTCAGTCACGGTCACGATCGGCCGATGTCGATGTATCCAAACTGTCCAAAATTCAAGCACAGGTCGAGAGAGCGCTGAAGGATGGATGCCCAGTGTCTGTCTTTTACCATTATGTGAGGCTGTTGGGAGATGAAGGGAGTGTTGTGATGGGTTGAGTAGATGGGAGAGAGTGAAAAAGAGTACGCGCTACACACTCCGTGGAAGTCCACAGAAGGAAAGGCTCCACGTGATCAATCGGTGACGAGTGGAGCCTAGATGCCGCGTTTGGCGCGTAGATCTGTCTATCTTTGAGGGTCCTTGTCCAGGACACTGGAAAAGTAACAGCTGCCTGAATGATCACTCCAGCTGCGAGCGCACTTTTCTTCAGGGTACTCGGGTTTATCGTCGAGGGATTTCATTACGGAATAGCATCAATACTGCGGGGTTCACTAAGACCGATCCAATCTCCTGTAGCAGCCCACGACCGTCCTAACCAAGTGCTTACGCCTGCCAAACGCATCTTTTGGTGATTGACACAATAAGCCAGTGACCCAAGGCCTAATTATGGTTCATTGAGATGCAAACATTGCTGTCTTCTTCCAGTTGCAGAGAACGATATGTCCAGCAGCAGGGTCTCAAAACAAGAGCAATTGATGCGCCACCCAGGATTCACTACCCAGCAAGAGCTCCAAGGGGTATCCAGTAGCATACATTATAGTCATATGGGGATCGCTCACGCGCAATGAGATCAACCACTGTAGCGCTGTCATCATTTTCAAAACCGCGCAATGCTGTCTTTATTGTTGCCTCTGTATGCTGTTATTTTGTTGTAGGTGCTGCCTGTCCGCTGCTTCTGCTTTAGTTATTGTTGCTGATGTGATCGGACCGTTTATCTGTATGTGCGACGATCCTTTATTTCTTCTCCTGGGCGTTCTTGACGGCAGGTACCAAGGTTGGGTTGAAGTTGCGCTCACATTGTGAAAGAGCATATCCCAAACCCAGACCGGTCGACACTGAGATGGGCCACGAGCGCTCTAAAGCAACAAAAGATAGAAAGAAGGGCGTGTTAGATAAGTAAGGATAAGGCGGGCCACTACGCGGTCAATATGACGCGATACTTGGAAGAAAAAAAAACCGCCTCAGAAAAACGTACTCTTGAAGAGGAGGGCCGAGGCGACGATACCAACGCTGAGACCAATGCCGGACTTGACAATCACGTTCGAGATGCATTCATCCCACTGTCAGGGTTGATTTGGAGAGATGTTGCCAAAAGTACTTGTTAGTGGATCCTGTCCGGTTGGGTTTTGTTCTCAGCTCCGAGTGATCGAGCAGCGAGTTGAAGAATGTGCTGTCTTGTAGAAAGTTGAAACAGAAAGGTCGCCATCGTTTACCTTGCGGCTGAGGATCTCCTCGCTAGGGAAGGTATTGTCCTTGTTGTTGGCGTTGGATGACATGGCGGTAGCGAAAAAGAATGGGCTTCGAGAAAGAGGATTGAGATGCTCGTTTCCAGGCACTGGTCGGAAGTGCAACCGTTTGGCCCACATTGGTATCATCACGTGCTGGGAGGAACTATCGTGCCCAGCAGCTTTGCTCTTACCCTTGTCCTCGCTGTCTTTCTTTCCCAATCCTTCTTCTGCCACTCTTCCACAGACCTTCCACCCCCTATAATTTGCGATGCCAAAGATCAGATCTTCGAGGACCAAGAAAGCTCCGGAGGGCTTCGACGAGATTGAGCCAACTCTTCGGGAATTTCAACAGAAAATGAAAGATGGCAAGTGATCTTTTGTTCGCCTACTTTGGCTGATCGTTCTTTTTGCTGTTCTCCAAGCAATCACTCGAGGAGCAGCGACTTTGCCATCCCACTTTAGGAACTTATCCCTTGAAGTCTTCTGTCGACCAGAGTCATTGGAGTCATTGAGGCCATTGGGGTCATTGGGGTCATTGAGGCCGTGATTATTAACACTTTTGGTTCACAACTAATAGCTGAGAACGATCCACACGAAGGCAAGAGAAAAATAGAAGCACTGTGGCCCATCTTCCGCCTTCATCATCAGCGATCCCGATATGTGTATGAGCTGTTCTACAAGCGCAGGGCGATTTCAAAGGAGCTGTACGAGTACCTGCTGAAGCAAGGATACGCAGATGGAAACCTAATTGCCAAGTGGAAGAAGGTATGCTTTCGCTCTTTGTCGACTGGCACACCGTCATTGAAGTGTCCATTGTCTAATGAACGTTCGCCAAGGATGTCACATTATAAAATAGAGTAACCGTCCATCATTATACTGACCACAGCTGTACATTAATCTATACTGTTTTTCTAGGCGGGATATGAGAAGGTCTGCTGTTTGAGGTGCATTCAACCCAAGGATACGAACTTCGGCACAACATGTGTGTGCAGAGTGCCTAGGGGCAAGCTCGAGGACGGCAAGGTTGTCGAATGCATACATTGTGGATGCAGAGGATGCTCCAGTGGAAGCGGCGCCGGATCAACTGCAGAAAGCAAAGGAGCGGTGGCGGCGGCTTCGTCATCATCATCCAAGGACTAGACGCAACCTACAGCGGCAGCATTATCTAGCCCTATCCACCATCGCCTCCTAAGCATTCGTTTCTAATAAAATGTACCACTACCGACAACAGCCATGGGCCAATCTTTATCATCGAGTTCTTGAGATCCCCCCAGACGTGCAGGCGTACCGGAGCTAGTACTGCACAGTTGGTCTAAACCCCCCCATCATGTGATGTTGGGCGTGTGACAAGCTACTCCTGCCAGATCAAGAAAGCGCTCCACATCGATTTCCCATTCATTCGTTTCTTTTGCCATGTCGACACAAAATGTACTATTACCACCTTAAACTGGACCTCTACGCCGACAACACCACGAACGTACCCTCACAGCCACCCCCACAGCCTCGCCCTCAAGCACAGCCTTCGCAGCCGCAATCTACTCACTCCTCCTCTCAGGCACCAATATCCCTCCAGAGAACCCGCCTTCAAACCGTCTTCCAACCCTTCCCTCAGCCGCAAACGCCCCAACAGGGCACTCTCAAAGAACCGCCCGTAGAAGCAGTGCCGAAGAGCCAAGACACCCTTACACCGGTTACGGCAGTAGCTTCAAGTAGCCAAGGACACGCTTCAAAGTTTGCTCCGCAGCATCCAGTGGACTACAGATTCGGAACAATTCAAGTAGCGTGCTTGGACGAATCGTCTCGGACTTCTTCTTCTTCAAAGGACAAGGATAAGACGGGGGCGTTGAAGCAACGGGGTTCAAAGAACAAGAAAGCAGTATCTTCCATGTCGATGACTTCAACATCAACGTCCGTATCAGCGGCGGCGGCAGGGGCCGCAGGGTTTCGGGAATCAGAGTCTACACAGGGAATTCTACGCTTGTACAAGGATACGAATGAGATTACGACAGGAGACATCCGCATTCAATCAAGCACGGAGAAGCAGGAAGGAGGCGAGATTTCGACCACCAACGACCGCGCTGTGGATGCGAGGGAGGGTGCGCAGATTATTCATCCGGATCATGGGACCACAGTGTGCGTGCTGGCCGTGCCGAGTTACATGTCGCCGGGCGACTTTTTGAACTTTGTGGGGCCCGTCCGGTCGAATGTGTCGCATTTCCGTATCATCCGAGATGCGGTCCCGAATCGATTCATGGTGCTGATGAAGTTCAGGACGAGTGAGGTGACAGCAGAGTTTTACAGACGGTACAATGGCAAGGCCTTCAGTTCTCTTGAGGTGAGTTGTGCACATGAGTTACCTATACTCTCTTTTTTTCTCTTTCTTTTTCTTTTTTTTTTTTTTTTTTTTTTTTTTACAGAAGGAGTGAACGATTGAGTACTAATCCAATCCCTCCATGTCTTGTTCTTGGTAGCCCGAAATTTGTCATGTAGTGTATCTAAAGTCGATCGAGATTCGCGCAGGATGTATGCCGCCATACGCATTTCCGTTCCTCAATGACGATCCCTTCCTGCAAAACAACAGTGCCGCAACATCAGCATCAGTACAACCCACATCAGGAATGACCTCTACCATCACAGAAACCAGCTCTGTAGTCGATTCGTTAACACACCAGTTATCTACCGATCATGCAGGATTAGCAGAGCTTCCGACCTGTCCAGTCTGTCTAGAGCGCATGGACTCGTCAGTCACAGGCCTGCTCACCATTCTATGCCAGCATACGTTCCATTGTCATTGCCTAAGCAAATGGGGCGAGGGCAGCTGTCCGGTCTGTCGGTACAGTCAAAAAAGCATCAAGATGAGTAACCACAGCGGCAACACAGCCTTGTCAGGACTCGAAAACACACTTCAGCCCGATGGTCTGACTGCGAGCACCGATGGAATTACAGAGGACCGGAATGTTTGCGCGCTTTGTGGGACGAGTGAAAACCTGTGGATCTGTTTGATCTGTGGACATATCGGCTGTGGACGGTATCAGGAGAAACACGCCTACCACCATTATTATGAGACTTCCCATCTGTACGCTTTGGAGCTCGAGACACAGCGTGTGTGGGATTATGCAGGAGATGGGTATGTCCATCGGTTGATCCAGAATAAGGCGGACGGGAAATTGGTGGAATTGCCAAGTGCTGTGGATGGGACCTTGCCTTCTCAGCATTCTGTTCAGGTCGGACAGGAGAAACTGGACGCGATCGGACTGGAGTACACGTATTTGTTGACGTCGCAACTGGAATCGCAGCGATTGTATTTTGATGCGCAGGTGGCGGCCATGGCAGCACAGATCGCACAGCTGAACAAGGAGGCGAAGGAATGGGAGAAGGAAGCGTCGATGTTGAACCAAAAGAACCGTGAACTGGCTCTGTTGGCCGAGGCGCTTGAGAAGGAGAAGGTGCCGATGCTGATCAAGGAGAAAAAGGCCACAGAGAAGCGGCTGGAGAAGATGCAGGAGCGGCTACAGATGTTGGAGCGACAGTATGAGGAAGAGAAGGAGATGAACGTTGGATTGAGGACGAATCAGGACAATTTCAAGGAGCGGTTGCAGGAGAAGGAGGCTGAGATCCAGGAACTGCAGGAGCAAGTGAGGGATATGATGATTTACCTAGACACTCAGCAGAAGGTGGAGGCGAGCTCGATGAAGGACGAGCTGGTGAACGGGACCATTGGCGTGGTCCCTTCATCGTCGTTGTCTCCTTCGACGAATCATTCTCGGCGGAAAGGTGGTCGTAGATGAATGTAGAAACAAAATAAACTGTGCAGAGTGCAACACATCTGAACGATGGTATCGCAATTGTTTATTCTATTTACATCTTGTAAGAGTTGTGGAGGAGTAGGGATGGAGCGGATCTATGATGCAAAATGGATTGAATGCTTGGATCGGAGATGCTTAGGGGCGTGGATGATGAGAGGGATCCTCGTGATGGTGTTTGTTCTTGGCGTCGTTGTCGTTGTCGTTGTCACTCTCACTCGCTTCCTCAACCTTTTCAAGTTGCTGCTGCCGTTGCTGTTGCCGTTGCTGCTGTTGCTGTTGCTGTTGCTCTACTCCATCGTTGGTCGTTGATGAGTCCTCTTCCGCGGCCCGGACATCGGACGATTTCCTCGTCAACTTCTTGGACATGCCCTCGTCAGAGCCTACGAGCGTCGAGGCCGTACTATCGTCACTGCTGTTACTGCAGCTCCTCTTCCGGCTCTGTGTCTGGACATGAGCCATCAAGCGGGCCTGGTACAAATAGTAGATCTGTGAGGGGGTCGTGCTGTTGTTGGTCGACTGCTGTGCCATCGCATTAGAGCCATCCACTGCCTCCATCTCTTCCTGACCACCACTTCCCTGTTGTTGTTGTTGTTGTTGCTGATCCTGCAGGCCAGAAACGGCAATCGCAAGATCCTGCTGTGACTTGGTACGGATCCAATTCCTGCCACGGTGTAAGAAATACATGAAAGAGAACGCGCACAGGATCACGATGCCGACCCCAACATAGAGTGCCATCCATATGGGTCCCCCCGTGGTGTCGAGGAACGGGTAGATCCAGAATCCGTCAACGTGGTAGACGATATGGGCCTCGGCGAGGTAGAGCAAACAGATGGCGAAGACGATGACGACGTGTGATGGTATAAAGGGCATGGCATTGATCAAGAACTCGAGCAAGACGATGATGAGGTCTCCGCCGTGGAAGGAGTAGTTCCGCCAGAGCGAGTCGGGCGCCATCTCGAGGGCCATGGAGTGGGCATCGCCTTCGTAGCCGAGGTAGCCCCAGTACAGGAGGGGGACGATGATGCTATGGAAAGAAAGACGAGAGAGAAACAAAGAGGAGGGAATTGCATGGATTTAGTGGGCGATCCAATGAAGGGGTGGGGGGAACGATTAGCCGCGCACAGTCGTTTATGAGCAATTAGCGAGTACAGAGAACAAACAAATAAACAAACGACCCAACAACCGGCCAAACAACCGGCCAAATAACCGGTGCACACGCCGCAATTGTCGCGTCAACAAATGCAACGACCCATAAAAGAATCCCACTTCGCAGGGAAAAAAAAGGAGGAGGAGGAGGAGGAGGGGGAGGCACTTACTGAAAGGTGCAGATGGTGTGGTACAGGAAAAAGTTCATATCCGTCAACCACCAGTACTGTCGCTCGATCGTCGTCTTTGGCATGGGCATTTCTGTCCAATTACCAGAACCGACCACAGCCTCGAGCTGCGCAATGTCCCTGTTCTTGAGTATGCGCCACAAGGCTCGCTCACGACGCCATTCACTGAAGGTGTGCCATGATACCGTCTAAGAGAACATGAGCAAACAAAAGAAAGAAAAAAAGTCAGTGAACAGGTTGGCATAAGGTTTCGGCGTTATTTATCTTCCACTCCCTTATGTATTTCAGAACAAGAAGAAAAAAAATGAGGAGTATCGTGCGCAGTTCTGCATGGAAAAGAAAAAAAAAACAAAGGAAGGATGACGTGCGGCAAGCAGAGGAGTAAAAAAAAAGCGCTCATTCATACGCACAAATGTACACACTCACGCGGAAGGCGTTGCGCGGCTGTGGAATGAGCACGACAGAGCGCGGAGGAAAAAAGAAAAAAAAAGAAAAAGAGCCAGATTGAAAGAGATGGATGACATCCTCCTGCTGACAAAGGGTTTAGATTTTCAATGGGCGCGGGACCTAAAATATCCGGCAATATGTGCGTGCGTATGGTGCGGCGGGGCCCATTATTATTAATTACAGCCATTATCTTCCTGTCCAATGCCCATGGGATGCTACTACAGACCAAAAAATAAAAAATAAAAAAAATGCGCAGGTCCCCCCCACCCATCCACCCAGCACACATCCTTTGGGAGCTCACTCTTACTTACTCCAAGATAAGAGGTCAGTCCCAGATACGAGAGCTGAGTCAGGTAACAGAACTCGTATCGTGGCCGATCCGTCATATGAATATCCGTCGCCAGCACCGTAAACGCGTACACGAACAATATAAACCGAATCAGGAACAGCGCCCCGGTCGGAAGCCAGCTGGATCGCACAATTGCACTGGAGCGGGTCTCTGGCTGGTCCAGACGAAAGAATCGGGTATAGAGTGAGCTTCGCACTTTCAGCGGATGTCGATGCAAGCGATCGTCGTCCTCGGTGTGGAACTCGTTCGGGGATGGTGGGAACGTAAAGGAGGAGGATGAAGGGTCAACGGTTTCTTTTGTGTTCTCGTAGGTCGGTGTGGTTTGAGTGATCGCACTGTCTGGGCTGAAAGAGTCGAGATCTTCGTTTCTGTGGTCCTTGTCGGATACATCGTTGTGTAAGCGCAGGTCTGCTGTGCAGATCGGGTGCAAGTCGTGTTGTTGCGGATGCTGGTGGATGTGTGGCCTTGTCAAGGCAGAGACAGGCGTTGGTGGATCGATCGAGATGGAAATAGCATCTTGAGAAGCAACAGGGGGCGATTGTATCCTGCTGTCGAGTGTCATCCTACAGCTGTGTGAAATGGCGGGATGTCGAGGGAGTGAGATTGTCCGAGAAGGGGAAATTGCAAAATAAAGGGAGACTGACTCGATGTCTTGAGAAAGGAATAGCCTTCGACTGTTGTAATGAAAGAGAATTATTTTTTGCAATTGTAGGACGCGAAAAGGTCGTCCTTTGATGGCGGTTGAAGAAGATGTAGAAAGACAGTGGATGGAGTGGACAATTGCTCGACAAAGAGGAGGGCTTGGAGTGTTCTTGAGATTGAGGGACGTGTGCTGTGTGTAACGTGCGGTTGAACGAAGATCGCCAGAGGAAGCAACAGGGAACAACGACAGACAAACAAACAAACACGAGAAGATGGTGAGGAGGATGAGGGGAGGGAAGACAACGAAGGAAGAGGAGGAGGAAGACGGAAAGAGGGAGGTAGATAAAGGAAAGAAAGGATTTAGTCCGCAGGCAGAGTCGGCGATATCATTTACACGGTCTCCCCGCTGCAGGTAGTCGGAGAAAAGACTGGAGGAAGAAAACGAAGATCCTCCTCTTTGGCGTTCAGCGATTTAACGATTCAAAGAGAAAATTAATTGCATTGAAACATTTCCTCCAGAAATTTTTTCCTCTGTCCCTCTTCTTCTGGTCTGACCCAGTCTGTCTGGCTGTAGTGCTGTAAAAACGTAGTAGATATTGTAAGGGTCGGGATGCTGGTGGTTAGGAAGGGGGCCCAATGCATTGAAGCCAAGCGGGCATTTATCTTTTTTCCGCATGCATTATTGGGTCAGCATCAGGCATGCATCCAACCAACCATCCATCCCTCTAATTTATCATCAACTCAATATTCAGTATTCTATGGATACAATTTATGGCCTAGACATGGATTTTGTATGGAGCACACTGGCATAAGAAGAATCCATCCCGGTGTCGCAAGAGGAGGAAGGGACAGTTCACCCACATGCGACAGCCTCCCCTTCCCCCGACCATACAATGTTCCGAATGATTTTTCCCTCTCAGCCTATGCAATTGACAAGGGGTATGCGGACTACCACGGCTCATCCCCTCAACTGCATTATTCTCCTTAGTGTGGATTTGCACCATTTGTCGGCCCGTCTTTCCGCCAACGGCGTGCACATGTAGGGCTGTGTGCGTACTGTTGTACTACCGTAGATAGGCGTCGAATTTACTGGAACTGAATGGCGCATACGAAGATAGATAGCACTACTGGAATGCGGATACAAGGGACGAAGGGGGAAGAGGGCGAAAAAGGTGGCACAGAAGGGGTTCTTTTTGTTCTACATGACTGCAGGGATAATGAGAAAGACCAGGACGGGAGATGGGAGACTAGAGAAAGAGAGGGCGAAGGCGGGCGCGGGGGAAGGCGACAAGGCAGGGCTGGGAGGACACGTACCTGACAAATATTCAATGCGGGGCTGCAAGTCAACTTCCAGTCGGAGATGCGCGTACTGAGATGAAAAAAGGGTCGTTGGCGCGGTATACTGTTGGTGCTTGGGGAGCGGTGGGGTGTGGGGTGCAGATATAAATAGTGGATGCATGTCGTAATACGATACTTTTCCCCTTGGACTGAAGCAGAATATGGGTGTGCCTTTATGTAAAAGTGTGAGCGTGAGTGTGTTTAGCCTGTCTGTTTATGCGCGATGACGCGAGGACGGGTTCTGATAGGCACCGACACCGACTTGGAGCCAAAGCCACTGGACCCGTTAGACTAGCAAACGTTGTGAATCTTTGCTGTGCTGATGCCGTTGGTCCTGCTCAATGCGAAAATCGACAGTTCAACAAACGACCGTGCGCACATCTACACACACACAGCGTGGTTGTTTGTGGTGATGCTTCACCAAGGATACGCGTCTTCCAGGTAGCCACAAGCATGTCAACCGAGGCAATGATAATTATATTGTTAACTTGTGCCGATTCTTCGCGGTATTTCACCACTACCCGTTTGTCCAGCTTTGTTATCATTCTCACTGTCTCTCCCCTTGGGACCATCCTCCTCTCATCGCAACAATCAACATCGAGCTCGAGATCTATATGATCCTGACAACCGCGTCGTTGACGCATGGTCAAAAATGTCCCCCGGTACTTGATACCAGGCAAAGAACCAGAAAATGAACTTCGTCGCTCATTATATCAGCATGATTCGGAATACGATTCACAATGGTCATCTAAAGGGTTTCGGCCAACTGGCATGTATTGCCACTTTTCTCTTTTTTATGGCTGTTGGGCTCCTGCCTCTTCCTCTGATATAATTTTGCATATTGCTCAATAATGATATCGAGAGGGTAGGGGCATAAGACTTTGCTCAGTCTGGAGGGAAACGGAGCATCTTACTGAGGCCAGTACTTTTATGCGTTTCTGATGGCGCTGGTTTTATTTTAGCCAGTTGTTGAGTTCCACTTTTGACATTACATTTTTCTTTGACCTGTCCTGTTGTTTCTGGCCACTTTTTTCTATTCCTGTCAACATGGAGGACGTTGCAGGGATATTGAGTCCAACCCGACCCGACCTCGCCCTGTTCCATAAGGCGGACCGTAGTGAGACGAGAACGAAACCAACGGGTTGGGAAAATTACCAATAGCTTATACATGATTACGGGGACTACAGGTATACAAAAAAAAAAAAAAAAAGCATGCGATCTACGCTGGTTAACAACGCGCAGTGCATGATATCGCAATCTACCAGTACTCGCCGGGGTGTATTTACAACTCACGGGATGTTTGCGCTGATTTCAAGCCCAGTCAGAAGGAAGGGTTTCACAGGTTGGATGTTGGATCATAGAGTTGGAAGGCGTAGGCGGAGTATCTAAGCGATGTGCTTTGAGGATGCTGCTGTCCACATCTCTGCTATATTTCGTTAAAGACAACAGGTAGGGTATGAAGCCTGAGGAATATGAGATCGACATGCCCGTTGTTGCTTGGTCGAGTGTAGCCCAGGTCGCCCTTGGTCCGTGCACGGATCCCTCGTACAGGAACGTGGCGTCCTTTGAGAGCCACTTGGGCAATGTCGGATGCGTGTGGTGTGGCCAGAGGCGCTGGGGATGATTGGGATGGAAAGAGTGGACCCACGCACCCTGCAAGCCACGCGAGCGCAGAGACAAAGGCTCAGCACGTTGTGCTGTCTTTGTGAGCCTTATCTTTGTGCGACCACAGGCGGTGTGCCTTCCACGTTTGTATTCTGCCGTCTGTTCACCAGCTGGTCGCCATCTGCAGCCTGCAGGGGCTCGGCGGACTTTCGCTGCGATATGTCCGATGCACCCAGTTTCAGCTTAATAAATTATTATTTTTTTCAGGTCCGCAAGCATCAATGCTAAAAAGCCCGAGACCCTGTCCCGTCTACACTTCATGAAAGATGGTCTGCCTTTTCTCTCTCTCTCTCTCTCTCTCTCTCTCTCTCTCTCTCTCTCTCTCTCTCTCCTTGCGATTCACGCACTTCTCCTTCTTATCATCTCGGCAGGGCCATGGCATGTCATGGCATGATTCTCCCCTCTTCTTGAAGGCACAACCCACCAGATGAACAAAAAGAAAAAAAAGAAAAAAAAAGCTCCATGTAGATGGGACAAAAGAAGAGATGAGTGGGGGTGGGGGAACAAGTGAGAGCACTTTGCGCTTATCGTGGCCGAGTTAAACTCTAGCGCTTGTTCTTGTGGATGGATGTACAAAAACAGGGCTACATGCGTCTTTAATCGTTCCCCCATCGACGCCGGGGTACAAATGAAGACGTGTTGCAGCAGTGTCCTTTGTGTCCTTTGTGGTTGTCAATCTCCATTAAGTCAATAAATTGCAGTCGCGGCCCTTGTGTCCTCTGTACTCTTGCGTCTATGTGTGCCTGAATCCTATTTCACACACGAGCGAAACGAACCAGAGGCGGTCTTCCTTCTCTCTCTCTCTCTCTCTCTCTCTCTCTCTCTCTCTCTCTCTCTCTCTCTCTCTCTCTCTCTCTCTCTCTCTCTCTTTCTTTCTCTCTCTCTCTTTCTTTCTCTCTCTCTCTTTCTTTCTCTCTTTCTCTCTTTCTCTCTCTCTCTCCCCCTCCATTCTTGCTTTCCCCTTTCTCTCCTCTCCTCCCTGGTCTGCTGGTCCGTCCTCCCCTCAAGCCCGCCCCTCTCCGTCTCCAGCTCCACACCACTTTGACCAAGCGAGTCCTTCCTCAGCGCCAACTGCCGTTGTGAACCCATTTAAAGTTTTACGCTCTCCCTCCTCTCCCCGTCCGTCGTTGCTGTCTTCTGTTGCACGCCCCTCCCTCTTTAGTCGCTTCCCTCTGTCTTACTCTCCCCATTCGCTCATTCTCTTCTGTCTCTCATTCCCCATCTCCACAGCCGACACCCGATCCCCTCCATACCTCTTTACTTTCTCACACTCCTCCACGCTCCTCCGCACCCACTTCCTGTCTTTGTTTCGGCCCTCGGTCCTGCTGCCCCAGCCAGTCCCAAACCCCACCCCTCACCCCCCACCTCTCCCGCGGAAGAACCAGGCGTTTCATTTGAAGTCCTGTCCAGCTTACACCACCTCCCCCCATTCGCAGTCCTCGGCCTATTTATACCCTGTCCTAGCCTGCCTTTGCTGCGACCAATTGCTGCTCCCTCCTTCTGCTGGACCCTGTGAACGACCGAGCCATAGGGAAACAAGGGCGGCAGAGCATTATCGCACCCGCACCCTCCACCCGCGCCCTCCAACCGCACCCATCCTCTCCGTACCCAAACTATCCAAACACAGGCAAAGAGAACGCAGCCAATGGGAAACAGCAAATCCCGCCACTCTGGCGGCACCTCCGCGAAACATGCCAAGCACAGCAGCCGTACCCTGGATCAGTCCCACCACTCACGACAGAGCAGCGGCAACTACAACCGGGTCTCGTCCTCAGACGCCTTCCCTGGCCCGGTGGTCATAGCCAACGACAGCGGACACTGCTACGCTCAAGGACAAATGCCCCATCTAGTGCGGCCAGAGTTTCCTGGCGGTCCGTACCACACAAATCTCTCCAGCCCAGGGCGGCTGGATCAGCAAAAAATGCCGTCTGATTCAAATCTACAGCTGCAATATGGAAGCAGGGTCAAGAGAGCGCCACCAGGCGGCGCGGGCGGTGGGATAATGGGCTATGGCACTTCTACCTCGAATGGCATGAGCAACAGCGGAGCATTAAGGACGTCAGGGATATCACATAATTACGTGGGCACGTCTGGGATCGATCAAGGTGGCTACGGTGCGAACCAGGAGATGATGTATTCATATCAGCAGCAGCTTGAGGGCGACTCAAGACCTACTTCGCCTCGCCATCCGCATGGACGGATGTCTTCCCATGTTCAGCCACTCGTCGCCCAGCAGCAGCAGCAGCAGCAGCAGCAGCAGCAACAAATGTATGTAGCGCCTCCCTCGACCTTTCAACCACACCAACAATATCCTCAGTATCCGCGCATCTCCGCCGCTTCGCCGGCTCCCACGGGCGGTCGCAGAGACGACGAAGCAAATATGGTTGACAAAAGGATACCGTCATTAGCAACTTTGACAATTGGCATGAAAGAGAGCACGAACTCTGGACAGCTCAGTAGCGGAGTCACACGATATCCACATCAGCAAGACTATGTTGAGCCACCCTTCGGTCCACGGCTGTCCTCCTCAGGCCTTCCAGGGCTCACACAAAATAGGCAGACCAACCCTGATACACGGGTGATAAACGACTACAACTTCCCGAGTGGCAGCAATATTATTAACAGCACCAAACTGAACACACCGGCACCAATACCCAGGGCGTCAGAAATTTTCGCCAATGCAGGACCTTTAATCGAGACTAGTGCATCGTCATTGAACCGGCCCTTGGGATCAGATCAGGTGTTTGCACGCCTTGCCAAACAATACCCAACAAACCCAAAAGAGACTGAGAAGCGGGAACGCATTTATCGATGGCTGGGTGCAGTAGCCAAGGCCTTGACTTTCAACCCAGACACGAGCATTCCTGGATGGATTATACCCGTAGTGCCTGATGAGCTCGACCAGACGGACAGGTAATGACACTTTTCTTTTTCTTTTTCTTTTTCTTTTTCTTTTTTTTTTTTTTTTTTTTTCGTCATCCAACCGCGTCACTAACTGTATCGACTCCTATTTTGACTCCTTCTTAGTCCGTTTTATTGGAATCGGATTACATACGAGCTGGATCTCATGGCTCCAGTAGCAAAACCTTTCCGGAGAGCGATCGACATCAATTGCACTTCAGGAGAATGGGCCATGGTACGCGCGAAAGCTCCCCCTCCCCCTGATATGATGCTATTTTTTTGGTGCCTTTTATCACATTTCTGACTAGTTTTTATTTATTTATTTCTGCTGTCATCAGGACCTTGCACTCAAATACCCGCGCACCATCGTCTACGCTCTTGATCCCACATTGGACGCATCACAGTTACCTCAGCGCCTACCCGAGAACTGTCGATTCAAATTACGGGATGTCAAGGACCAGGAAGGCGAATTTGATCTGGTTCACCAGCGTCTAGGTGCGTTCAGGATCCCGATTCTGGAATGGACACCACACTTTGCAGAATTGGGCAGACTGACCCGACCGGGCGGATGGATCCAACTGGCGGAATGCAACGGGATGATCGTACGAGCCGGCATCGAGTCGCTCAAGGTGAACAGATGGGTCGAGAAGGCCGCGTTGAGCTCGGGACTGAACCCGGTACAGATGGTCGAGGCTCTGATGCCGACGATTCTGGGTGCTGGATTGATTAACGTGGAGTGTTACGAGTACGGGATCCCATTGGGCGAATGGGCAGGACGTAGGGGTCATATTGCGATGCGATCGTATCTGGACATGGTCGAGTCTTTGAGAGAGGAGATCATCGAGACGAACCGACTGGAGGAAGGGATCTTTGAGGAGACAATTGCGTTGATGAAGATGGAATGCGCTGTGGAGAATGCGGAGCTGATCATGAAGGTCATCTGTGCACAGAAACCACCCTTCTCGGACGATATCTGGCGGCTGCAGTAAAGCTGGGGGAGTTCCCCCCTCCCCTGTCATTTGGATTTTTTATTTTATTTTATTTTCATGTACCATACATTCTCTACATACCACTGTCTCAAAATAATAAAAAATAAAGTTAATCTACACACCTTTAAATATCCTTCTCTTTTTCTCCGCAAAAGCAATCACACATCTGATGAACACCGCACCCATGGCCTCAACATCCTGGCCAGAACTTGAATCGACCGCCACTACCAAGGCACCGGAATGGTCATTGCGCTCGGAATCAGAATTACATGTAGAACGACTCGGTAATTCGACTCTTCACGCCGATGAGAAAAAACATCCTCCATTAGTCTTTTTTTTTTTTTTTTTTTTTGTTTCCCGCTATTCTGACCATTTCATCCGATCTTATCATTGTTCGCAGAGGCAAAGCTCGACAGCATCAAGAAGAGAAATGACAGGCCTTCAAGGCATCATCAGCATCAACATGGTAAAGATAATTAGTTATATATATGAGATGTAATGTTTTTGTTGGCTGTCTACCTACCCACCTACCTACCTACCTGCCTACCTGCCTCTAAACCGTCTTATCGTCTATCTTCTTATCCTCCTTAACAGAGGCCCCAGGGCAACAACCCCAGGGAGCACTAGACTTGGATGCGGACGAAATTCAGGCAGGGCAAGAAGAGGCCGATGAAGGGCTCTGGCTACTCTGGAACAACAAATCAACAGCATCCTCCTCAAAACCTGCAGTAACTTCGCAAGCACAATCTCGATATCACAACGCCACATATGGCACCAGTTCCATCCATCGACCGTCGAGATCGTCATCAGAGAGTGAAGAAGAAGAAGGCCAGGATGAGGACGAGGAGCAGAGAGAAGAGCGGCTGGAGGTGGCAAAAGCTCGAGCGAAACATGTGGAGGAATATGTTGTGAAAGACCGTACCTGTTCACGGACATGCTGCTGCGTCATCTCATAGCATGAATGGTCCACATATATAAAAAATACCCATCGAGCGCGCGACAAATATACAGAGGAGCTGTTGAGATGTACATATTATGTTGTTACCGTTTTTTATTATGATAATTTGCTACGCATGGTACTTCAAACAATGAATGGATCGCTTCACACGCTCCTTACGATCACCTCCGACTTCGTCCCTTGGCCTCATTTGCGCCCCATGATACCATCCAAAAAAGCCTTGATTGCCTCAAAGTATCCGGGCTTCAAACAGGTATCATTATGAGTACCATCTGGGAATTCGCGCCAGACGGATTCTCCGGTCGTGTCCAAGAGCCGATGGAGCTCCTTCATATGTGCGGGTGGGATGAGTTCGTCCTTCCGGCCCGAGAGGAACAAGACCGGCGACCGGTTGATCCGCTGAATCATTTGCTCAGAGTTCCAGATCTGGTGGCAGAGGAATGCGACTCGGCTGATCATCGGCAGGACGTGAGGAATCACTTTTGGCTATGAGGATAAAGATCGTTCGAAAAAAAAAAAAAAAAAAAAAAAAAAAGAGAGAGAGAGAGGAAAGGATTATCATCAGCAAAGGATACTTTTAGCGTACACGTTTACAGAGTATTTGGAAAGACTGCAAGGTGAGTTATTTTACAAGGCTCAAGAACGTGTTCTCAATGATCAATCCTGAGAATTGATCCTCGTTCCTGGCGACAATGTCGATCGAAACAGCGCCCCCAATGGATTGACCATATGCAATCAGCTTCGTCTCCGCGATCACTGGGTGTTTCTTGATGTAGTCAAGTGCGGTCTAACATTTCACAAAGCGCGTCGTGTCAGTTACTCTGCGATGCATCAAATTCGACCACGTTCATTATGCAGCATATGCACTTACCTGAGCGTCTATCCTCAGTCCCTTCTCAGACGGACTTCCTTCGCTCAGTCCGTATCTATAGTTTTTTTTTTATTTTTTATTTCGTTGACAAGATCTTTTTGTATTTAGAACCATGAAACGGGTCGACAAATTGACAGCTGCACCTTTTTTTTTTTTATTGCCCCTGTAAACTTACCCGCGGTAGGACAGCATGAAGACATTGCATCCAAACTCCCGGTAGAACACATCTGCGATCGACAGACGATGGCCCATATTTCCAGCATTCGCCTATCGAATCATTTCGCAGATATCGACATCAAAGACAATTTGAAGGTTGAAGGTTAGTTCATAAGACTTAATTACCATCAACAAATCAGCGTCTGCAGGTTTTTTTTTGCCCGGAATATCAAATATACGCCCTGCAGAGATTTAGCTGTGTTATACAAGATTGAGTACACGTACATGAAGATAAAGGATGGTAGGTCGCGTGCGAGCCACAGAGTCGTCAGGGTGCTTGATCAGATAGGCCTTGATCTTGACTCTGTCTGGAGTGATCAGCGTTAGCTCTTCGTACGGTAAACCGTACTGCGATGGTTTTGCGACCTGTTGTCGAAAGAAGGAAAAAAAAAAAAAAAAAAAAAAAAAAAAAAATCTAGTGTGAGTCGACTGGTGCTCTTGAATGTAGTACGAAGGAAAAGAGCCAGCGAGAAAAGAGATGGAATGGGACGTGGGGTGAAGGATGTAGTGAAACGATACATGCATGCGTTCTTGAGCCCTCTGGAAAGTTGGCGGGGTAAATGATTTCGCATTGGTAGTGGTAGAGCAGTGCTCCGCCACTGAGCACCGCCACGGCCGCTGCTGCGAGGGAGTAGGACAGGTACCAAGGCAGATAGGATGTCATAAGGGATTGGCAATTGCTTCCGATTGACTTTGATTGCTGTATAGATGTAGATATGAAGACCGGGGACGTGCTAAGAGCGAAGCGAAGCCTTCTATGGGGCTACAGCTCGGGAACGGGACTGTGGGGTAATAATGAACGTTCGGTGCAACGGTCCGTCGGTCGGTACTCGAGTCTGACGAAATATGGTGGTGAACTTCGGCTGCTGTCACACAAAGGGAGAGTTGCAATCCAGCCAGTCGATGCGTAAGACTAGATCTAGGACGAAAAGGAGTGGGGATGAGATGCGCAATGGTAATGGAGAACAAGAGAGGAGGGGAAACGAAGCTGGGTGGGCGAACAAAGTTCGGGGACGGAGGGTGAGAGAGGAAAAAAAGAGAAAGAAAACTCGTTTTATGCAAGAAGGGGAAGCAGGGCAAAGCAGCTGTGGACCTGTGTAAGGACAAAGGACGCTTTTCAATCTACAGAGTTACGGCGCCTGTTGTTGTTGGTTTGTGCTGGATCGCGCCCTCCCCGGCTGGAATTACCTACCGCCTCGACCATGGCATCCTCTACATCCCTCTTTGCGCCCATCAGGAATTCCCTCTCCCACACACGTTCAGAGATCACTCACAGAGTCCGAAGCATTTCCACCTCGTCCTCCTGTAAATATGCTCGCGGAAAGGCCTCCCTCGTGGCTAAGAACAGTTCAGCAATAACAACAGCACCGACCAAGCAGATCAAAAATCCGTTTATGGCCCCTGCCAACTCTGTATTAGCATATATCGGACCCTATGCTGCATCAATGCGTCAAGCCAAGGGCGTGGCGTTTGTCTTTGGGGCCTGTGGATGCATGGCTGTGCCTGCAACCCTCTTTCTCGGCAACACGGAACATTTCTTGGCAATCATGGGTAAGTAGCTTTAACAAGGAAATTTTGGGAGATTACAATGGACGCGAGCTGTAAGGCCACTTTGTCCTGTGCTGCTAGTATCCTTTTCTCCCTACTGCCGTTGTCAATTGCTATCATCGCCTTTATGTCAGGGTTATATATTGTATATTAATAAGCATATCGCAAAATTAGCTGGGGTCGCTTCTCTATCGCCATCGGTTCTCCTCCACGCACTCTTTCGTAATGATGTAACAAAGATCCACGTGCAAGGCTCGGCCTCCACAAAGATCCCTGAGGCGATCAAAGTCTCGGCAACGGATGCTCTGAAGCTGACGTTTGAAAAGCTGTCTTGGCGAGGCATGCCAATTCAGTCTCAGGTGTTGTCGACGAATCTGTTTGTAAAGTCGGAGACGGAAAAGTCTGTCGTCTGGACCACGACTACCGCAACGACGCCTCCCTCTCAACCCTCGGCTCCAGCATCACCGCCAAGAACCGGATCAAACGCGCGACAGATTGCTCAGCCAAGGAAGGAGACGTATCGTGTGGATAAGCTGATGATGCTGAGCAATCCTAGTTTTGCGTTTGTGATGGATCAGATCGAACACCAGTCCCGATTGTCCCATAGCAAGTACCAGAACGACAATGCCGGCAAGGACAAGAACGAGGGAAAGTAGCGCGAAACTAAGAAGCAATTGCAATAATAAGAAACCGGGGGATCTCACTGAGAACGACTTCGCCCAGAGATGTGTTCTTTATTTTACCATCAGAACATGTGTGCCTTTTGCGTACCTGCTTCTGACTCCTGGATTCGCAACCCTGCCTGGGCTAGTTAAGATTGTCGCCTGTTGGCAAAGTGTGCTCTTAGAGTTAACCCCCTACTCCTGCTCTTTTGTGTCTTAAGCAGGAGTTAGCAGCTATGTCAAACAGGGCTAATTTTAATTTTGGTCCAGTGGGTACCTACCGACCTGACCCCCTTTCATTCGTTTTGTTTTTTTTCGTATCCTTCGCCTCTGCTCCTAAACGCATTTCTGATATGGCGGCTACACTCCCGTCCTCGACGCTCCTCAGTAGGTCCAGCTCATCGACCCATTGACACTTTCTGCTTTCGCATGTAGTGCACCTTCCGCCATACTGCATTACTTTACTAGCGAACTCCACTTCCCCTCCCCTTTATTTTATTTTTTTTATTTTTTTTTTGTTTGTTTCTCTTGCCGCCCTCTGTTTATTCAGCTTCCCCATCACACATCAACCTTTCACATCCACATAGCAACAATCAGTACACAAGCATTAACACAAAGCCCATGACCACCCCTCACTACATTCTAGCCAATCCTTTTGCCGGCCAGAATATTGGCCATCTCCGTCTCGCTGTCGTCGGCGACAGCGGAGTGGGAAAGACCTCGTTTGCACGCCAGTTTGTGGAAACGCTGCCCGAGGTTCTATCGCACGACTGGGAGCCATTCAAGCCCACAAAGGACATCGACAATGACGACGACGCTGACGATGATGACTACACGCGCACGGATGCCTTGACGGAAAAGTATGCGAGCACGATGATGGAGATTCCTTGGGACAACATGGACGCAGACGATGAGGTCCCTGCTCGCAACCTCGTCTTTCTCGGTTAGTGACAACAGCGGCAAAAAGCGCCCACGCGACTTCCTTGAGATGCCATTACCCAATTTCTTTCTGACTTAACGGCTCAATTGATGGTCTCTCCTTGTAGATACCCCGGGTTATGGTAGCGTGGTCGATGCTCAGGCCAACTTCAATCTTTTTATGAACTATGTGGGTCAGACCTTCGAGGAAAAGAACCGCAGGATCTCCCCATTCACAGAAGTCAGCAACAACGAGCTGATGCGGTCCTTAGTGACAGGTATGGCTCTTTTTTTTATTTTCTTGTCTCGGATCTAAATTGCAATATCTATCAAGCTACAGAGCTAACGTAGTAATTTGCTGTGTTATTTGAATAGGTGTTGGTGCGCATCGCTTCATCGATGTTTGTTTCTACTTGATCTTGCACCGACTCAAACCGACTGATATCGAATACATGCGTCTCATCTCGGAAAAGGCGAACGTTGTCCCCATCATTGCAAAGGTCGATACGCAGTCAGAACAGGAAGTTCAGGAACTCAAAGTGCATGTGCTAAAGACTCTGAGGGAGCAAGGTGTCTCGATCTACACGTTCAGGATCGACTATGACCGTCTGATTAACATGGCCGAGAAGGGTCAGGCTGGAGGTCCTCCCTTTGCGGTCTCGAATGTTCCACCAAAGCCGGCGTCAGAGGACCCGGATGATCAGATCTCATTCAAGCATGCGGAGAGCGAGTTGCCGCTGCTTCGGAAACTCGTGCTTGAGACTCAGATCACAAACATCCGACAGTTCACGGTTAAGAAGTTCATCAATTGGCGTGGAAAGCAGCAGCCATTGCAACAACCATTGCAGCAACAGCAACAGCAACAGATTTACTATCCACAGCAGCAGCAGCAGCCGCAACAACAGCCGATTCAGTACCAGCAACAGACGGCGGCCCACCAATTTCAACAGCAAGTGATCCGGTAAAGCGTTTCACAACTGCAAACTGCAACCTACAGCTCAACAATACGCTTGCTCTTCATCATAGGCTATACCATAAACAACATCACCATCATAATAAAGGATAGCACTAGTGGTCAGGAAAGGGACTACTACCAACTAGTGCTACATCTCAACTCTTAGCTTCCGTCACCACAATACCACAATATTCAAACCGCAGATAATGGACGCATGGACCAACATACTTTTATTCGATGTTTGCAACAGCAGATAAAAAAAAAAAAAAAAAGCAATATCATTCTCCTCTCCCAGAATATTGAATTTTACCATCAGAAAGCGAAAGAAATGGCCAAAAATAAAACCCTGGCTCTGACTCTTGAAAGAGCCATCTATGCTGAAGAATATTATTATGCATCGAGCGAGAAGAGCACCGGGACGTTAATCTATGCATGCACCTGCCCTTATGCACCTGAACTACTTGGCAGTTGCTATCAGGGGTTCGAAAGGCTTTTCTGCGTTCTTTTAAGTACAGTACTCCAATACAACGCTCTCAATCAGATCACCGACCAGGTCTCAGCCGCCATTCGATCCGTCAACGGAAAGGACGATATTGACCAGGCGCTGTTAGACAAAGAGTGCAGCAAACGATACGCCGCCGCTTATGTTTCGGGTTTGTTAAAGCGCATGGAGGTGTCTGCTACCTTCGCTTTGATGATACGAACCCCACGATAGAAAAGGAATCGTCCTTGAAGTTGATTATGGGCATGGTCAAATAGTTGGGATTCACGCCAACAGAGGCCACGTACTCGTCCACGCGCTTTCAGTGTCTTCATAAGCCCGTGCAGTAGGAGTCGGATCGTCTGAACGTCGCGCGCATGGTACTGTCGAAACATAGGATCGTAGAGCTGATCTGCCGTGGTCATGTCATGGACCTGAACGATCTGGGATGTACACGCTTCAGGCTATGCATCCGAGAGGTGTCCCTGCCAAGACCACCAGCAACTTTATCCACACGCTTTGAGTGACCAAGGCAGATACTGTGGCCGAAAACTCTGGATTGATGGTTCTGCAAGGACGTTGGCCTGCTGAATGCATGTTGTTCGATTATGTGGAGTGGGATCGTCAAGGGCCCATTCGCCGGTAAAGTGGTCGAACTTTCAACCGTTACGAGGATGCCCCCTGACTTCAAGCAGTTCAAGACATACATCCAGCAGGTGGTCGAGGGTCTCAGGCACGGCTCGCCGATTCATTTAGACGAGGTGCGTCCGCTTGATTGGCTGTCTGACCATTCAAACCCCATTGAGCTCTGCTGAGGTTCCAGAGAGCTATTTGAGTGATGTGGAACAAGAAAAGCCTGAAGACGAAATTTGAGGCTTCTATGGAAACCAGAGCTTTGGGATCTGCTGGGACAGTGCGCAGTAATAAGCGAGAGCAAGGATCGACAGCGAGGAGGCCTGGTTCAAGTTGACCCGGATTGGATACCTTTGTCTGGACAAGGGCTTGGATATGGGCGTGTTCAGGGACGACGGCAGCATGGCTCCTAAAGAGTCGGCGAAGAAGACTGTCCTTAACAGCACTGTCGGCCTTGCAGTGGGCAGCACACCCAGGAAATAGTGGCGACATAGGAATGAATGTATACCCTGCGCAGCCTACAGCAAACTAAAAAGTAAAAAAAAAAAAAACGGCACCCCTTTCTGGGCGTTCCTTTCCTTGCGGTTCCTTGCGGTTCCTTGCGGTTCCTTGCGAGCCGTTCGATTTGTCAGATCTCACGAGCGGGGACTGCTGTTTATGTTCAGGGCACAAACCAAAAGGATCAACTGATCCGAGCAATCTTCTTCACTCTCTTCCATCACTCTCCTCGACAACTCCCTCGCGATCGTCAATCGACTTTCTTGTCAGGTATTGCTGGAACTGGAGGATCTCATCGCGAGACGGCGGTTGTACATTCCTTGGACCTATACCTTGTAGAAAAACTACGACCAGTTTCACACTCCCTCGGAGATACAACAGCAGTGCAACGGCTTGTGGTGTGTACAGGGTCGGCATTAAGGAAAGCAATGTTCTCATAGCTCATTGATATTACGTTTCTCATTCCAATAGACAACGATCAAATCCAGCTGCATCGCATATCGCACTCAACAAAGGATCGCCCGACTTTTTCGCTTTTGAACTCACACCTCCGAGTCAACACACAGGAACACAGACACGCACATATTTATATATATATATCGATAAAGATGTCATTCACCAGCCAAGAAGAAGATGGCAAGGATGTGATCATATTCATGGAGCCCTCCGAAGCGACGACTCCCGATAAGACGTCCTCATCATCAGAATCCAAGGATCAGTCTGCTGCATTTAATCCCGAGACGGGCGAGATCAACTGGGATTGCCCTTGCCTGGGTGGCATGGCCCAGCCTCCATGTGGAGATGCCTTCAAGGAGGCCTTCTCGTGCTTTGTGTACTCGACTGCTGAACCTAAGGGTGTGGACTGTGTGGAAAAGTTCAAGGCGATGCAGGATTGCTTCAGAGCTCACCCCGAGGTCTATGCGGATCAATTGGACGATGACAATGAGGAGGACGACGAAGAGGAAGGAGACGATAAGAAGGAGGATAAGAAGGAGGAGAGCGAGACCAAGAACGTCTAGAACAGCATTTTGCACAAGCATATTTCTATCGGCAACATCACAACTATTATTACCATAAAAATAAAGATTCAACAGCGATCTATCCGCACCATTGATGCCTGATATGAATGACACTGTGCAAGCATAGACATGTGGTGAGGGCAACGAAGATTTGTGTGTGTATGTGTGTAGCCTTGATCATTCTGAAGGGAAAAGGACTAGGTGTGGCGAAGCAAATTTTTGGTCTTTCAGTGCTGTGGCGATGTGCAGGAATGTGGACGGGCTCACGGTATGGCGAATTTTCCCACCGAATCCGTCCACAGATACGACGCAAAGAGTCGACCGAAGTGTGCCATGATATACCCATGCGGGACAGATACGTCCTATTTCCGCGAATGTATAAATATGATCCCATTTCTGCGCTTTCCTTGTCATTACACTTTACTGTGTCTTCATCCACTTTTGTTATCGAATTCCGTCTAGGTCTCGACAAGCCGACTTAGAGGGGTTCAGCCATAATCCAACGGATGATAGCTTCAGGCCATTGCCTGCTCAGGCAGGCCCAAATACCAATTATCCGAATGAATGGTCCCTCTCGTACTAAGTTCGATTACTACTGCAACAACATTTCATCAGTAGAGTAAAACTAACCTGTCTCTTAACGGTCTAGGTACAGCTCATGCTCCCTATAAGTGGGTGCACAATCCAACGTTTACTGAATTCTGTTCCAGTATGGCGAGTGCGTTGTTGGCTGTAGATCTGGTGTTGGTCGCAGCGGCTGTGCTGGTGATGTTGGCCAGGGCCGATGAAGGAAGTTGGGACGATACTCTCCACGAGGGGATTGTTTAGAATCGGGAGTGTGTGCTTCCCTTGCGCGTATTACTTAAGACATCGGGCTGCCATGGCCAGCGTTCACGAGCGCACAATACCCCGAGGCTCTAGCTTGATCTCCTCATTGTTCATCTCTTTTGCTCCCGCTCTTTTGGTCCTTCGAACCCATTGAGTGCTTTAGTTTGTGCTCTTGACCACAGCTTTTAATTTATGAAGTTGTTATAGACAAAGACTGCTCTGTATATTGTCTTCAGAAAGCGCAATCCATGTCCTAAAAGACTTGCACTAAGTAAAAGACAAGACGCCGTTGCTAATACCCTATATGCTCCATCTCCGCGTCTCCAGCAAGCGAAAAGACATTCGCCGAGTCGACCGGCTTTGCTGACTATACAGCGAGGGAACCGGTCGTGGCGACGGTATCCATCATACTGTAGTTTGACGGTACCTTGAGATTATGCGCCACGGATGCCATGCTAATGAGCTTTTGCTTGCCGCGCGGAAGCTCAAAGGCGGAATCGGCTTGCCCACAGCGCCGCGTTGCTCTAATAGACGCATGTTTATCCTGCTTAAGCCTTGCACGTTTTGGATAGAGGTATCTGACACGGTAAGTCTGTCATGCATCGAACTCCAATGCAGGCGTATCTGATAGCGATCCTCCTCCTCTATGACCTGCCACACGCGAATACACTTATTGGAGCAGCCGGTTGCGAAATAGGTGCCGTTTTGAGTAGCGTTCCAGGCGATGCTTGTGATTGATCCATGGAAATCTTCAACAACTGCCAAACATTGACCCGAATTCACATCCCACAGTAGCACCGTCTTGTCATCACTGCCCGAGGCAATCTGCTGGCCGCTTGGTGAATACACCACGCTCATAACTAAGCTGGTATGGCCGCTTAAGATGAGTTCGGGTGCACCAGTTTGCGCATCCCACAGTCGCACCGTATTGTCTATACTTCCCGAGGCGATCTGCTGGCCGCTTGGCGAATACACCACGCTTGTAACTGACCTGGTATGGCCGCTTAAGATGAGACCAGGCGCACCGGTTTGCGCATCCCACAGCCGCACTGTCTTGTCCCGACTTCCCGAGGCGATCTGCTGGCCGCTTGGCGAATATACCACGCTCTCAACATGGTCGGTATGGCCGCTTAGGATTGGACCAGGTGCACCGGTTTGCGCATCCTACAGTCGCACCGTCTCGTCTATACTTCCCGAGGTAATCTGCTGACCGTTGGGCGAATACACTACGCTCGCAACCCGGGAGGTATGGCCACGCAAGGTGTGGGCTTTTGCCCAAGTCGAAGTGTCATACACGCTGATCGTGCCGTTCTCGAGACCTACCGCACAGAACTTCCCATCTGGCGAATACGCGCATGAATTCACCGCGCTACCTTCTAAGAGGTACGGCCATTCGCCAAACTGCACACCTGCCATCTGTACGTTGTTCAAATTGGCCTGGCGCAGCCAAATATTGCGAAGGCTGACTTTTCTCAAATCTGCCCCTTGCAGTTGAGCAGAATCGAATTGACCGCCACTCAAGTCCGCTCCTGGAATCTGGATGCCTTTCAGATCTGCACCGTTAAACGGCATCCCGGCTCTGACCAATATCGTGATCGCATTAGCTGCTGCCTTGCGTGCCTCTTTGTCGATTTTGGAGCATTCGATCGTGGCGAGCAGCTGCTGCTTGAAGAGAGGTTCTTGTTGGACACGCTCTGCCAAAAAGTGCAGAATCGACGGCTCGCCCGCAAAGCTTTCCCGTGCCAAGGGCGAATCGAGCACGGCTTGTTCAATGGCTCCCACGGGTTCCTCTACAGCAGCTTGTTTTTCAAAGCTCATGACGAAATGGACGCTCCCTCGGCGCGGCAGGGCTTGAGATATGGTCGCGCGACTCGTGCTCTCTCCGTCTCGCGGCTCAAACACCGCACGGGCCAAGCAGTATTCCAACAGTGATTTATGGATAAACCGGTACTGATTGCCGCTACGCGTCAGAGGACACGCTTCCAGCAGGAGCTGGTTCTCGTCTTCTCGGGAGAAAAACAGCTCCTTCCACGTCCCTTTGTCCCGTTTGCGAGAATAGGCCACCACTGGATTACCTGCCTGATGTTTGTAGATTGCACTGGCCAAATCCTTGAGAAAATCCATGCCGTCTTGAGTAAAGTCTTCGTCGTTCAGCTTCTCAAAATCTGCCCTTGCTTGAGGGCTCAAGTCTTTGTTCCCAAGCCGCTTCTTGCCGCGCTCCAGCCACTGTTCCATGAACTGGTCATACAACGCGACTCTAGTGACTTGAACGGCCGAGAGGTCTTGTCCTGGATCCACCATGCGCGGCAATACCTCCATCGATAGGGTCAACATAAAGGGGTTCTTGACCAGGCCCTGCATATTGGGAATCAGTTTGAGAGCATTCAAGTAGTCCGCCATCTGCCAAAGCGATCTCGTCGTGGACACATATTTCCTTATGTATTCTTGAATTTGATCCATAGAAAATGGCGCAATGACCGCCTCTTGAAATGCTGGCTCTGCCTGGTGATTGCGATCTGCTGGCTGGAATCGATCACGATAATCGAGGCCAAGGTACTCGCTGCGGCAGCTAATGACCATCTGAGCACTCCATCCTCCCACTTGATTCAGTCGGTTGCTCGTGTACAAGTTGTGTGTCTGCTGGCTCTCATCATACCCGTCACAAATCAAGATGAATTTGCGGTGGCCTTTCAGTTCTCGGATCTGGGGGTCGGCAAAGTCTGCCTTCCGTAGATGTTTGGCGATCAGACCCTGGTCTGGCTTGTCGATTGCGGGTAAGCTAATAAAGAGCGGAATCCTGTCTTCCTTTTTCTTATAGGCATCCCACAAGTCGCACTCGAGCTGCCGGTTAAAGGTCGACTTGCCTCCACCCGAATCGCCCAACAGGAGCATCACCTTACGGTCACTGCTCAGGAAGCCTTCAACTTCTCTTGTCAGGTCGAACAGATTGTCATCGGACGCTTGCAGGTTGGCCTTGGCTTGAAGGGTGATGTACACGGCTTCGCCTCATTCCTTCAATCGTTGCTTTCTCAGTCGTCTCAGGTCGGCTTCAACATCAGGCTTGTTCTGGACAAGATCAAGCAATGATGAAGGCGCGACGGTTGGTAAGGCGACCTGCAGCGGATGTAAACTTCGAGTTTCCTTTAGGCATTCCTGATAAAGAATCCTTTTCGTCTCATCGCCATTCGATTCCAGCTCTTGCAACAAAGATTCGACACCTACACCATGTATCGCATAGACCGCAATAGAATATAGTATAGCTATTAGTGCCTGCTGGGTGATGAACTCCATACTTCATAATAAGGCGAGAGCCTCCCACGTATCCGTTCATCATACATACTTGGAATAGCTGAGCCAAATGTCGAAGCCAACTGCATAAGAACGTGAAGGATCCATTGCTTGACGAGGGCCTGCTGGCCCCACACCGCATCGCTTCGGTACATCTCGCCCAGAAACGCAACAGCGCCTTGGCGAGACTCGATGTCCCACAGTGGATTGGCGGCAAGGTCCTCCAGGCGCTGACATACTCCTAGTTGAAAGGCTAGATCACGCCGGCAAGGCGCTTCACAGACCAAGGTCTTGAACTTGGCGAGTTGGCCGTCCCGAAGCAGCGTGTCTGTTCCGCGCAGTGCTGTGTACCAGGCACGTTTCCGGTTGAAGCTGAGACCGACCTCAAGGGATTCCAACAGTCCCTGTCCATTCTCGGCCAGTGCACTCACACTTTCATAACCGATTTTCGCTACCTGGATCACCTTTCCCAGTCCCTCTTGAAGATGTCCGAGTCCTGTGATGAAGCCGTTGACGTCCAGACCTTTTACGGCGCTGACTAGCCCGAGACCCCCTTCAAAACAATTTCAGTGCGCCGCATCGTTGCTTACCAGGGTGATTCGTTGTCTGGGACGCACTGCAGCGCCTGGAAGGCATAGGCAGCCTGATACACCAAGTAAGGGTCGCTGCTACCTTGCAGCTCATTCAAATAGGCAGAGAGTGGTTCGTGCAGCTCTACACGCTTTAAGCCTGAGACCTTGGTATCGGCCATGGCATCCAGGACATTGGACACTGCGAGTGTCAGCTGGTAGATGTGTGCCGGAGACTGATTGTGAGTGTCTTGTAGGCGGGTGTTGAGGATACGTAGGATCGTAACTAGGTCATCAGTGTCGAGGTAACCGGGGGAAGCACCTTGCATTAGTTGCGCTAGTCCCTTGATAGAATGGATATCCAGCAAGCTGGACTGTTCGATGCCATTGACAAAGAGCATGAGTAAATGTTGAAAATCATCCTTCTCGAGAACCGGGCCCAGGTATACGACCTCTGCGATGGCCTTGGCATCCTTGAGCTCATCGCGAGTGAATGCTCGGACCACATCTGTCGCCAGCGTCCTGAGTCTCTCCTTCTCCTCTGCATTCTTCTCTGTGGATTTCACCCAGTTTCCTGCGGCTGGTTCAAAGACCTCTTCGGGCGACGGCGTCACTTGCAGAAGGCCAAGGCAGTAGGCGAGCTGGGATGTACCGCTGAGCCGCTCATCTGCCTCTGGTAACGCGATCTTGACGGTTGGCTGACGCATGTCGTCAGGAAAGATATCCTTAGGGACCCGTGCCATGTCGCGGCAGGCGCTGTCGGTGGCAGATGAACTTACAGGACCTGGATCCTTTGTAGGACGCACATGGCTGTCCAAGTCAGAGGACAGACAACAAAGTGAGAGATGCATTAGGTGCGACGTACGATATAGCCGGCTAATGCGAAGAGATAGAGAACAGGTACCTGTCACTTACCCCCATTTTTCTGCCCTCTTGTAGCTGACCTGTGCCATTTCACTATATCCTAAGCTCTCCAATAGGTTGGCGTGCTCGAGGCAGGCGCCGGCGAATCCATCGCGCAGAGCTCGATCCTCGACGGACAGGGGAATTGTAAGAGTCTTTTTCGCAGCTCTTTTCATCCGGGATAAAGCAATTTCTCGATCCTTGGTTTTGCGCGCATTCTCCACGTAGATTTTGGTGAGCTCCAGTTCCTTTTGTGGTGAGAGAGCCTTTCGCGGTGACGAAAAATTTCTGCCAAACATGTTGCTTCTCTGAGGGGATTTCTCCTGTTATCATAGGGTAGATGGCGGCAATATTAGTGACCTTATGGTCGATTGATATTTCTGTGCGAGTAGCCAGTATACGTACTTATACTTGACAAACACTTCAGTAATGTAATGGGGACCAATAAGTCGCCGTGGGCTGGTATACTGCAGACGTAGTGGCAGCAGAATGAGCTATCGTAAATAAAAACATTAATATTCATTGCAGCTACATGAACTAGATCATATGTGGCTGCTCGGCCGGATAATGGCGCCCCACTTCGGAAGTGTCTATTCGACTCTTGTTTCCTTTGATTGGAGTCCTGAAGATTTGTCCTCCTCGTGCCTCCTAACAGCGATGCCAACTGCCCATCGTGAAGCATGAAGGATTAATAACCTTAAAGCATGCCTATAGGCTGCCATCGACTGACAAGAAATAGTGCCTCACCTCAACAGGAATCTGTTTCTCGGGTCCTTTCACCAGCCGAGGAGATGGTCCGTCCCTGCACAATGTTCTCTACTCCAATTCTTTGTTTAGGACGGTCTTCACACGAACAAGGCGGTCGAGTGGACTGGTATTCGCTTCCCTCGTCACTTCTAGCAGAGATTCCTGTGATCATGAAAGAAGCAATTATTATCCATTGCACATGAATGGCTGCTCTCCTGATCTCGGTCACTCTAACATTAGCACTCTTGACTCGACTGTGGTTGTTCAGGCATATTTGGCTTTGGCAGATAAACTGCGTCTTTGTTACCAATGAGTCGCCGCTGAACTGTGCTAATTGAGATCGAGCATAGACGTACGAGAGACAGACAGAAGAGCTAGAAAAAAATGAGACAGTTCCTGATGGATTGAAGGAGGGTGAATCTGGGAAGAAAGGAAAGTGGGAACGTGCGAAAAGAGAGGAAACGAGTGCAAAGACACACATTCATCGTTGCAAACGGAGCCATGAAGTCAGATTACTCCCTCGCCCTCGTGTAACATGTAATGGGCTCTGGGATGCAAAGGAGAGAAAGAAAACAAGAGTACCGAACTCTAACATCAATGTTCCTTGTGTGCCCAAGGTTGATTGACATCCAATGAGTTTGCAGCGATGATTTCCCCTCCATCGTACACCGGACCGGTTGCTGTCCTTTCGGAGGACATTATCACCCTTACCTATTTCAGGACTACCAAAGCATCAGAATGGAGTTTGGAAGGGTTCCTCGCCTCCACGCGACTCACTGAGTTAGTGTTTATGTCGAGTCTGAAGGACATCGCACGGATCAAACGTTTGCCATCTGAGATTCAGATTTTCGCGAAGAGGCTGGAAGACTACTATGACGGCGTCTTCCAAGAAGAGGTCATTGAAGTCGCGAAAAACAATGCCCGCAAGAATGTCAACCGCACGCTTTTAAGTGGAAAAGAACATGTACTGCTACAGAGCTATGTGGATGACACTCTTGAAAGAGACAAGGTAAACTGTTGAGATGGATTGAACACTTCAATTCGCTCAAGTGTTAACGAGTTTATTGATTTTTTCTTTTAATGTTATTGCCTACAAGTGCGTGTCGAACCTTAGAAAGCGGTCGAAGTCTTCCCCATGGGAAGAAGAGTCAGTCATTCCGATATCACCGCAAGCAAAAGCTGCCTATGGTAATTGAAGATTCTCCCAACGCGAATGAAGCCGTTAACTTGCTAAGGTTCTTGTCAATAACGTTTATCCCAAATTTCAACAGAGGAAAGAAGGACAGTAAGAAGCGTAGCATCGACTACAGCGACATCAATATCAAAAAGGGAGTTTTTTTTCTTGCTACTGTTAGCATTAATGTTGTTGCTGAAACTTATAGCTAACATTATCACTTCAGTTAGAGGTTGCATGTGGCTCTCCCTCTTGGATAACATTTTTTGTCATGAGATAATTATTTAATTTTACCCGCAACTCCTGTTCAGGTATATAGCGTTATAAGGTGCTCTTGATGCATTTTTTATAGATCGAAGTTGATCAAAAGCCAATCGTTAACTTGCTCCCGTTATTCTGTTTCATAACAATTTTTATGTTTGAAGCCTGCGCCTGTGTCCCCCTCGCGTCCATCATTTCAGGGGCCAGCATCTGTCCATGATACCTACGCGCTTTGCCATCATGTCCTGAGCACGAATTTCAGGGTTTCCTGCAAGAGCGCGTTCCAGTCATACGTCAAAAGCTTATCAGAGATTGCCAAGAACGTGGCGATTGAACGTAATATCAGAGAGAGTCAGCGAACAGCGTTTCCGCTATCCGTGAACCATGTTTCCGTACAAAATGGAGCATGAAATAGTGGAGGCTGCAATTCTCCGGAAGCGGTTGTTGGAGTCGCAGGACACCCACCGTTCAAAGCACTTGCGCATGGATTTGTACAACGACCCAGGACCTACACAACATGAACAGTTTGTGGCATAGACTACTGCCTATTTTCCACGCTGCCTCTGTGTGCGATAGCTAGACTGGGTCCAGAAATTAACTTAAGCCGCCGAGCAATAATTAATCGTTCGGACGCTGTAATTAAAGATCTCTCTCTCTCTTGTTCTCATTGACTCTGGACTACAGCCATATCCTTCAACTCCTACTTCGAATGCCCCTAGGGGATGGCCAATACTGGCCTTCTCGCTGTCCTTTGACACAATCCGTCCCTCGACATCACCAAACAGATCCAAAAAAGATGCCCGTCCCCCGCTCCGCTCCGTCATCAAGGCTGCAGAAAAATAATACAAATTCACTTCCCAGACTGCTGAAAAGAGGTACTGGACCCTGTGTCGTGAATCCGAATGGGTGGCAGAGCAGGAGCAAGCCGTAATCAGGGCCAAGAAGGACAAGGTAGATAAGCAAGCCAAGGACGAGTTCCGAGTCGTAAAAGAAGAGGCCACACATGCGCATGTTTGAGCTGTGCTGGAGACTGTTCGAATACGATCTTGGATTTCAAGGAAATGCAGCAGCAAGAGGGAGTATCTCAATCATCTTCGACCATGATTCCTGGCTATACGATTCTAAAGGCAGGTCCCGAGATCAAGGAGTGGGTGGACTATGCGATCGAAATCTTGCAGCCTTATAAGTCTAAGGACCGGGTTCGACAAAAAGCTTTTGAAGGAGATCTTCGATCAGATCACAGCGCGTCAGATGCGAGATCGACAGGACGCGCTGTATCGGGCGGTTGAATTTCATGCGGATCTGGACCGGCAACTTCTGGAAATGCAACAGCCGCAGGAGCAAGGGATGGAAGAGTAGGGACAGGAGCTTGGGCAGGTGCTGGAGCAGACTCGGATAATATTGCTTCTTCATCGTACGGAGCAGTGGTCGGACCAGTAGGCATCGACGGAGATATTGACTATAGTTTGACTGATAAACAAGATGGAGAAAGTAGCATGAAGGAGCGGAATTAACGCTTTTGATGACAGGACACGATTACTCCTCCCATACGATTTAATCACCATCGGCCCTGGCTCTCGATAGCATGCTCGTTCGTAAAACAGAAAAGAAAGGAAAGCGCGCGCGCTCCTGCGCGAGAAGATGTGTAGAGGATAATAGAAAATTACTTTCTTGGTAGATGTATGATGAGCATGTACTTGTGCGTCATGTATGCATGCCATGCAGCCCAACCATGGTAATTAAGATGCCGACATCTTGCCCTGAATAGACCAAGGAATTACCTTTACGTTTCTCAGCCGACAAAAATAAGGGACATCCCTATTTTTTTTGTCGATTGCGACGTTTATCCTGTCGATCGTAGATGTCCCCGATTGCACTACGCGGCAACATATTATTATTATTATTATTTTTTTTTTTTTTTTTTTTTAAAAAAAAAGGACGACGTATAAAGGAGGACTGGTAAAGATCGCATGAAGTTAGATGTTGGGGAAAGGCTGTTCCCGTTCGATCATGCATATCCCGATTCCGCCGCCCCGCTTTTCTGCTTTTTGAGAGACAAAATAAGCGTTTGTCAGCATCCTTCTCAAACCCCCTGGATACCCTAGATGCATAACATCTTGCATATTTGGTGCTAGCGTCCATCTCATTTGCCTTGTATCCTGCATCAGTGGGCGGGATCGCTTGGGAAGGGAGTCTTGGCAGAGAAAGAAAACACAATGGAAAAAAAAAAGCGCGATGGGACAGGTCAAGTCGTAACCCAAACATCCTGTGTGTCCCTCAAATTCTGGTTCAACTGCTTTATGACTCAACGTGTATTTTACGCCTTCAGTTTTCTTTCTTTTTTATAGAAGATTCACATGCGTTGTCATAGTGTCGTGCATGTACATCCACACGATATATTATAGGGTACCAAATTCATGCGGTGTCTTCGCTATTCTCTGGAGTTGCTAAGGGAAGAATATTATTTACTATTGTTATGAAAGCCGACTTGGGACGCGTTCTTCCCATAAAATACGCGCGCTTGAAAAGCATAATCGTGCAGCAACAATGCAAATTTTATTTGGCGTAAAAATAACAGAGAGGCAGGGTCCAAATAAAAAATATGCCATGCTAGCGTATTGCATGGGTCGGCAACTATAGACGTGAGCTGTCATCACAATCATTATAGCTACCGTCTCAATTGGCTATGGAATCGATTCATTCGGCTATGAAGCGCCAGAGGGGGCCGATGTGCTCTAAGAATATCGCGTCTAAGAATATGACTGCGATTTAAAACAGAGAGGGGCGATACGATTGTCCACCGAAGATCAACAAAAGATCGGATGTCTTCAGGAGAAAAAAAAAAACACGCGCGTAAACAAGGTTATCAAGCAAAATAACAAACAGCCGATAGCAATGCTGCAGGAACGCATCGCGACATGTGAGACCCCCCACTCGCCCTGTTCGTTCGCTTTAATCCCATTATTTGATTATCAGGCCGTCGCTCCCTGAAAATCATAGTTAGACTATGTGTATATAGCGTGTACAAGAATGCAAGGAGCAAGACCCAACTTTCAAATAATTCACATCGCCGAATAAATTGCTCCGCTTGTAGAACTCCATTGTCCAGTAGATTGAGAGTAGAATGAGCACAAACGATTTCTTTTGCTGGTGCTTGGTTAGCCATGGTCCGTCACTAGGCTGGAGAATGCACATTTTTCATTCTTATATTTACTGAACTCTCTAGAACATGTTCTACACTGGATGCTGCGACAGGGCACGGTCGTCCATAGGATGTCGGGAGATAGTGTGCTTTTCTATCTCTGACGGGATGAATGGAGCGAAGAACCGCTGCGGTCACGGTCAGAGAACCTATTTTTTTACTCCGGCCGTTGGCTACAGCCTTTATTCACAGAGTAGATTCGGGAGTCACTCCATGCGCTATCTCACTTGCTCCATCCTGTTTACACATGTATTACATGGCATCAAGGTGTTTTTTTTTTTTTGCATGGTTGCACACGTTAACGGGGGTTGGTTTCAGAGAGGGGAGTTATTTCGCCTTTCGTTTTTCTTGGGGCCTATTGGGCATTGCTATGCTGCTTGTTGTTGTCAACTCTGTTGGGCGCATATGCGTTGTCTCAGCGGGACAAAATATCCAGCGCGCCCACATATTGACAGATACATTATCCGAGGGCGGGAGCGTGAGCAAACTTTTCGCATTGTATCTTAACGGCCACTGATTGCAATTGTTTTGTTCTCTCGCATGAAAACTGATGAGATGAACAGATGGGAAGATGAAGAATAAAACAAGAGCGAGGCTCTGGGTATCCTTCAAGCATCTCTGTTCAGTTACACCGGACAAGTATTTGGTATTGCTGCCCGCCCCAATTTTGTATTTTTTTATCTCGGCTATTCATAGACGACAGACCAAGGCGATGAAGGTACCATGGCATCGAGAGGTCGATGAGAAATGCCTTGAGCTCTAATGAAAGCCCATTATTGCTGCAAAATTGAGGGCCGAGATGCTTCGACTTTACAAACCTACGCGGTGAAATCCTGTAAACATCTCTCAAGACTAGAGGTTGAAAGTGAGCAATTGTGCGGACTACATGCGCTAGATACCCAAGTCGCAAATGTTCTTCTACTGTCATCTTCTGCCCTCAACTCACTCGAGGATACCGATGACGAGGGATATGTCCTTCGTTCGCTGTTGTTCTCTGTGCGCAGGAGAGAGTGAGTACATTCCCAATGCGACTAACGTCCTTAAAATTCATTTCGTGCGTGAACACGCGCATCTGCGCTGTTTCGGGGTCGTTCCTTTTGTTTTCGAAAGACGTGCTAAAGAAAACACGGTTACATCCCCCGTTTTTTTTTCTTTTTTTCTTGGCAAAGATGCATGAGAATGTCATGGTAATGCCCATTCGCCGAAACCAAGTTGTCCGATAGAGAGAGGCAAGGCAGCCGGAAAGAGGGGCGCGGTTGCATGGCGATGCACGTTCGGACGAATGGGTGGTTGAAGGTTCTGTAATGTGCGTGTATTTGTTTGTTTGCTTGTCTGCTTGTTTGTTTGTGGGACATCGTCTGTCCCATCTACTGCGCGCCCATACCTTTCGGCAGCATGCTTTGTCTGGTTTTTCTTTTTTGCTCTTGTGTTTGTGCCTCTGTCTGCGAAAAAGAAAACTGTATATTTGCCCTCGATTGTTTTGATTTGGGCGTTCGAGTGCTTTGTTGAATGTCACCCCCGTTTTGTATCTTCTATTCGCATCACGTTTATAGTACATACATTCAGTAAACCACCTCTCTGTCCGATTGTCTATTCGCTGCCCTCCCAATCGCTCGCAATTGACAGCGCGTTCCCCGATGGACATCTTTACCCATTAGTCTGTCTGTCTTTTTTTTGCTTTCGTTGTCTGCAAGATGAAGAATAGAGTAAGGGGATCGATCTCTGTCTTTCTATCCAAGTCCGCCTAGGTAGGTCATTGTCAGGTCGATCAATTGACCTACTGGTATCAGGTCGTTTTGCGCTGCATTGCTGTCCGATTCTTCGGCTAGTACTTTTTACCCTTCCCGCGTCATCCTGTTGGGTTCTCATCTTTTTTTTTTTTTCCTTACCCTCTTTTTTTTTTTTATTGTTTGTTACTTTATTTAAATAGGATGCATATTCACCAATTAACTAACCCCTTTGCAGAGGGTTCGCCTGCATTTCTGCGTGCAACCCAGCAGAAAGAACTCTGTTCGCACTATATTGTTCGGCAACTCTGTCTTGTTCGTGTACTACTTACTTTCTTTTACCGCTCGTCCGACTGGTCCAATAGATTGCGATCAAAAGGCGACAAGGAGTAGAGACCAAGAGAAAGGAAGAGTACGAAAGAAAGGCTGCATCCGTGTTTGCTCGTGCATTGACATCGGATACATAGTCCATCTACCTTTCCCTGTGCATGTCCGGTCCTGGGTGTGCTCTTATGCCCCCTGGACCCACCTCTCCTGTCCACCTTGGTTTTTCTCTTGGCTGCTGGCTCTTCGCATAATTAGATTATTGTATGTTCCACAAACGAGTGCTGTGCTTTTAGGCCTGCTCCCGACTTGCGCTGCTCCCACGCATGTCAGGATATCATCCGACCGTCGCCTCAGTCGTCCTGCTGTGTCTATTGTGTTGTTGTCGTCTATGGACTATCATGTCTTGACTCGCTCTCCCGCCTCTTCTTTTTTTTTTTTTTTTCCTTTTCTCCTATTAGTACCCCATTTTTTTGGTCGCTTCTTTTTTTTTTTTTCTATTTCACACTCACTTGATAGCACTTCTTCTCTAGCCTTACTCCATTCTTCTTTTTGCTTTTAGCCATCCTTTCATTCTCACTCACTCTTCATCCTCACTCCAGCATTCTCATTACTCCTTCGGGGTCTCATTCTGCTCATTCTACCTCATTTGCATCACCCTAAATTTGTTGGCAACTCAATTTCATTTCTTCCTTTCCTGCTGGCTTGTGCTCTTCACACTTCGGGCACCTATTTTTTATTTTTTTTTTAAAAAAAAAAACGCACAGCAAATCCAGACACTCTTTTCGCGTCCTTTTCCTCTTACACACATCCCATGGCGGCCACCGCATATTCGCACCCGGCATCTCGAGCTTCCCATTTGAACCAGTACCACTTGAGCCATCCTCGCCACGAACAGGAGAAGCAGAAGCTCCAGACGCACGTCTCCTACCATTACAGCAGCCACACCCAGCGCACTAATCAACCCAGTCCTATCCCTTACCCTTCGTCCTCGCCGTCGTCATCCTCCGTGAACAGATCAGAACCTATGCCGGAGGACCTACAGGAGTACTCCTTACCAATGCCAGTAGCGCATCATCGCACCCCGCCTTCTCATTCACGCTCCCCTCCATCGCCTGCTCACCTGCCTTCATCCCCTACGACCTATCCGAGCAAGCGCACCTTCAGCCCGCCTGTCAATTCCCGCTACCACCCTACTGAACGCGATAACACCTACCCTCAGTCGTTGTTCCCTTACCCACAGCGCGTTCAGCCACAGCATCATCGCCGTCAGTATCCGTACCAGCAGCAACAGCAACAGGCAAGCGAGGCGGTCCTGCATCAACAGCGTAACCAGCAACAAATGTTAGCGACCGCAGCTGAACAATATTACCACCAACAATCGCGCAGAACATCGGCCGCCCCATCCATGACCTCCTCGCCTTCGTTCTCGGCGTCGTCGGTCCCATCGCCAAGGACACCTCCAAGGTCGCTTACGTCCACGCATAGTTTCCCCACGCACCCTACTAATCGGAACGTCGATGCACCAAAAAACAATGGTGAAAACGGAATTAATTTCGATGAAAGGCCTTTGGAGAGGCCGTCCTCGTCCATAAGATCTCGATCGCTCTCGTCCTCCTGCTCAATGTCAATAGACGAAGGCGCACCACGCTCATCCTCGCCTTCGTCTTTTTACTTGGCCACGGATGAAGAAACCTTCAAAAAGGATTCAGACACCTCGATACCCAAACTAGCCTGCCCTGACCAACGCTGCCGCAAGCTCCACTACACGCAACAAGATCTCCAAAGGCACGTACGCAACCACAATCGATCGTCCGAGAGGTATATATGTTCCATGCCGGGTTGCTGCGTCGTCCTGAGCTCGAAGCAAACTTTGAACGCTCATCTACGACTGTGCAAAGAGAAGGCGTCCGGGGGGGTCCACGCTTGCCCCGAAACCGGTTGCAACTCCTCCTATACAACCAGCGATAACCTGCTACGCCATCGAATCAAGCATCAACGCGGTCTGGTCGGTCTCAAGTACCCATGCACCTGGCCAGGGTGCGGTAAGGTTCTGGCGACGCCCAAGAGCCGCAAGGATCACCTGCAGATCCATGCCGAGAGGAATGCGGGCATCACGCTGTACTGTCCTGTCGAAGGGTGCAAAAAATCCTTTGGCACACATCGGTGTCTTCGAGCTCACGAGCTGAGGTGCAGGCAGGTCAAGTCCGGCGAGCGACTGCCTTGTCCGGTAGAAGGTTGCAATGCCACGTTCGGCAGCACGGACTATGTGCGCCGACATGTGCTTGATCACGAGAAGGGACTCATCGGAGTCGAATTTCGGTGCGACTTTGAGGATTGTCAGGCTGTTCTGGCCAACCCGTTGACGCTTCAACGGCACAAGCAACTGCATGAGGAGCAGACACTCGGGTTTGAATGGCGGTGCCTTGTTGAGACATGTGGGAAGCTGTACTCGGGTAGCAAACAGTTGACGGATCACCAAGGGCGGATCCACAAGGACCTGGGGCCAGGTCATAAGTTTCCTTGTCCATACAAAAAATGTGAGGACATGTTTGATTGCCAGCGATCTGCGTACAAGCATCTACCGTGTCTCAAAGTAATCCAGACAGATGTATGTCTGTTGAGCTGTCTCGTTTCTCTTGCCTTTGGCCACGTAAAAGTCAGTGCTTGGTTTCTCACCACTTTCCTTTTTTTTTTTAGAAGTTTACGATGCTTGAACGGCAGCAGCAACAGCAGCAGGAAATGGAGGAAGAGGGGACGCAACAGAAGCCGTCGCACTCAACGACATGTCCGTTCGACGATTGTACAATCCTTATTCCGGATGAAAAGCTGTTGGATGGGCATATATTTATGCACAACGCGCTCACGACCCGGCCTCCCTATCCATGTTTTGAGGAGGAATGCTCCAGCTTCTTCGACACCAAGAGCGGCATCCTTGCCCACGCCCTCACTCATAAGAAGTAGGGTTATAGCAGAACATGGCTACAATAGAACATAATGTATAACAGTAGCAATACAAACAAAAACGAGTACAGATATTGTTTCCGCCTGCTGTTTAGGCTTGTTTGTTATTGTTGTGGTTGTGATTGTTGTTTTTTTGTTGTCGCGCCCACGATTATTCAATGAACATCTACTCCGTACCATTCGTTCTTCTGTAGGCGTAGACGCTTAAGAGCTCCTGAGCGTGCAGCATTTTACTGATTCCTTGAACGCAAATTTTCTGTATCGTAGTGGAGTAAAAGTCTACGGAAGAGAGGCTGAAAAGATATAGATGATACACGGTATCTTCGGAGGATTTTTGTTCTTCTGCAGATGGAGCCCTTTTTTGGAGGAGAGAGATGCAACAGCACGGTAACTATTTTTTTTTGTTTTCCAACCATGTGCACAAAAGGACGATCTGCAGGACAATGGTGCGCCATGCGCGCGATACGTTTAACAAAGTACACACACGACTGAAGTATTTACGCGGATGCCTCATAAAAAACCGCAGGAAATCTGGTAGACGGATGGTCAACGTCATATATAGCGCACAAGACACGTTCAACGTTCTAAGCAAACGAAGGGATATTACTTTGGGGCCACAATGGATTGGCCCCAAGTTATCCAGCCGCGCCAAGCCCATTACTCAGTTCTCTTAACTTCAAATGTGCAGTTTCTGTCCTTTCGCCCATGTGTATTTTTTTTAAAAAAGCACTCCTATTACTTGCGAAGATGAAATAATACGTCTCTGCGGTTTTATCGAGATTCAAGACTGGCATCAAGGTTCCAGGTTGCCGAGCAGATTCTTCAAAAAAAAAAAAAAAAAAAAAAAAGACGCGTTTCAAGCACAAAATCCGTGGTAGAAGTGGGATTTGAACCCACGCCTCTCTCGAGACCGCAACTTGAGTGCGGCGCCTTAGACCAACTCGGCCATCCTACCAAATAAGTGGATTTTGGTAATTTTTGGATACTTTTGTACGTTAGAATTACTGCTAATTGCTTCAAGCACGTGCATAGAGTATAAATAATTGCTAGGGCTAAAAAATTTTAGTCAACATGGCCGAGCGGTTAAGGCGTGAGACTAGAAATCTCATGGGTTCTCCCGCGCAGGTTCAAATCCTGCTGTTGACGCGAATATTTTTGGGTCTTGTTTTTTGTCGTATTCTTTCATCTTGGTCCACAAGGACATGATTGTCTGTCATAGCAGTTGCCTTAGGGAAGAATGGAAGAATATAATCTCACCCCCCCGTGAGATTATCCCCCGTTTTGTCATCTCACAGGGATGTAAGCGGGTTATTCTCACACCCCGGTAAGAATAATTCGAGCTTTTTTTTTCCACGGGGAGGTGAGCGCCATATTCTCACGGGGATAGTCTGTAGGGCCTCGTTTAAAAAAAAAAATCACTCGCTTATTGTTCAAGGTCTGTTTCAGCAGGATGGAATTCTTTGGATGGTCGCGACATCTCACTGCTGCTCTTGATACGTTTGGCTCTTGGACGCCCCTTCGGCTTCACTACAAGTGGGTCTTTGGTGACACCAAGACCTGCTTCGTTGTCAGACGCGTCCTGTAGCTCTATGAGTCCCGTCTCCGTTTCAGCGAGATTGAGAGGTTGTTGAGCGTTTGCATCGCATTGCTGGATCGGCTGTCCCCATGATGGCCAGCTCTCTCACGATCCCTGTAACATCTGCGTGTCGCTTTATCCTCAGTCGCTCTTCCTTCCTTGGCTGTAGTGCCGAGGATTCTGTAGAGAACAAGGTGTGCGCAATCCTCGTACAAGCGCTGGCAGGGTGATCCTCGGTCCTGGTGGAGGCGATGTAATGCGGGTAGGCGACTAGAAGCTTTGAACCAATTTTCGTCTCGAAACCTTCGAGACCCTGCCACTGCTCCTTGAACCAGTGCTTGAGAACGAGGCTGATCAAATACTTGCACCTGCTGTCCCCTTGCATCACGCAAAAGAAGCGCCTGCACACAATCTCCGTGTTTTGCAGCAAGAAGCAGGTGCAAAAATATGAATGGCCAACCATAACCACAACGAACTCCTATTGACTGCGACGGATCTTGTTGTGGATGGAATAAACCACAATGATTTCGGCTGGGTCCAGTCTTGAGAGTAGTGATGCCAGAGAAGACTCGCGGAGGGCTTTCCCAGTCCGGTCGACCTATGCAAATGGATTCTGTTGTGTAGTAAATGAGAATCATTCGGTTGGCCTCGCAAAGTTGATATTGGATCACGGGAAAGAGCACTGCCCCAGAATTCCAGAATAAAAGAATAAACGGTCTGGTTCCTGGACCAGAGTCTTCTTTCCTAAAAATCATTTTTATCACACGTTGCATTCGTCCAACGACAGGTACTGACTACCACCGTCAGCAACCCACGCAACGAGATACAGTCTACAGGGAATACCAATCCTGACCATTCGCCATCTTTGCACCGTCAACCGCTCTTATTTAGACATTGTACTTGCCCTGCAGCGCTTCCTCAATCACCGATCGTCTCATTGAGCATCCGTCATCGGCCCACCCTTGTCAAACGGCATTATAAAGGCACAATCGAGGCCTGATCAGCGAATATTGGCATACAACGACTCCAGAGGGGTGGACTTCATTGTCATGACTCCTCACCTCATCGGATATCACATATGCGAACTCCTTGCAACTACCCCAGTCATTCCCAAAGGAATATAGTCCTAGCTCGTACCATTTAGCTAAACAGATCCTATATTTATTTCCTTCCATTTTCGTTTACCTTTGTGTTCATACATTCCAATCTAAAGGAGGACCCTGCACCGCGAACCAGTAAGTGACCGGAGCACGTCCTTGCCGAAGTCCTATTCGCGTGGTGTCTCCTATTGTAAATAGAACTAATGATAGAAGTTACAGAACTCGCTATTAGACCCCCTACGCCGCATTACCCCGTTGCCTCTTGCCATGGTAGGAAGTGATGCTGCTAGTCAATCAGAGGTATTATTCAGAAGCCGGTTGCTACAAACGACCTTTCGTGCAGCGCCATACGCGTCGCGCTTGTCCTGTGTATCGAAAAATAATCCAACGGTTACAGCCCAATTGAATGAATCTACCTAGTTTCTAGTTTTGAAGCGTCAGTTCATCATGGAAGAAGGTTGAAAAAGCGAATGGGTGGTGATACCTCCAAATGTTCCTTAATTACAAAGGCGCTTTGGGCAGTGCATAAAGTGAGCATCAAGGGCTTACCGAGAGCAATTGTTTATGAGTATTTAGTCTATGAGTAAGACGTATCTCAGGACATTCTCCGGATACCCGGGTTGGATAGACTGTAGCCTATAGCCTTGTATAACGGACTCTGGTGAACATGTGGTACTGCTGCTGCTGCTGATGGCTATGACCATTGATTACCCATCGTGATTTAGCAACTCTTCTTTCTTTCTACATAAGACAAGCCCTAATCATCCTGACTTAAAGTCTAGCATTGCATACAGACAGCCTTGCATGTTTCGAAAAAGAAAAGAGGACGAGCTCCAAAAGGACGAGCTGCAGATGGGCGTAAAGCAGTTGGACGAAGAGAGAGAATGACACAACATGGCCGTTGCTGGAGATTGCCTGTTCATGAGGATATGGTCAAGAAGAGAGCTTGTAGACTATGAGGCGAGTTATATATTCTATGCAAGGTGGAGGACATGGTGAAATGCACTCTTTCTCGCAACTTTTTTCTCTGTGAACACTCTAACACTCTACAACCAACATCACTGTTGCAAATTACCTTCCTCGCCAGCGTTCCAATACACGAGAAACGAATGTACATTCTACAACTGTGTCCGGGAACTGCTGGACAAGCAAGCGGCAATCCAGACACAGGAGCATCGCATTGAACAGGGTCTCCCGGTCAGGAACGAGGACAGACCTGTGCCATTGACCAAGTCAGAAAAAACTTGCTTCGGTCGCACCCAACGGTGCCAGTTCAAGTGAAAAGCGTCCTTTTAAATGTGTCCATCCAATTTGAAAGGCGCGAGGATAGAAGCATAGCTTTCATCTGCGTCTGTAGAAGGCCATTCCTGACAAGGGATAGCCTGAGCAAGCAATACAAGCGGGTCTGCGTCCATTCCAACATCCCGATCAACGTTCCAGGGCTTCAACTTATTGACAGCACTCAAGTCCTCCCTGATGGTTTGGAGGCCGTCAATGCCTCAGGTACATTTGATGCCGAGGTTGATGAGGAGGGCGACAAAGGCGATGAGACGTTTAGCGGCAGCAATGCACTCATATTCCACTAACGATATTTCGGCTACTTCAATGACATTTGATTCAGGGAAAGTGGCTGGTACAACTATCCGAGAGTTCGTACGGGGCATGGGCATTGCAAATACACAACAGCAACATGCACAGCGCACGCTGATCACGGCCATGGAGTAACAGATCCTGAGCTCTATTGCCCAGACTGCAGCAGGTCAAGGGCAGGGGCAAGCTGTGCAAGCTGCTTCTGCTTCTGCTTCTGACACCGAACCTTCCAGTCCGGTTTTTACAAGTAGAAAGGGAACGCGCTTTGACGCCCCTCACTTTGGAACATTCAGGCCCCCTAGTTGTATGTCTCCAACTGAAAATAAGTAAAATAAAAATGGCGGTTTGGTGGAGCAAGTGTAGATCGGTATAAAAATTGGGCAGATGTAGAGACGGGAAAGCGCATGGTCTCGCCTTGCTTATCATTTTCCACGACAGTGAAAGCTAGGTAACTCCCTACGCGTCGGTATGCTTGCAATCGATTGGAGTATCTGGGGTGTCGAAGGATCTAGGATGAAAAGGGTATTTTATTGGGCGAATGCTGCTACCTAGTTCTATGCGTAGATAGGGTTTATATACTAGTTGCATCGGTGTCAACAGCGCACTGGGATATTATAGAAACTGGGCGAAGCACTGACGACATCATAGCATACTAAATCTAGCATTAAACCTTTGCAAAGATCCACGATAGTGATTTTGAGTCGTAAAGTACTACTCCAATATGATCACAAACGACTGTCTGTTTTCTCTTTTCCATGGCACCTCGTCATTCAGCTTCGAAATGGAATCTGGCTCAATCCTGCTTCATATTGGATTGGACGACGAGGAAACTGATATGTAAATCTACATGTAGACCTAGTATGACACCCCGTTGTCACCGCACTACTGGTAACCAGCAATTTAGTGCGTCGCCCAGGTGTGTCAAGAATGTAACACATCTGGTATCAGAGAATGAAGCTGAACTACAGCTTATATCAAGAAAGCTATGGCTAAAAAGATCCGGACCCTTAAACGAATTGAGGTGGTGGGACTAGATGTGTGATAGGAGTAAGAGCAATCTATTAACAATTACGTACTGGGTACGGTGGCGCGTGGTCGGGGCAGAAGGAAAAAAGTGCGGGCTGGCATAGAGAAAGAGGTGCTAAAGTTTGCATTCTTGACACACCTGGGCGACGCACTAAATTGCTGATTACCAGTAGTGCGGCGATAACGGGGTGTCATACTAGGTGTGTCCAGGTGTGTCAGGTGCTTAAGCACTTAGAAACCCAGGTATTAATCATAAAGCGTCTTTTATATGAAGGAAGGATGCCCGTGAGATTATCTTTGTTTCGCTATAATAACAGGGTGGAAGATTAGAGCTCTCACGGGGGTGCGAGAAGAATAAAATCTCACGGCGAGATAGCAGTTGCCTTAGATGCGCAATTTGAAGCACTCTTTACCACAAAGAAAAGTATAACCAATCGCGCTCTTTCTATGAATGGCATATGAAAACCACACCACCGCCATTTTTTGTGTGATTACGATGCAACGCGCTCCTTCTTTTTCTATCATAATCGCTGCAACTTGTTATCCTCAGTATCATGATAAAGGTCTGCATTGCGATGAATTATTTTTATATTAACTAGCCTTCATTTCATTTTCACGTACTCTGGTGTTTACTCGACGCGTCTTTGTCCTCGTCTACACCCATCATGCAGGCAGGTATCTTCACCAGCGTTTTGAAGGTCAATTTCCCCGCTATGCTTCCATCCAATTCCTCGGCGCTCCATCTCCATGGATGTTGGTTCGCGTTCAATGCTTATTTTATTTTATTTTATTTTATTTTTTTGAGCTTCATAACGTACATGTAGGCTGGCTATCTTTATAGGAAACTACAGTTTCTCTGCTCGATAGTGACAGGAGGACCATCTGTTTTGATGGATAGTGAAACTTAGAATCCCCTCTACCTTATTACAGTTATTCATCTTTGCAACCCGCATGTTGGCGATCCCACTCGTGAAGCTGCTGCTCGTGACTCCATAAAGCTATTTCGTCCGCGCGCATATTAACTGCCTTAATGGTCCGACACAGTCATCGAAGACGCGACTATCAGACCTTCAAAGAGTACTCCACCGAGCGAGTGGGAGTAATCGACGGCTTGAGGCGATTATCTGTCTGTTACTATATAACATCTGATGTTTGATATACGCGATTGCGTGCGTGGAAATACAGTCTCGATAGCCTCCTTGACCAGTGGCCCCATTCATGCGTTGTCAAACTCCTGCTAGCCGTACTTACAGCGATAGCAGGAACCAGCTCAATCTGGGTACCTCATCGCTGATGGATAACCTTGCTTAGGTCACGACTTTTAGTCACTGGATTAGGTACTCGGCGGCCTCATAGACTGCCGGCGTGTAGCGAAAGAATGCCGCTGCAATGGATCGGTATCTCTCTGCACTCTTACGAGCTAAATAAATCATAGGAATCCAACCCGTCGTATGAAACTGTCTTTCAATTGAGAGCGCACGAGCAGGAACAGCATCAGTTTCTTGCTTTAGGTCCACGTAGTTTTCGATATGGCAGGCCGCAAATAACGAAAATCGTGTCTTAAATGGATATACTCCACCTCAAGCTCCTCCACGGGAGTGCGGCAAGAGTCATTGTCCAGAAAAGATGCTGTCTATCTAGTGCCAGTTTTGGTATATTTCCATGGGTGTAAACTGAAAATCCGCGACCCATTCGACGATTCTGTCAAGGCCAGCACCACGCACATTGCCAATTCTGTAAAGCAATTGCTTGAGCTTGAAAGGTCCATTCACGTTGCGTAGCGCGTTTTCATGCTCACTTGCAGTGGATGGTTCCAGGCTGTCGAAAAGGTTGTTCTTGTCAAGGTTGTCAATGAAAGAAAGGTCTTCTTAATCTTGTAGGTCTCAGCTTGGGCGATGTATTCTTCAGACAGCAACGTCTCCCTCTTGTGTCCCCTGTTGTGTGCTCCAAACTGACGATCAATTAATGCGGAACTCCCAGGGACCTCGACGAATGTTCCATAAATATCCACACAACCTTGTGTCTGATCTGAGAGAAGGGGCAGGTTGGAGCTTATTCAAGTCCCAGCGCCCTGGCGCTTCCTTGGTCATTTCGGCCAATGGCGTGCCATCGAGAGGTGTAGCTATTTGAACGCAGATGAGTTGGTAAAACAAGCTTCCGATTGAGGAGATCTGTCAAGTATAGGTTGTGCCACACACATACATGTATACAAAAATTTATAAAGAAAGCACTGTCAGATATAGTGAATGGATTTCAGATTATTGAACCATGAACAGAATAAGGGTGTTGGTATCTCATGTCGTTGAAGCCAACCTAAAGACTATGGTGAATTAGAAAGCACTTTTCATCTAGGGTAAATGTCTACTCTGGCAGCCTCGTCATGTCTGTCTAATCCCTTGAAAGTACATTTCCCTTGGAACACAGTTGCCGATATGAAGGATCGAGTAGTGTGATAATACCAGAAGATACTGCCTGCGAGCACAACAAACAGCCTGAGGAGTCCAACGTGCAATCGTTTCGCATAAAATGTTTTTGATTAAGAGTGGTATTTCGTCCGAAACCGACCGCTTTTATTAGATGTGCTATCCGTGTCTAGATTGTGGGAGAAGTCTACTTATCCTGAAGCACCACCATCGGTTACTGGAGCACTCTATAGCCTGGTATCGTCAGCGCGATTTGACAGGTTTCGTGGTATGATGCTCTTTTTCATGGTTAAGACAGCAACAGGTCCCTGTTTCTGAGGAGCAGCATATGTGGTAGGGTCATAAAGCGGAATTGCTATTCATCTATTTTCTCGCCTCTATCCTATTTGGCATACGTAGTATTCCAATCGAGCCATGCGATGCGAAGTAAAGTATTGGTTTATTAGTGCAAGGAAAAAAGGTGGGAGTGAACGTTCGCATTGCACCGTTTTGAGTTCCTACTAGGTTTCGTTACCTTGTGGTCATATGGCGTCTCATCTATTTGCGTCGCGCGACGCGTCCTTTGTATTTTGAAATCGCGAATAGAGTTCGCTGCGTTGTTTTTTTTTTTTTTTTTGGAGGGGAAACCAAATTGGACAGGGCAACTGTGCTCCACTGGCGATCTTCAACAGACGGCGCACACCACAATTCCTCAGCCTGTTTCGGCAACATCACAGGATCACCAGGAATCGAGTTCACGCAATGACAACGACCCTTGACCAGACTATTACTGCACTCGAGATCAGTGGAGACAAGTGCGATGCTGATCCACCGGCTGCGTTGTCGCTGAAGGCGGATGAGGAACACCCGAAGTCACAGCCAAAAACGCACGCGGACGAGGACGACGCGGACAACGCTAACTGCCAGGATAATAAGGGCAACGCAAAAAATACCGGAAATTCAGAGGACGAAAGTGAAGGAGGAGAACAGTCCAGTCCAGGAGCAGCAGCAGAGGATGATGAAGAGGGAGGAGAAGAAGAGGAGGTCGACTACGAAACGCAGCGTCAGCGCAACATCTTGAAGAACCAGCAGCTCATGATGGAGCTCGGACTTAGTCCTGCATTACTCCGAAAGAGCTCTACCGTTCAGACCAAACCTGCAAAGGACGGGAATTTTGATGACGATGACGAATACACAGAGGAGCCAGGACAGGCCCGGAAACGTATGAGGGTTCCCAAGCAGTCTTATCAGATCATTCGAACAGATGCCGTACAGACAAGGTCATCCAAGAGGATACGAGGCGAGGCTGCGATACAACACAATGTAGATCTAGAGGCACTCGAGAAAGGGCTGGTACTGAATTTGAATGGGAAGGAGAAAGAAGAAGATCAGTCGAGTTCAGTGCCACCAGAGAAACTGGGTTCGTACTCGAAAAAGATCCGATGGAGAGGCTTCAAACAAACTACAGGATACACAGTCGAGGCAGAGATCCCATGCGCAGCCGCGCCATTGACACTGGGTACGCTGCTGAATTCAGGAGCAAAAAGAATGCGATACTTCTCATAACCGTGGTATACTGATGACTTTATCCTTATAAATGTCTTTTGTAGGAAGCATAGCGACGACAATTTGGGACATCGGAAAGCTATACACAGGGAAAGAAAACCGATTGCGGTACTGGAGCGGAAAAGGAGTAAGTGGGTACTACACGGCTGCTAGTCTGCTCTCGCTTTGTTTTTCTAAAAAGGATGGATCGGGGTGTTGACCAGCACATCGACTTTTCCGTGTTGTGTATTCCGTTAGAGTCTTTTTCGTCATCCATATCCGATTGGTTTCAAGGCAGAAAAGTACCATTTTCGGGATCGGTACACGATGCATATCAAAGAAGGACCTGATGGGCCCATCTTTATTGTGGAGTCCGCGAGTGGGACAGTCTACGAGGGAAACTCACCAACACTTCCATGGACCAAAGTATGTCTGGACAGCTACTCCAAGGGAACACGGATCAGCGGGCCCTTATTTTTCGGCTTTTCGGACCCAATTACGCAAAAGATGATCGAGGATCTGGATGGATACCAAAATTGGGAGACCGTTGTGGCAGAAGTTGAAGCAGAGGAGCAAGCCCGGCGGCAAGCACTATTAGCCAAGGAGGATAATTGAGCCGTATACCAGAAGACTGATCCGTAATATAAACATGTTCACATATTCGCATTTCACATACTTTATGAACACGCTTATCGCATTAAAGCACATACAGCAAATATATGTTCTCGGTTCTGTTCAATGGCGTATGCCAGCATGCCAGTATGATGATATGCCATGCATAGTGTGGCCTTGCCAGTCGTCCCTGAACATGTGGAGCGCTGCTGGATTTAGATGCCTGGATGATTCGCAGCCACTTTCACGGGCAAACAAAACCTAAAAAATAAAAAAAAGAATTTTTTCATCCCCTATCCCATTCCTCACTTTCCCACCCTCCTCCTCCCTCTCACCTTTATCGCCCTCCCCACTCTTCCTCTTTCGTTTGCCTTCTTTTGTTCAGCATCGACCATCCTCTACAGCGCCCCTGGCCGATTGTACTCATATCCTCTACCGACCGCTCTTGCTCGCGATAATTTCTCACAAAGTGTCGGAATCAAAGGAAACAAGTATGGCCACTGAATGCTCTGGCAGAAGAAGAAATAAGGCCGACACAGGGTCGGACTGGCGCTCACACCAGCTCGTCTAATCTCTTCTGTCTGCTTCTTTGCGTCCCTCTGTCCTTGTGTTCTCCAGTGAGGAAAACAAAGATTTTCGGAGGATCGTCTCACCCAGAGATCACCAATTTGATCACCAGCCGTCTCGGCGTCGAGCCTAGCCCCGTCAAGCTCTCCCAGTTCAAGAACAGGGAGACCTCGGTCGAAATTGGTGGGTCCATCCTCTGCTTCTTCGCATCCACCATGACGTCTGCCTCAGATATTCAGATCTTGAAGGATGGGGTGCGAACGCAAGGCTTGCTCAGCAACACATACTAATCAATTGGCGTCGTTTATTGGAATATAGGTGTGTCTGTCCGTAACGAGGATGTATACATTATCCAGTCCGGTTCCCCGAAGATCAACGACTCTTTGATGGAGCTCTTGATCATGATCAATGCCTGCAAGGGATCGTCAGCCCAGCGCATCACAGCTGTCATCCCCTACTTCCCCTATTCCAAACAGAGCAAGAAGAAGAAGCACCGTGGAGCCATTGCTGCCAAGTGTATGTGGGTCTAATAGTCGACACAAAATCAATTTTTTGAAAACCTGTCTCAGTAGTCATCTAATACTTGGTTTTTGCTCTGTGTATCTTGATAGTGGTCGCTAACATCCTCTCGATCTCAGGAGTGGACCATATTATCACCATGGATCTCCATGCCTCTCAAATGCAGGGATTCTTCAACATTCCAGTCGATAACCTCTACGCCGAGCCGACCGTCGCCAAGTGGATTCAGGAGAATGTCGAGGATTGGGAGAACGGCGTCGTCGTCAGTAAGAACGCCGGAGGGGCCAAGAGGTAAGCCGCTCGCATCTTGTTCGTCAATGCTTGTCTCATAGAGTGTTTGGAGAAAAAGCTGTTCTGACATGTTTTCTAAAACCTTTCAGGGTTACATCTTTGGCAGATCGCCTCAACATCGACTTTGCGTTGATTCACATGGACAGGTCGAGAAAGGCTCACGGTCCTGACCATTCTTTGTCGAAACCCGAGAATATTTACAACAGACTTGAAGAAGAGGATGACGATGATGATAGCATGGTCGATGCTGAGACTGGCCATGAGATCCCCCGTGCTGAGGCCGCGGACGAGACATCGTTGATGACCCTTGTGGGTGATGTCCAGGACAAAGTGTGCTTTATTGTCGTAAGTGTATATACTTTGTGAAGAAGGGACCAAGCATGACGAGACTGAAGGGACATATCATGAAGCGTTTGTAACGTGAAGCTAACAAACATACTTTTTTTTTTTTTTTTTTTTTTTTTTTTTCCTTTTGTACTTATTCATCCCTGTTAGGATGATATGATCGACGGATGCCACTCATTCCTGGAGGCTGCCGATAACTTGGTTAGTCATGGTGCCAAGCAAGTGTACATCATTGCGACTCATGGAATCCTCAGCGGCAACTCGCTGCGCCAGATCGAGGAATGTACCAATGTTCATAAGATCGTGATCACCAACACCTACCCCCTTCCAGCCGAGAAGCGTGCCTTGTGCTCCAAACTGCATATTCTGGACATCAGCCCTACGTTGGCAGAGGCCATTCGTCGAACCCACAACGGCGAGAGTATCAGTTATCTGTTCACACAGGTACCCAAGAACCTGTAGAGGATTGAGTAGTACTCACTAGACTCAAAAAATCAAAAAAACAATTGCATGCATTGAGGAGGATGTTCGCATATCAACAAAACTGAAGTAAAGCATATTGAATATCATTACTATGTGAATTCATCGCCTATGGTAGCGCGCTTTCCGTTGTTACTTGTATCCCATGCTTTGGCCAGCAAAAAGGCTGATATTGCAGCGCGTGTCAGCAGCGAGGTGCTGGAGCGAAGCATGCCTTTGTTACAAACACCGCAGCACGTATGCCAGGGGGGGCGGAGACGATAAGCGTAGAGGAAGAGTCATTTTGTACGCGTTGTTTGCTGTGTTTTGTTTGATTCGTCAATTGATGTCACTGGTGGCTTTCGACTATTGTTTGTTATTGGTGGGTTCCTGGGAAGGATTTTTCTCGCCGAAATATAAACATCGTCGCTGTCCTTCTTTCTGCTTCTCTTCTCTTTCTATCCCTCACCCTTTCCTCTCATATCCCTCCCACCATGTCTGTCGGTGTAAGTGATCTGCACCAGAATTCTGGTCGTGTTTGCAAACAAGCCGAAAATCGTCTATGAACTATCCCGCTGACCGGATCATTTCTATCTGCATGCGTGTGTGGACTATTTTAGACCATCTACTCCTATCCCCAGAACCCTCGTGTCTTCAAGGCCCTCGTTGTCGCCAAGTACAACGGTCTCGAGGTCACTGTTGATGACAAGTTCACCATGGGCACCACCAACAAGACCCCTGAGTGGCTCGCCAAGTTTGGAGCCTCCCAGGTCCCTGCCTTCGAGGGCGCTGACGGCACCATCATCATCGAATCCGGTGCCATCGCCTACTACCGTACGTATACATATTGAAGTGCTCAATTGATCACCCACTGCATTATCCCATTGCTGGTGTTATAGAGGACCCGAGGGCGCTAAGAGCGAGTGAATGATGAGTTTGTTTTTTAATCAGTTATCCCTGACTTAATCAACTGTGTCGAGAATTTGATTTCTGAAAAAACCGCTCGCCCTCGATCGTCCTCCTAACTCAGCATTGGTTTGGGCATTCGGTTTCCACAACAACGATGATTGTCCTTGTGCATCTGCTAACCTCTAGCCGTTCACTTGTCTGCTTGAATATATACAGTCGCCCACTTGAAGAGCGACTCCACCTTGGTCGGCCGCTCCAACTCCGAGGAGGCCCATATCCAGCAGTGGGTCCAGTTTGTTGACTGCCAGGTTGTCCCCTTTCTCAGCAGCTGGTTGTACCCCATCTGGGGCTTCGTCCCCTACAACAAGGTCGTCGAGACCCAGTCCATTGAGCGTGTCAAGGCCTCTCTCCAGACCCTTGAGCACCACTTGATCAAGAAGACCTATTTGGTTGGCGAGCGCGTCACCTTGGCCGATATCTCCGCCGCCGCCTCCCTCTATACTGGTTTCAAGGCCCTCTTCGATGCTGATTTCCGCAAGACCATCCCCGCTGTCACCCGTTGGTTCACCACCATCGTCAACCAGTCCAACTTCAAGGCTATCGCCGGCGAGTTTACTCTCTGCGAGACCGCCGCTAAGTTTGCTCCTCCCAAGAAGGATACCAAGGAGAAGAAGCCCAAGGAGGAGAAGCCCAAGGAGGAGAAGAAGCCCAAGGCTAAGGAGCCCGAGGAGGAGCCCGAGGAGACCTTCGAGGATGCCCCCAAGCCCAAGTCCAAGTTGGACCTCTTGCCCGCCGCCAAGATGCCCTTGGATGAGTGGAAGCGCCAGTACTCTAACAACGATACCCCCGTCGCCATGAAGTGGTTGTGGGAGAACATCGACCTCTCCGCCGACTACTCGATCTGGAAGGTCGACTACAAGTACAACGACGAGTTGACCAAGCTTTACATGTCCAACAACTTGGCTGGTGGTTTGATGAACCGTCTCGAGCGTGCCCGCAAGTATGCCTTCGGATGCTTGGTCGTCGCTGGTGAGGACAACGCCAACATCATCACCGGTTACTTCATCGTCCGCGGCAATGCCGATGAGATGATCGAGGAGATCACTGATGCCGCTGACTACGACTCCTACACCTGGGTCAAGGTCAACGTTGACGATGCCGAGAAGGAGAAGATCAACCAGGTCTTTGCCTGGGAGGGTTCTATCGATGGCAAGCCCATCTCTGACGGAAAGGCCTTCAAGTAAATACCCTGGTACCCCTAGAAGAAGCCTATCTGGGCTTGTAACAATCTTGCACATAATAAAACTATCTAAAAATATACATTCGAGTGTCCTTGTTATCCAAGTAGGAGAGAAATAGTGGTTTGGAAGGAGCTGGACATCCAGGGCGATCGCGTCGCGACGCGCATGTCGCTGTCATGATAGCTGACCCCTGCAGAGAGGTTGCACGAGGATGCACATGCATGCCCCTTTTTCGTGCTCCAATGGTCCGCATACCGTTCGACAGTGCAGAGTGCAAGTTGATTCCTTGGCGACATGGTCTTTGCGGATTACATTTCTCATTTCACACTTCATTCTCCACTTCGCTTTCTTCATTCGACACTGCCCAGTCGACCTTTTTTTTTTTTTTTTATTCGAGCTACGGTCATCAGAGGAAGCCCTCACCTTCCACCTCACCCTCCTTTTGCCAACTCAGTTGCCCTTGCACCTCATTCCCTTTCAACGCAATGACCGTCGACGACAGCGAAATGCAAAAGTTGTGGAAGCTGACCAACGAGCTCACAGCCCAGCTGATCTTCAACAGGAACGTGACCCTCGAGCTTAAGCAGCAGCTGGCCGATTTACAAGTGAAGACCTCGGGCAAGGCACCCATCGTTGCTGCTGGTTATGGCTATGGCGACTATAGTGAGTGCACGTCGATCTCCACATGGTACAAGACGTCCATGGTCATTTGATATGGTCCTTAACATTGCGGGATATCCTTGGAAACATCCATCTCTGCACGTTAGATCTGGCCGATTACAGGCTGAGGATAGCGAACGAGCGTCTAAGAGAGGAAAACCAGCAGCTACAGGATCAATTGCGCGAATATGAACGCTGGATGGAGTATATCATGGGCAAGTTTCGTCTGCAGAACGTAAGCTCTCCATTGTGCAAGACATCAAGCGTATACCATATCATGCTACGCCATGCCATGTTATGTTAAACAGGGGCATCAAACCGATGCATTCTATTGATCCTGGATAGTTTGCGATGGCGCAAAGCAGGAAAGAATCGATGCAGGAGGCCTACAAGATGGCTGAACAAGGCGGCGAGGCTGCCATGAGGCTCCAGGAAGAAAATACCGCGCTCCACATGCGAATCTCCGACTTGGGTGCGGTTGCTCGCAAGGCCATCCACGAGGAGTACTACACGACCGAGTCGTTGATTGAATCTCTCGAGGCCGAGAACCGAGGCCTGCGCGAGATGTTGGGCGTTGCTGAGGGGCGTCATGGGGCCATAACAGGACGAATCCATTTCCACCACGAGGAAGAAGACGATGAGGTGCGTCGTGTTTCCAACCGTGTGTCGTTCCCCAGCACAGGTAGCACAGGTTCCTGGAATATGGCCTCGGGCGAAAGTGACCATGAGATGGCTGCAGCTGAGGAGCCGTTATCGCCAAGGCAGCTGATGATGCGACAGCAACTTCAGCAGCAGCAAGAGCAGGGTTTCTTGATTCAGGCACCTGTCCCCTTATCGGTCTACACAGGTTTCCACTCTCCAACAACAGCATCATCTTTCGCCTCATCTGTTCCCACCTCGCCCCGATCCGTGTCTTCGTTTTCGTCCACATCAACGACAACACCGACATCGCCCTCCTCAGGACTGAGATCGCCCGGGCTGTTGGATTCGACGGAGCAATTCAACTCGATCTCACCACCTCTGGATGATGCAGCGACAGGACATGGGGATATAAAGCAGAAGGGGCACCGCGGCAAGATCACCATCAACACGAACTTGGGTTTCTCCAAAGCTAGCAGAACATCTTAGGGAACAAAGATACACTTTTTTTTTTTCATGAGAAGTCCACACAGTTCAAAGTTAAGAATAGTATTATCCACCACCTTGTCGTCCAGCTGTATATACCACATCGGATGCAGAAAGTAGACATGAGATTCTGCATTTGGCATTCATGGCTCTAAATAGGCTTAACATTTCAGCCCGCATCAATATCGGACGTCATGTAGATTGCATGCAGGCAGTTGGACAACGTTTGGTGCGTTCCTCTTTCTTGCACACTCTCGCTTACCTCTTCTCATTCATTCATCTCATTCCCAACATCGCAGTTCATTCCCTCCACCATGACACATAAGCCTTTGCTGGCTATCCACCACAAGGTTGCCCTCTCAGTCGGAGGCATTGTCCGCTACCGCATCAAGGTCCATCCGACCCAGGTTCACAATATCAAAACCCTTCAATTCCGTGTCCACAACAGTTCCCCTGTTTACCGCAACATCACCCCCGGCTCAGGACCCTGGAAGATCTCCATCGCGTTGGTCAGAAACCCAGATAAGACACCTGTTGTTCCAGAATTGGTCCCGTCGATCGGGTGTGCGCAGGTCTCTCGACTGGACGCTTATGTGAACCATGACGAGACCAACAACGACGAGGGCAACAACGAATGGGAACTCGAGATCTTGTCTGAAATGGTGCTCCAGCCCAATTGGATCGATATCAAAGTCGAGGTCTTTGTGGTCCCTCGAGAGAGTACTCCTGATCTGAACGACAGTGCAGCCGACAGCAACAGCAGCAACAGTTTGGCCAGTGGGACAGACGAGGAGGTGCGCCCTCATCTACTGCTGCCGAATATTCTCTCGTGCGAGTATAAGGACACTGCAGCGATTTGTGGTCCAACCTTTCCCAAAGCCGACAATCGAGCCAACAAAGACGAGGCCCAGGATAATGACGATGGACTTCACCTTGTCATTTTAACCCATGGTGTCCACGGCGCCTGGCTGGACATGTTGTACATCAAGGAGCAGATTGACGCCCAGAATGCCAAGCACGGCAAGACTGTCACTTTCCTGACGGACACGAACCATGCGGGCACGGAGGAAGGCATCCAGATGGCAGGGCGGCGCGCAGCACTGGACATCCTGGAGTTCACAGGATACTGCGACACAGAACACGGGCAGGAGCTCTACCGGTCGTTGTCGACCGTGGCCAAGAACAAGTCGTTATCCAAATCCAAGCCCACTGCAGGATCAGGAACGGAGGCACCTGCAGCGACGACATCATCGAACGGTAAATCAAAATTTCCTCGCGGCTTCTCTAGGATCTCCATCATCGGACATTCCCTCGGCGGATTGATAAACATTTATGCGCTCGGATACATCGAAGACGTGACCAAGGGCGAATTCTTCAAGACCCTTCAACCCGTTCATTTCATCACTCTGGCGACGCCGATGCTAGGAGTGGGGTTCGAACATCCTTGGGTCCTCGGATTCGCACTGGCTCGCGGAGTACTTGGCCAGACGGGCAAGGATTTGGCCCTTGAGGACCGGTCGTCTAAACACAAACGCTCGGCCTCCTCCACGTCGTCGTCGTCGTCGTCATCGTCCAAGCACACCAAGGACGGCACCTCCAGCGAGATAGCCACCGCTGCGCACACGGCGTCTAGTACAGCAGCTTTAGACAAGAGCACGACAAGCCCACCAGAGTGCGCCCTTGACCATGGCCCGGGACCCTTGCTGCTGGCGATGGCACGTCCAGGTTCAGTCTCGCATCGGGTTCTGAAGCAGTTCAAGGATCGGACCTCGTATGCGAACATCGAGAACGATATGGCCGTGCGTTTCGAGACCTCAACTATGATGGGTATTCCCACTTTCGACATAAACCAGTTCTTCTCTCCAGAGGGTGGCGCTCCAACGTCAAGGAAGTCCTTTTACCAGTCTGCACTGACAAGCACCATGGCGCTGCTCTTTCCGAATGTCCCCACAAAGGCCAAGTTCCTGAGCATTGCAGATGCTCCCTCACCAATTGTGGTAGTCAGTCACGTTGAGGCTGTTGGCGAAACAGCAGGCAAGGATGGCTCGGAAGAACCAGCGCCGGCATCTGAGGGTCGAGGGAATACCGGTATTGAGGATGGTAAGGACAGTCAGCACGGTCAGCACAGCAAGGATAAAAAGCGACGATCGCACCCGAAATGGCCAGCAGTCGACGGATCCACGAAATCACCCAGCTCTTCGTCATCATCATTGCCTTCGATTCTGGGTTCTTCTAGTACCAAAGCCGCAGCTGCGACGGCTATATCGAAATCTAGGCTGGATTTGGCGCATCTTGTGGCGGAAGGATACCATACAGATATGGACTGGACCAAGATTGGGGTGTTTATTGAACATGAGGCACATGTGCAAATCATTGTTCGGCGCAAGTGGTACAATCTAGAGGGATGGAAGTGTGTCCAGGATCTGGTCGAGCGCTTCGACTTTACGTAGGGTGAAGGAGTAGATGACCTAGGTCAATAAAGATGCAATAAAAAAAGAAAGAAAAAAAAAAAAAACCGCAGTGCGCTGTCCTGATATATTGACATGAATGGGTTCTCGGGTTTGCGAGGTTGGGGTAGCAGACATCTGCCGCTATAGATATACAACTGGTTAAGCTGGTGGTCAAGTCGAACGAGGATTGTATTACTATCCCTACCAGCCAACCATTCATTCAATTCGCAGAGATAACCGTACATTCGCCACTCGTCCGTTCGGCTGTTATCGACTCTTTGGAGCCGCAGACAGTGCGTTCTTTATGATCCCTCATGAAAAATAGAGATATTATTATTTCGACTGCCCTTAGGATTTGTTCGCTGCAATGAATACTCGACCGTTGCACAAGCATGTCCATGCTTGGTTTACCAATTTGAGCGGAAGCTATCCATTGCTAAAGTGGTACGTGCGCTGCTGTTGGTGCAAGCACAGCACAACCTATATTTAAGGTTATCGAGAAGTCACAGTCGCGAAGGGTTGAGGAACATGAAATTGGTGGCACTTGGCACTCTGTTCATTCATATCGGCAAATAACACGATAAAGGCGATTTAGAATGACCATTGCATGCACTATTAAGTAGTAGTAGTAGTAGTAGTAGTAGTAGTAGTAGTAGTAGTAGTAGTAGTAGTAGTAGTAGTAGTAGTAGTAGTAGTAGTAGTAGTTTTTTTTATTTTTTTATTATTTTTTTATAATGAAGCCGGGGATGTAGGCCACAGAAGTGGCCACTTTAATCTCCTCTGGGATCAGGTTAAGGAGACCGCTGATCACTCCAAGAGCCAAGGCTCTCGTCTTTGCAGACGAGGAAAAGGAATACTCGACCTTTTCTCCTATGCAAGGGATCGAAGGGAAACCCTATTCCTGCTTTGCATGGGAGTGTCTTTCACTGCATCCTTGGTGCTTGAAGATCACATTGGAACTCCCGCCCGACCCACAGAGTGGCTCAAGGAACTAATCCTCGATTCGGACGGTCGACCGTTAATGAGGAAAAAGAAAAAGAGAGGAGGAAGAGGTCTCTTTTTTATACTGTTCAGGAGGACAGTGACTTCATTCGCTACTGATCAAACTTGTCCAAATGGGCCATGTGAACGAACAGACCGCTGTGGGACTTACTTTTGAGGTTTCAGTTCGAATTGAAAGCGGATGGGAACAGATATCTAAAGTCACAGCGTATGTGGGTGAGGCAGTTGGGGTGGGGGTATTAGCCATTCATGCTGGAACTCCTCTTTCAAAAAGATGGAGCTTTTGCAAAATAACCTTTCTATCTCCCGGTCAAGACAGTGCTCTTCTTCTCTTCTTCAGGTACACTGCGCTACCAAAAGACCAGACTTTCTGGCCCAAGTCTGGCTCTATCTATGACACACTATGCGACTACCGAATAGCAGAGAATCGCCTATGTGAAGTAGGAGTATGAAACTTGACCGATCCCGACAAGCAGAAAAGACACCCATTCAACATCTCGCCAAAATACACAATATCACGTGTATAGAGCCTTCAGAAGAGCTGGGCAGTTCTCCAGAGTTTGATGCTAACCCAGTCCTTCTTCCTCGAAAAAAAAAAAGGATCACCATCCACCATGTGCAGCAACCTGATCCACTTATTCACACGCACACCCTTCAGTAGGGTTATCCAGCTCAGCCGCGGGTGTGGACATGCCAAAGGATACAGCTAGTCTACAGAATACCTCGTTGAAGAGAAGATATACATGGAACACTGTCATTCGCAGTAGTAGTCTCTATTCCGTCGGAATTGACTTGCGGTTCATCTGGACACGACAGCTGCCATATATCCTCTTTTTGCAGAGGTTATTGCTGCGTCAAGGGATTTTATACACGGAATATTATCATGGAGACTCAAGCGTTGGAGCACTGGACACTAGTGAAGACTCAGGACATGAGCAGCCATTTCGTGAACAGGAAAGATAAAGCGAAAGAAGATGTGCCTTTTATAAACATATTGGACGAAAAAAAAAAAGTAGTCTTATGTTCATTCGAGGAATACAGTATATAGAAAGCATTGGTGAGAGAGCTATAGTGCACTAAAAAAAATAACAACGGCCTGTCTTTCGTAAATCGTCCTTCATACCTTCCTGGCACTTCTGCTGCTGCTACTGTCTCCTCTGAACATGTCTGCTCCTCGGAACACACTCATTCTTGCTCACAAAACCGATGCTGTTCATCCTCCTTTCCTCCCTCCTCCTCACTCGCGCGATCCTGTCTACCTACCTTAACCACCTCTTGACCATCCTCGGCCTCCTTAAACAAATGTGTCGACCACCAAAAGAATCTTTTGTTCGACTCCTTTGCCGCCGCCGCCACCGTCTTCGCCGATGCAGCCTTGGAGCTCGTCGTCGACGCTAAGTACTCGTTTTATCAGTCACGTTAGCCTCCTTCGCTGTACCTCCGCCATTATTACCGGCGCCGACGAGACTCACAGTTCCATCTAAAATCCCGCCTTTCCAAGGCTCTGGAGCGTCGCCGAGGGGGAAGGGCGACATATCAAAGAGGGCGCCGAGATAGATGCAGATAGAGTGCGTGGCACGGAAGATGATGAAGAAGGCGGGACTCTTGAGGAGCGAGGTGATAGAGGCCTTCGGCTGCAAGGTCATATTCCACGGGATTTATGTAAAAAAAAAAAAAAAAAAGAAGCACAAACTTAGGCCCATGGATACTGGGCGAAGCTGTATTTCCATGTTTGTGCCCCGTGCTCATGTTTACAAGTCTTAATTCTTTGTTGCACAAAAGCCATGCAACGCGTGGAAAACTGGACTCCATCTCATTCGACAGTGGAATCTGCCAATTACATATCCCATTGGTGTCCTGACGATCATCATATGGGGGGACCATAGTCATCAATGCAACGCTAAGCTCATATGCACACAAAAAGTATTGTTGTTTGTATAACAAAAAAAGAAAAGATGGTGGTCTAGTCTAGGGGATGCAAGCAAAAAATACAAATATGCGAATGGAAAGAATAAGAGAAAAGGAGGGTTACGGGTATATATGTACAATGAGAACAGCTCTTGAGGACCAACTGTTACTGGCGCTGCTGCTGCTACTGCTACTGCTGCTTATGCTTCCTCTTCAAGCTCAGTTTGTGCATGAAGTTCAAGCCTCGAGGGGTTGATGATTTTGCAGCAGCAGCAGTACTGTCACGGGTGTCCTGCACCAAGTTGTGATTCCCAGCAGCGGCTTTGTCTTCTGTCGATTCAGTATCTTGCAAAATTGAAGTATCCTTAAATGCATCACCCTCCAAAGAAACCTCCCCCTGCTGCTGATGCTGGTATTCTTGCTGTGGGATGCGCTCCATCTTCCCGCTAGAAATATGGTCCATATTGAATGTCTCCTCCCCGCGCATAACATTCCTGTGGAAATCATTCATGGCCCAGATACTGCTTGGCATGTCTACGGGCATAGAGCTCGTCGAATGTCGAGGTGATGCCGGCGCCGAATTGACGGGTGACTGGTTAGGTGATGGGAACCCAAAGGCTGCAAATGTGGTGTGCTTCAATGCAGGATCATCACTTGTGAGCACCGCAGAGCTAGGACAGATCATCCCCGGAGACGTCAAGGCCAGTGGCAGTGTGACATGCGCTGGTGGGTTGGCTGGCATGGCCAAGGCCGTAAAGCTTGTAAAGTTCCGTGGGCTCGATCGTCCTTGCGAGAGGAGAGGATGTGCACTAGCGGCGGCTGGGGAAGGGGGCATTGACGGGCTGGTGTGACCATTGCCAACGTCTTCAAGCGATGGACTCGAGTTCGTAGCAGCTGCAGCGGTAGCAGCGGCAGAGGCGGCACCAGGAGGGCTGATTAGAGACGACGTCGACTGGGTCTGCTTGTGGCCGGGATGCGAAAACAGCTGCTGCAGACAATTGTGAGAATGCGCCTGGGTTCCAGCACCGATCTTCTTGCTATCCCGTTTGAAGAACGATAAATGGTGAGGGGTGCGGCTCTGATTCAATATTTCGCTTTCAGAACCATTGCCAGCGAACGGCCTGGATTGGTCTCCGAAATCGTACGATGCAGGCCTTGACTGCTTCAAGAAACTCTTGCTCTTCTTGGACTGGAGTTCATGCGGAAACGAAGTACCAATCGATGTCGAGATCATAGAATTGGGTGCGCCCAGGCCCTCGATATACTCGGCCTGCGTGGTATAGTAGTAAGCATTGCCGTACAGTTGAGTATCCCTGTTCCTGTTGGCCGCTAAAGAGTCGGACCAAACGGGATCTGACGATGTAGGCAGATTGTCCGCTTCGAGGATACACTGGCGCTGGAGTTGGGCCAAAGCCAAGAGTCGCTGGCGCTCATGCTCAGATAGCTGATCCTCCAGCTCACGCTTGTATCTCTGGGGGTGCACGATCCGGTACATAAAATTGAGGTTCTTCCTGCCGATCGATCCATGGCGATCTATACTTGCATTGTCGCTATCGCTTGTCTCTGTTCCTGCTGCATTGCTGTGGTGGCCGTGCCTGGGCAACGCCAGAGACAACGACCGCTTGGCTCGGGTCCCAAAAGACAATGGGTTCTTTGGAAAACCTGTGTCCGATTCCTGTCCTAGCTGAGATGGAGAGGATGCAGGTAACGCGGCATATAATCCTGTTGGCTCCGTCAGTTGCAACGGGGTCACGCGTGGGTTCGGAGAAACGGTTCTTGGTTCTGAGAACGTGGCCGAGCGACGTTTTGTGTTGCTGTTTTGATGGCGATGCAGGAACGAATGAATCTTGAGTGGAACGGAGCTCGATCGCTTGAGATCTTGCGGTTCGTTGACAATAATAGGGTTGACAGGACTGGCGGGAATCAAGTTGGCGGGGAAAGATGCGCCCGAGCGCGGTGGAGAGGCAGGACTTGAAGTAGGTAAAATATCCGTCTGTCGAGAATCAGGCTGGAACGAGGGAGATGAGGAGCCAGAGCCGTTCACATCTTCTGATGCCGTGCTCTGTTGGTACTCCGTTTCTTCGTGGGTCATGGCATCCGGCGCGTCTCCGCCCACGGACGGCAGTGATGGCGTGGATGGATTCTCCTTGATGGTTGGCAGACCCGCCGCAGATGCTTCATTTATGGTTAATTCTTTGGCGACCTTGGTTCCATCCTCCTGTTTAGCTCCTGCGGTTGAAGGATTGGTGGCAGCTTGAGTGACGTTGTGGGCTAATAGCGAGGGACTAGAAACAGCGGACTGAGAAACTTGGCTTGATCGCCCGCGACCAAAGACGTGGACCTGCTCATTAAAGGTGACGCGCTTGCTTTTGGAGGGCCTCGGACCTTCGGAGATAGTTCTGACCTGCGTATCCTGACTGGACACACATTCACCATTATCGCCCATCTCTATTTCTTTCTCAGGAGTGCTGCCCTCCTCTGCAGACCAAATGATCGGGATCCATTGCTGGTACTTGGAGAGTCGTCTGTGAAGGATCGAGTTCATGGACTGCTTGATTGCCAATCGCTTCTGGTTTTCTTCTGACTGGCATCCACCATCAGTCAGGTCGCCGCCCGTCGCCAAGATCGTTTTGGAGGCCCAGTAAAGTTTACCCTTGTGGCCATGGAAGGGGACCAACGGATCCTCTGCATCTTCACCCTCCGATTCTGATTCAATATCCAGGGCAGGGAACACGAACCCTGGGAAACGTCTGTCCCACTCGCACATCAATGGCTTATAAGACTGGATCCAATCCAGGTTTTCGAGCGTAAATGCAATCATGATGAGCTGTGCGACCGACAGGATGACCGAGAGGATATAGACTGTGAGGCCATGGATGATCGCGATAGAATACTGGAGGATCATGAGCACGGCAGGATGCGTCTCTGTACACCGAGCCAGCAATTGATATAGCTTCAAAAGAGAGTGGTAAATATAGAGTTTTTGGTCGTAGAAAAGAGGCGAGCTAAAGCTAAAGGTGACAGCATCGTGTTGATCCATGCCAGAAAAAGAGGAGGCAGAGGAGGTCGGCGACGATACGGTAGAGGAAGTAGCCGAGTCTGTTGGCTGGATTGATTTTGTCCGGGGGATGGTTAGCTTTGGCGCGATCTTTGTGGACACCTGTTGCGTGTGCTGCGTTGATGCCGCTAGGGATAGAGATGATTTCGATACAAGTTCAGCTGGTTGAGTCGGCTCTTTCAGAAGCGGTTGCTGATGGTACCGAGGTTGTTGATAGTGCTGTCCGATAGGTTGCTGCTTTTCTGCATCCATCAGGGCCTTCGTGATTGTAATAGCCGACATAGTGATGTAGATCCTGTGGATCCTGTGGCCAAGACACCCAGCTGGCTACGGCTGAGAATGTTGGGTGGTTGCTTGATTGCGAACTGGCACGTTGAGGACGGAATGATGGAAAGTAGACTATGGGTGCAGTGATGACACGAGTGCGAGTGTATGCGGATGCGCGAGAGGGTAATCAAAATCGTTGCCGGTTGCAGCAAGTCCGTCGGAGGTTGTTGATGCCGAGAAATTGATATTTAGACAGGTGTTCGTTGGTTGGACTGTGGTGGGATTTTTGCGATGCCAAGACCAAGGAATTACACGAGAAGCAGGAGAGAAACGGATGAGAGAGGAAAAAAGATAGAGGAGGGCGGCAGTTAGTCAGGGTTTCCGATCCAGATCGCAAGTATCCGATGGGTGTATAGTTGCGGCCAGGGATCAGCACATGCAATGGACCAAGGCAGAACAAATAAACAATGGGTGGCAGCAGCAGGCACAAAGATAGCAACGAGAAGAGAGATGCTTTGCTTGCCCGGGATGTGAATGAAGGCGGTGCGAGTGTGGGAAGGACGGGTGAAATAGCCTGCGAGAAAAGAAGATAAGATGAGGGGTCGATATAAGGAGTTGGTCTGATCGGATGAATCGAGGGCGTGGCGTGCAAGGAGGGCGAAGCAGGTGCTGGCACTACAGAGAGACTGCAGGTGGCGTGAAGTGTGAGGTATCGAGGGAGAGAGGCAATTGCTCGAGGCAAAGAGATTGACTGGTTGCAGAGGAGAGAATGGGAGAAAGCTGCTATGATTTCTCACCTTTCGTTATTGCTGGAAAAAAATGAAATGGGCGAAGTGTGGTGGGTTTAATTGGGAATCGATTAGGGCGGTAGGGGCTGAAAAGAAAAGTCGCTAGAAGGGAGAGTGATAGACAGAACAGAGTACTGTGCTGGATGCGATGTGCAATGGTATGAGAAGTGTGAGAGAGGAGAGAGAGGAGGAGGAGGAGGGGGATAAGAATGGGAGTGAAGGTCGGAGTGGGAGTGAAGGTCAGAGTGAGAGTGAGAGTGAGAGTGAGTGAACCGAAGAAAAGAGGAGCGCCACGAACAAATACATCGACTTCAAAAAACAAAAAAAGTTTTTGAGTGTTTCTTCCTATTGCATACGATTCATTCTGCATTCCCAACCGCAAAAGGAAACTAGTGCCACCAACTGCTCTCTTCACCCTCTCGGTGTTGGCGGAACCTCGATGCCGATCGAGTTAACCAACAAATAATAATAATACCAATTCAGTGTGAGCACTGCACACGCAGGGCTACGTGTATACACCCTGCTCGTGGAAACCAAAAAAAAAACGAGGCAGCGGACAAAGAAAGTAAATAAAGAAACTGTTCATAGTTGACTCCAAGCAGTGCCAATAAACCTGTAAAGGACCCTTTAAGCATCCTTTGACGCACTGCTCTGCATGAACACAAAAAACTTGAAGTGCTGAAAAAGGGAAGATTTGACACAGCTCAAGGTATTGTGGAGTTCAGAACATCACTTCTGCTTCGGATACGCGACATTACTCTTGAAAGCACCGAAGCAATTGGCAGAATATGCATCAAATGAGTTCATGCCGAAAGTAATGTAAGTAATGAAAGTAATGTAGGCGATATATGAGGGGAGTTACTATCATAGGGGTGTGAACAGAAGATGCTCCTCGGGACAATGGAATATGGCAAAAGGAATGGCCGGACAAGAGGCCATTTGGACAGTGCTCAGAGAGCCTTTTTCTCCAGTCAAAAAAAGGAATGTCACTTAATACTTCACAACAACAATTACGCACTGCACACCCCTTTCTCTCTCTCCACTTTAACAGAAGTACAACAAGTTGTTCCGCACAATTGCTGGCAAGGATCCCAGTCCCACTGTTTAGAGTTGATTAGTTGACAACAAAGTAGACACCACTCAGCCCACTTGTACAGGCGCAGTAGCAGTAGCGGAAGCGCCACTCATCCCTGGTGTCTCACATCCAACCGTATTACATAGAGCCTTACCAATGAAGTCGGCGACTTGTATTGTAATGAAGTAGACGCAGAAGGATGGCGTGTAGAGTGAAGTGATCAGGCTGCTATTTGGCGAGGCGTCCGTGGTGTCATCAACAGGCTTTCTTAAAAAGAAGGAAGAAAAAGAGATGCTACAGCGTTACAACTTAGTTTTTTTTACTACTTTTATATGGTGATGGTGGCTCTAACCCCATCTTCGGTTCGTAGGACCGCCGAGAGGTGATCCACCGTGTACCGTCATCTTGGGCCTAGAGTCCTCAGATTCAGAGATAGATACAAGAGACTTCTCAGAGACATCGGGGTGTCAAAATGATCATATCGGTAGGGTCTGTTTCTTTCCTCGTCTTTTTTTTATCTTTGGGCGAAAAAATCCGCCATCGTTAATTAACGACACTAAGGGATTACTTACCAACAACGAAGAAAAGGAAGGAGAGATAAGGAATAGGTTTAAGGTAGCCGAGTGAACCAGGGAAAGAGGTGGAAGAGACTATCAGGAATTGTGTACTCGTTATATGCTTATATGCTTATATGCTTATATGCTGTCCTTCTTGTTTAGACTGCGGACCAGGATCTCCATTGCTTTGTCAATACGGAATAAAGCGACTACGCACTTCGCTTCCGAGCGAACACGCGTCCTCCCCTTTTTGTCTTCTGCGGAGCATTTTCTTTTGATGGACCGCTGTGTTCATTATCGAGCCTGGCCCCTCTCCCGCGCCCTTCGTGTTTACAATCAGCGGTTCGCTGTAGCGCATGTTTGAGCGATGTTATTCCTTCTCTCAAGGATGGCGGACTATACTGCAGATCATGACCTACATGGTTGCATGGCTGAAAGACTCCATATTGTCATGTATATTCACTATCCATATTACAATCTTTATTCACTGGCCATATTGTGGCCCCGCTCCTTTGGGTCGTCATCGCCGTCGTCATCGGTAGCACTCTTTCTCCGGGATGTTGGGTCCGTTTATCATAATTCACCGAGTTCATTTATCACACACCTCAATCACCACTCAGACATTGAAAACCCTGGGTCGTGGACCCGTTTCCTGCAAACTTACTTCCCTTCATCCAATCTCAGCTTCCTTGGATCCAGATAATTCTTTCTCCGGAAAACGGTGCGACGGCACACTGGGCGGTAGGTTCGAAAAAAAAAGCACAAGCCAGCTTCACAGACAACGACCCATTATTATACAAATTCTTTTACTCTCCCGAACCATACGATCCACCCAGGCATTTGTGCAGTTTTTTTTTCTTTCCATCGGTGGCAAGAGTTGAAGAGGCGAGACATGGAGAGGCGGTTGTTGTTAGCCAGTGTAAAGAGACACTGTATACAGTTCATCATCTATCACTCATAGAGAATATGGCCATGGGGTCCAAGAAATAAATTGAAGGGACCCTATTGTATCTAGCCCTTTCCAATTCGGAAAGGCGCAAGATCCATAAAACCGGCTTAAAAAATCCCTGTGGACGGACCGGGAAACTTACTTTCCATCTCGCGTGTGCATGCAGCCAGCTGGACTCTGCACAACGCAGATTTTTTTTTTTTTTGTTCAGCGCTCACAACAACCACAACAATAAGTTACTGTAGTCTAGTCGACATGGATATACAAGATCCCGTTCTTATTATTGCCCAAAAAAGCGGTTAAGGAATATCCCGACCAAATTCGTAGGACAAAAAAAAAAAAAACCGCTTTTGTTGTGACACAGACAGGGCCCAAGTTGCGTGCGAAACAGGTTACTATTTGTGTCCGAAGTTGTCAGCAAGCGAACAAAATGGATTACTGTGCATAGTTCCCAGTTCAGGGCTTTGTGCGCGTAAAATGAATGAAGGAATGAAAAAAAAAAAAAAAAAACTGTTAGGGTTGTAGAAAAAACTAAGAGTTCACTTGACTTTAAGGATTTGGGGGGGATTTGCAAAGGATAAACCTTCGGACGCATACCACTACTCGAAATGAACGGTTACTCCATGAAAAATTCAAACTGCTTTCTTGAACTTTCCTCCAATTGTCACGAAACACATGCAAGATCTGTAAGCTGACGCGGCATTAAACAAAAAGTAGCATTGCTAGATACAAACATGACACGTAGCACGATCTGCTGAACATGACACCCATGGGGCAGACCGAATGTTGCTGCGCTCTTTTTTTTTTTTTTTTTTTTTTACTTTTTTGGATTTTGGATTTTGGACCCACAAAGATTGAGAAGTTGATCGTCATAATTGCTAGAGGAGTCTGCCTTAAAAGTTTATTAGGGAAGAGGTGCTTTAGAGTAGCTCAGCATGCCTTCAAATGTTCTCCCGCGTGAGCACAAAGACTTGGTCCGTGTCGAGAATAATCGTGTCCAATAACGGATTCGTGATCGCATAACACCTCGAACTTCCTCCGATTCCCAGATGTACCATCTTCGGATCATCTCCTTGCAGCCTCAGCAAGCCAATTGGGATAATACCCTGATCCAATGCCAGGTGCTCGTAAAGATGCAAAAAGTTCTTGTGCCGGTTATCATACATGTAATCCGAGTCGATACTATCGCTACTACCACTGTCGTTGCCACTGCGATTGTGATGGTGATGATGATAGTGTGGGCTTGAGTGACTGAAGAGCTCCGAGAGCCTTTGTTTGCCCACAGACGCCGTTCGGGAGAAGGACGAGCCTGCAGTCTTTTTGCTCCGCTTCTTTCTTGACTTCTTTCCGTTGCCTCCCTGGTCGTCGTCTTCATCGTCTTCGTCATCGTCATCATCATCATCATCGCCAGCCCTGCTTTCATCGTCACTGTTGTTATTGGACGAATTGGATGACTGATTGCCAGGCTGTCCTGCCGAGCCCTTGCGGGGACGCATGGTCTGGACTCCATAGCCCTCAGGCATAGGGATGCATGAGAGATGACAACCCGCGCCATACTGCTTGAAGAGATGAAAGTCGCGCTTCACATCTGCTTTGGTCCGGATACCACAGAGCAATTTGATCAGCTGTAGAATACTGGGGTTCGAGTAAAGCTGATACAGAACATGGTCCAAATGTCCCCCGAAAAGAACACCTCCGGAGGCATAAATCGGATTGTGATAGAAATCAGCAGCACCAGTATTGATGGTAGACTTTCTCCGCTGGCTGTTCTGCTGAGGGAGCCCGTAGTAGCCAGAGTCGGATTCTGGACCAAAGGGCTCCAGAGATCCACCGGCGCCTTCCAAGACAGCTCTTTTGGGTTCTAAAGTGCACTCGCTATCCTGTCCGATGTCGATCTCTGACTTGCGGATTTGCAAGAACTCAACTGATCGCTCCTCGACCAGTTCGTAAACGCACTGAGGACCTTCGTTCAACGATTCGAGCGATACCCTCTTGGTCGATGGCAGCCTCACAGTACGATCTTTAGCGGGATCGCAAGCGACAAAGGTGTTTGCATGTGACGATGAATGTGCTGCTGGATGATTGTCGTTAATATTTCCAAGACGACCAATCCTTGAGATCTGTGCATCGGAAAAGACTTGCTGAACGAGGATCCTGTTGATCACAGCGATACTGTCGAAAAACGATCCGTCAACACCGGCGTTATCAGGGTGCCTCATGAAAAGATACTTGCTCGACTTTGTGATCGCACCACGCTCCAGGTCATCCCGCGAGAGACAATCACCCTACATAACCAAAAGAGTGAAACATCGTTAGACATTGTCAGCCAAGAAATACAACTCAAGCGTATTTGTTATACTTACAATCAGGAAATAAAGCCGAGGGAAGCATTTTAGCGCTTTGAATTCTTGAGCGTCAGGTTGTCGGGAGCACAGAACAACGACATCCTGCAGTTGTTTCAGATGGGCCGATCGCAGAGTGCAGATGAGTCGGAATATATCATAGTTGGGTGAGCAGATAAGGATGTGGCCAAGCTCCGGACTAGTCTCTGACGAGATTGCTCTAGTCCTGTTTGATCTACCCTGCTGAGGATTGATCGCATCCACAGTTGCTAAAGTCGCACCATCTCCTTCAGTGTCAACTCCCGCACCCATATTCAGTCTGTCCAGCTCAGCCTGCGCGGCATTCTCAGTCCTTTTCTCCAGCACATCTGCCCAACTTTTGATGACCATATCCGAAACCTTTCGTTCGCCTCCGTTCCTTGAGTCAATCAAGATACACAAAGGCAACTTGGCGCCAGGAAAGGGCGCTGTAGGATAGCCGATTCGCAGGTTATCTGATTCCTCATCGGCTGACTTCATGCCCATCAACAGCCCCTTTTGTGTCTGCTCAAACAGAGCCTTTGCTTCTGATCGCTTCTCAGGCCGAAGCGCTTGTCGAGGTGTCTCTATCACAGGCAGAGGTGGTGGCGATGGAGACACGGCAGTCAGGGGAGACAGGGGCTCGTTGGCTCCTTGCTCAGCACCGCTATCCTCTGGCCCAGACATCAAGCTGACCTCAGGTTCCACGTCAATCTCATCGTCCTCATTCGTGATTGTCGGCATGGCAGAGTGGAGTTTGTAGCGTCCAATGTTTCGACTGTAGGATGCTCCAGTCTCACCATACACAGGATGCCGGGTCGATCTTGTTTTTCTGTGCTTGCCATAGCGTTTGGTTGAAGGCTCCAAAGTGATCAACGCCTTTGAGAAGTTCCTTGCATGGTAATCAAAGCCGATTGTCTCGCAATCTTCTTGATACGTGTCATGCAGATGCTGCAGGAAATTCTCGAGATGTTTCTCTGTCAGTTCGTTGATGTCGTCCAGATCTGTCGGATTCTGAGCAATGAAGATGCACTGTTCGTTGTGCTGGAAGCAGTAGTCCTTTCCTGGGTTTAAAGCTGTATGATACTCGCCAGACTGGAGTCGGATACGCACTCCGAACAGAATGACCTGAAATCTTCGGTACAGGAACTACGGGTATAGAATATAAGATCGGTCAGGACCACCCCCAAGACGCCGTTCATTTATCATTTTAGTCTATATACTTACCCAAGATACGAATCCGAAGGGCTTTCCGTCAAAGATTGGGTTTAGATATGAGATATAGAACTCGTTTCCAAGACTGTCATCGTACTCTGCTTCCCAGATCTCGTCAAATCTCTCAGATGGTCGATGCTGATGAAGCAGGTTCAAGATCAAGGTCGCAGTTGCTTGTTGTAAACAGTTGAATGCCAGAAGGACTTGACGCAGTTCGTCGGCGCATACGACTTGTGTGGCTGCTGTCCTTTGATACATCTCTGACTCTGGGAGAAGGTTGTATGTGTAGATCGCGGCATCACTGGCATTACGGAAGGCCAAGGTTGACAAAGTGTTGTGGCGATCCTCCTCCTGTGGCGAAAAAGGCGAGTTTCTGTCTGCAATGATGAAAATTCCTTCTGCGTTTCTGGCTTGAATTCTATCCAAGTCTTTGCTCTCCTAGAACGTCGCGACAACCCAACGATTGATATATACGTAAGATTTAATCTTGTATTAACAAAGGTGAGGTAGTCAGGCGAGCAGCAGCCTTGCCCTTACCAATGGAGTCCCCTTCAAGTAGACGACTCTGTTTTTGTAGCGAGCAGATTGCAAAAGCGCCTGGATGTCCTTGGATGGCTCACTCAGGCCCAGAATGACGATCTTAAATGCTGAGTTCGAGTATTCCTACCGGTTCAAAGCACATTCACCATGCGGATTAAAATCAACAGCGCAAAAACATATTTCCTGGACATTACAGATCAGGACGTACTTTGTTGGTAAACCAGAATCCGTTAAGAACGTTGGCCAACTTTTGTGCAGAATGCAGAGATCCGGAGATGATCATGAACTTGTGTCCTCCAGACTTGAATATGCCCTCTCCGGCTATTGAACGCACCAAGCCGTTAACATCCAATCACTTCACTTACTATAAGCCCTGCTAAAACCAATGTCGATGTCTACATACCTTTCGCTTGCGCAAGAGCATCCATAATTCCAGAAATCATCCACGGAAATACAGAAAGGACGGCGGTGATAACCAAGATGACAATGGCATAGCCCAGCTGGTTCTTTGGGGTCAGATCACCATATCCAATCGTGCTCATTGTAATCAAAACAAAGTACCTACATTCCGACCAAAGACGTTGTCAGAGTCATAGGGATCTAGTGCCACTCCAAGATAGCGCTGTTCTTCATATTCTTGACTTACAAAAGTTTCAACAAGTCGTTTTGGTCACCAGAGGCCAGTAACTGATCATACTCGGCTATCTGGAATGCCGAGATCGCGCAGTAGATCAGGGTGACAATGTACATCGCGAAGATGATCGTTTTGGACTTCAGTGGGTCCATTGGCAGATCTAAATGGATAAGAACATGTGTCAGAAAACTGGTGTCTACCAGACTTGAAACGTGATGCAACTCACTTGATGTCAAATCCATACCTGACACGCCAATGTCGATGTAAAAGTTGAGCGCCTGCTGAACTCTAGAGATAAGGGCAAAGCTCTGCAAAAAGTAGGGCACGTAGAGTTCATGGCCATCCTCCATAAAGATTGAGAAAATGAACGGAAGTGCTACTAATGTCGTGACAATATGCCTTGTACTCCGGAGAGATGTTGATTTCGATTCAGAAAAGACGATACTGGAGCAAACGGTAGCAAAGTTGTAGATAGCGATCCCGACCAGAATATGCCAGAGCGATCGACTTCTTTGGATGTGAAGCCAGTGAGATTCGTGGCCCGTTGGACGCGACAGAGTGCTGGCTTCAACGAGATAGAGCAGGCAGAACGCAAAGTCCACAAACACATTGATGACGTTCTGCAGAACACAAATACGGACGTTGGTTAAGAAACGAGAAGATAGAAAGTTGATCGCTCACACAAGCTCTTTACTCAGTGTAATATGGACTTACAAGTACTGTGGAGGTGATCTTTTCGTCTGTGGTATCTGGGGAGAAGGCTGCTCCTTTCAACCAGTAAAAGAACGACAAGAACCGGTTCGGGGCCTCCCCGAAAGAGTTTTGGCGATGGAGTTGATTCCGACGAGCACTGATCGAGCCAGTATAAGTGTTAGGAATTGAGGACGTCGTTGCAACGCTCCTGTAAGACTCGTGTCTTTTCAGCCTGCATTTTAAGTAATGGCCATCAACAATAGTTAGTACGGTTTTTTGGCACAAGAGGATGGCGTCGTTGATGATGGACGGGCAGCAGAGAATAAATCATCCGTAGGTACAGCGTAGGTATAGCGTGAGTGGACTTACTGTTGTTCCCTTGCATTCCGCACGATCGAGGTGCTCCTATTCAGAGGATCCTTAGGATCGCTGGGTTTATGAGGTTATTAGAGGTTAATTGCAGTTCCACGATATTGTGCTCTCAGCTTGTCGTCCACCATAGGCGATTGTTTTACCTAGTTCGGCCTGGCAACTCGTTGGACCGCCGTCCCAGATCGGGTGCGGATCCTGTGCTGTGGACAGTCGAGGTTGGAAGAAGAGCATGTCCGAACTGTGGGGTCGAGTTTAGGAACCACGTGCTTCGTCGTCTGTTGGACCCTGCGGCTCCTGATCCTGATCCAGTTCTAGTTCCTGCGCCTGTGTATATGCCCGACTCGCCTGAGACCCGTGGGCCAAGTAACCACGTCCGCTCGTCGTCTCTTGGCCGATAGGTGTGAACATTGCTGGGATCCATGCTAGGGTCGGTAGCGAGAGTCGTAGCTCTGCTGTGTGTGAATGCGGAGCCATAGCCCGTCGAGTCCTCTGTTTGCATGTTTGGATGTCCTGGTGGCAAATGTTTTTATTCAATTGATGTGGGGGAAGAAAGTAGTCGTTAGAAAAAGAAAAAAGTAAAAAAAAAAGAAAAAAGAGAAGGAAGTGGGAAGTGGAAAAGAGAGAGAGAGAGAGAGAGAGAGAGAGAGAGAGAGAGAGTCGAGGACCATGGGGTGGAATGAGATCCCCGTGCTTTTCATTACAAAAAAGTTGATCCAGGTGCAGCGGAGAGTGTATGCAGACTAGGGTTCAGTTGGGCTTGGCTCGTTTTTCCGATGCTCGACCACACAACGTCCCCCAGCAGAACAACCACGAACATTTCCTACCCCTATCCCAGCCGCCCATCACTCCGACAGCGATTGGACTAATTCTCATTCATTTGTTATGAGGGAACACTTTATCTGTACGTTTATGTGAGGCTAGGCATGCTCTTTCACAAGCAGTGGTTCCCTTCCTCGCAGCCATTGATTAGCCAATGGTTATTTGCGCCTCCTTGCCTGGTTCCAGCCAATCCGTTTCATTCTGGCTTGTAGATGCGCACGCACAATAACATGAAAAGTAGGGCTCTGCTTTTCCTCGACCGCAGGAATGAAAAATGCATTAAACACCGCAAACAGAGCACAACAGAGAGGGCTAGGGTCAATTTCCGTCCACAGGCCCAGAACCCGAACACGCCTTGCTCTAAATTTTTGAATGGTATCCCTTGCGTGCTGTAGGTACAAGTCTGATCAATCACTCCGCGGATTTTATGTTCTCCAAGCTCATTAGTCCACGAAGTCAACTAGAGTGGCATCCGTCATGTTGCTTATACGATCGTCCGAGGCGTAGGAAGCAGAGTAATTAATCTCCAAGCGATCTTCAGGGCGATTTCAAGGGACATGTTCCAATGTAGCTTTGGTGCAGGAACTTTCGGTATCTCCTGAGCAATTGAGTAGGGGGTGATTGGCTGCATGGTATTTGGCCGGGCGCATAGCCATTGCTAAAACTAATGGTTCTTCGTCTGTCGCGTCGCGTTCCCTTCTCTTGTGATGCAGAGCGCGTCCCCGTGTGTACACGTTCTGTATATTGGCTATCTTTCATCTTGGGTTGATCCTTTAATACTTAAAGCGAAGTTTAGATTAAATAGAAGACGTTTTGAATGTTGGGACACAAGTACATGCAATATCTCAGTCAGTAGAGAATCTTCAAACGCAAGCTTTTTTTTTTGAGCGCGTTCCTGAATGCGCGTCACGCTTCAAGCCACTGCCATCCTCAAACACCATCGATCACTTTGTTGCCGCCGCTACCTTAAAAGCACACTTCTTCATTCCAGCTTGCTCTTCCCCGACTTCCGCAGCGCAGGATTTCACCAGCTGGAACGTCTTTTCCAAAAGTCGCTGTCAACATACGATCGACCCAGCTACAACACTCGAGGAATTCAAAGCAACGAGACGCGTGAAGAACAATGGAATCTGACAGTGAGCTGACCATTGAGGAGGCACCCTCGCGTCTCGCCAAATCTCGGCCTGACCGCAAAGCCGAGGAGCAGACCTGGCAACGGAAACCAGCCCTAGTTCCACGCGCAGAGGACTTCTTCAAGACGCCAGCCAGGACTTTTATTCCTCTAAGCCAGCAGGACACTAACTTCGGACAGGGAGCCGGAGACGCCAGCGTTTTGAGAGCGTCTTCAGAGGACGGTGCAACAAAGAAGCTGGATATATTGTCTGGGTCGCAAAACATTACAGAGCTCCACAAAGAAGGCGACTCTGCGGAAGAGGATACAAGTGCTGAGTATGACGACGAGGCCCACTTAACTGACGACGTGGCCGTTCCGGCGAACGCAACTCTAGCAGTCCTACCAACCCAAAAGGACCATCAATCTGAGGCAGCAAGGCAACAGGACATGCGTGTGGAGACGACCCCAACGACTGAGATAATTCATAAAGACGGCGAATCCACACCATCCATCGAGGACGATCTTATCCCGGTCAAGTCGCTAAGCGAACAAACATTCCGCAGCGACTCGGACGAAGCTGGATTGCCTCTTGCAGCCTTTTCGAATACCGAGGAGGACCGATCGGAGACTAACAAGGAGTGCGAGGTTGCAGACGACGACGACCTGCCCATTCCGATCCAGTCATTGAGCGACAAAATATACGGAAGAATTCTGGACGAGACAGGACTACCAATTGTAGCCTCCGGAATCGTCGGGGGCACTCGACCAGAGACTATCAATAAGGGGCGTTGGGATTTTGTGGATGATGAGGAGTCGGACATCGAGCTCGAGGAGGCGTTTGGTCCAGCTCGGCCTCAGAATCCGCACCCACTCAGATTCGGCGACGCCAAGAGCGACCTCACCTCATGTATTTCGCCATTCGCCCCTTATGTTTCGACTGGCGCGGGACAGCCATATGAACCTTCAGATAATGTCGAGGCACCTAACCAGCCCGCCAGCAAGTCAGAAGCAATAGACCATCATGAGGCGAAAGAAAGTAATGACGGATCGGCCTTCCTCAATTCACCGTTCGCTCAGTACCTCTCAAACCTCACCAACCATATATCAACACCCTCGGCAAAGGAGGCAGAAGGCAACAGGCCAGACACAGCAGTTCAGCAAAAATTGAAGCAGAAAAACGAAGAGACGGCTTCCGATTCGGATGACATGATGCATGTTTTGGGCGGGATGGCAGCGGCAGCAGCTAGTTCCCTCCTCAAAAAGTCATTACTTGATCATGAAGACACGGACTCGGGCGATGAATCCAACGCGAGCAACAATCTGGAAAGGCAGTCAGCACAACCTGCTCCGCAAAAATCCATTCCAGCTAATGGATCAGGAAGGACAACGCCGTACAGTTCGGACGATGGATTGACATTCGATGAAGGCGCTGGAGTGGGAATCGGTTCTAGGCCTTTTATACAAACACCCTTGAAGAGCGAGTGGTGGCCATCCTCGGACGCGAGTTCCGAACCCTCATCACCCAGATTTACTACTGCAGAGAAGGGAAAGCAGGTACAGAGGGGCTCACAGCCCTTATTTACAACCAAGAAGGGCATCCAGGAGAACAACGAACAGCGGGCTCAGATCTACCCTGCCGCACCCCCAGAACCATGGAAGTCCGAACCAATGACCAACAAACTATCTCAACGCCGACTTCCAACCATTCCCACCGCAGTCGCCACTGCAGCCGTTAGCAGCAACGACCACAACCTTGCGATCATGAGCTCAGCCCGCAAGCAAGCATCCGCAGTGCCTCCAGCGGTTGCAGGAGTAAAATCCCTTTTCTCAGACTATCCTGATGCGCCATCTAAACCTGCGAGCACCACAGCAAAGCCTGTCGTCACTTTACCCGCAGATCCCTCCACAGCTTCGACACTGAAGGGCCAGTACGAATTGCCTTCCATCAAGAAAATAGATCAGTGGAAGAGCAAGAACAGCCTTGCACCCAATGCATTCCGGCGGTTGCTTATCAACATTAGCGCACTAATTCTTTCCCATGTCGTGATGAAGGGACGCTTTTATAGGTAAGGATGCTGAGCGAGTTGGGGAGAAGGAATGCCATCAGAATGCGAAAGGATATTATATTAATCGACATGCCGTTATCCTCTCCTTAGAACGGTCGTCAGAATCCTGTCGTCGTTTGTTAGCCCTTCGGTTTTCTACTGGACAGGTAAGGGGGTTTTGATCCCGGTCGTGTGATACATAGAGCGAATATCAAGGGTTCTGATGCCGTCGCATTTCTTTTTGAATGTTCATATAGAGTGGGCCGTTATCTTGTTGCTCTTATTTAACATCCTCGAGGTGCTTAATAGCTATATGAGGAGCAGCAACAACTTCGAATATCTGCCCCTGACGCCTTCTCAGCGGACCCTTCTTGGATTGGACCCTATTATAACTAAGGTGCCTGGTGCTGTCCCTGTATTCAAAAAGTCCATCAGTGTTGTAAGTCATATTAATTGGTAATGGTAGTGATAATCTTTCGATTCATCGAAGCCAAATGTGTCTGTCTCACCATTCTTCTATGCCGTCAAAAAGCCATATAGCCTGACCGAGAAACCTATTGTGAGCACCTACGTCAGTCCATCACAAGGTCCCTTCGTATCATCCAGAACACCGTTCCAAAAACCTGCCGTGGGTCTGAGCACTTCCGAGTACAGAGACGCTACCACTATTTTGAACAAATCGATGGCCCGAAGCTTTAACCAGCCAACTATTCAGGATAGAGCTGACCTAGACCGGTTGATGAAGATTGTCGAGGCAAGAGATGAACTCCAAGCAGAGTGGAAGGGCGTTGATACTGATCCCTCCAAGAGACCGTTCGGTCTGCATGGCAATTTTGCTTCTCAGGCTGGTCTTCAGACAGGCGTGGATATGTCCGTCGACAATGCATTGCGTCCAGATCTCCAAGCCAGTCTCAACGCGCGCGGATCTATCACTCGCTACCAGCCTGCTATTCGAACAACCCTTTCCAAAGACCAAGCATCAAAGACAGATCTTCAAAAGGATGGCCTTTATGTTGTCGGCCACGGCAAAGTCCTCAAGAACCTTAAAGTTTCTGAGCAGCAGCTCGATCGATGGGTATTCAACATGCGTCAGGTACACCTCATGCTTTTCAAGCTTGTTTTGTCTAGGTGTATTCATGTTGATTACTAAACCGCTATCTATGATACTTTAATATTTGCTAGTGGATGTGGAATACGATCGTCAAGAATGTGTGTAGCGAGATGGTGGTCGTCGATGCAGAGTTGGCACGTCAAGGCCTATCTTATCTGGACTGCAAGTCTGCAACCATGTTTTATACCTCAGTTCCCCCCCCAAACACCGCTAACGGATCTGCGCCCGCGACGTCTACTGCAGCAGCTCCAGCAGCCTCAGCACCACTCTCGAGCTCGCTTGCATGGGGTGCTGCTAGTATCGCCAATACTAGATTACCCAGCGCATTTGCAGCCCCTCAACCCCAGCAACCACAGTTGCCAACATCGCTGCCTGACCTCGAGGCACGATATGGACAGGTATTTATCCATTGCAGGGTCTTGCTTTTAAATTCTGGCTGTTATGCTCCATGGTTGCCTATTCGTTTGTTTATTAAGCCTGAGTAATGCTCTACCTTATACGCTCCATAGTCACCTATTGTCAAACAGCGATTGGTTCTTGAGATGTACCTGGCGATTCCAGGCTATGCCAACCGCAAATATGTAGTTGAGCGACTTCAAGGTGCGCGCGCTCATCGCTTGTTTATATGCCATCGTTCAAGATTAGTAGTCGATCTAATCATCTGTACTCCCTTCTTGAATAGCTATGGGACCACTGCTCACTCATTTTATCTGGGATTCGCATGGAGTGACCTGGGATGGCGGCAAGAAGACATGGACGCCAGATCTGCCTACGGATGCCCAGATTATTATGCATTTGTTTGCAGTTTATATGGATTTGGCGATGCCATCACAGCCAGCCCAGGCCAACGACCGGTTCCCATTCTCGTACAAGCACTATGTTCCAATGGAGGGCAAGCCAGATCCCACCACAAGGCTGCAGATTAAGCAGACATCCAAATCCCCACCCGAGTACAGCCTCGTGGTGGAGGGATCGATGTGGGAGGTTGTGCCTGTAAGTGTCAAATGATATTGTGATTCATTAATTATCAACTGCCTGGGGAGTTTTATTTATATTTTATTTTTTTATCTCTTTATTAGAAACGACTCAATGTGTGGTACACACTGGTGTTGTTCATCTTCATCGTGATGAGAGAAAGTGGCGGATATATTGGCCAGATCAACATCGGTACCCGGTTGATTGGACTCGGCGATGTGGTGGAAGGATACGACGTGTAAAACAGAAAAGTTCAAGGACAAAATAAAACGAAGCAGGGGAGCGTGAACACAAGCGAGGCGAGCGACTGAGGCGGTGCAACGTGAAAATAAACTTATCGCCATTACGAAGGTACAAAAGTCCAAAACACTAAAAGAGACCGCAGAGAACGGAACATACTCCATTGAAACCCTCGCATAGTCGCATGATAGAATGAGACTAGAGTCATATCACTTCAGAATGACCAAAAAAAAAAAAGAAAAAAAAAGGGTGCCGTAATAGACTCCAGCCGCAGTCGAGGGCCGCGGTGGGCGTAGTCCTTCGATAGTCCAAACAATAAATAACACGATTCTCGCCCTTCAACAGTCTGACGACAATATAAGCGCTCTTTCGGTACCACCAACATCTGTTATCTTCACTCACACTCTTTAACCTTGCTTGCGCGCTCATCAACATCAACTCATCATCCTTGCTCTGCTAATTCCTTCGTCGCCATGGATCAACTGGCCAAGCAGCTTCAACAAACCCGAATCCAGGACTACACTACAAAACCAACGGGCAAGAACCGCGTCCTGGATGATGCCACTCGAGCCGACAGCCTTATCCGTGACCTGCGCGCGTGTACCGAAAATAAAGACCTTGGAACATCCAAGCGTCGTCGAAAGCTTGTGTACGGCACCAATTATGACTTGGATCTGGAACGGGAGGGTCAACACTCGTCATCCTCCCACGCCTCTCTCGCTAAATCAAAGACCAGCGGCGCGCACGAGCCCAGGGTTCTGAAGGTCACTTCTTGGAAGATGAACGAGTACGATTATGTCAAGGGGACCTTGCCCTCGTTAGCACGCGGGTTGTTCACCTATCAGGATCCAGCACTGCATCGACTTCCCTCTGCGACCAAAGGTACCACCAATACCGACGCCGACACCCTCGATGATACCGATGGCATGCATCGGATTCTGATCCGTGGATACGACAAATTTTTCAACGTGGGGGAGGTCCAAAAGACACAACTGGGATGGATCGCGGAAAACACAGAGGGACCATACGAGGTGACGCTCAAGGAAAACGGATGCATCATCTTTATGGCTGGATTGCCCCCTCATCTCGTCGGACCGCAAGGAGGGTGTGTTGTTAGCAGTAAGCATGCCATTGGGGTACGAGATGGGTCCGAGAAGGACGCACAGGCCGAGGCCATCCATGCATCCAAGGGGCGAGAATGGCTCGAAAAGACTTTAGCCGCTAAGGGTAGGACGTTACAAGAGTTCGGACTCTGGCTGTGGAATCAGAACCTGACAGCTGTTGCGGAGGTAATTCTTTTGGGTATCTTTGAATCTTATTGCAGCATGTCAATGGGTGAGGATGATATTGCTGATGATAGTAATATAATTTGTTGTAATTAACTTCTAGTTGTGCGACGACAGCTTTGAGGAACACGTCCTCCGATACCCGGCCGATAAAGCAGGACTGTATCTCCATGGGCTGAACCGCAACACGGCCGTTTTCCAGACTCTGCCGAGCAGCAAGGTCCAGGAGGTAGCTAAGGAATGGGGACTTAGGCAGACGGGTTATGTAACCTTTGATTCATTCAAGGAGGTCATGGACTTTACGGAGAAGGTCAGGAATGCAGGAGAATACGACAGTCGAGCAGTGGAGGGATTTGTGGTGCGTTGCAGGACCAAGACGGAAGAAGGCGCCTACTTTTTCAAGATCAAGTACGATGAGCCCTATCTTATGTACAGAGAATGGAGAGAGCTGACAAAGCGACTGTTGAACATCGAGGCAAAGAAGGCTAAAGGTGCAGACAATGTAGCGATATCAGGGGCGCCGTTGCGCATGAAGTATCCTTTGACAAAGGCATATATCGAGTTCATCAAAGATCTCATCAAGAAGCAACCCGAGATTTTTGCAGGATACAACAAAAATCAAGGCATTATCGCTATTCGAGACATGTTCTTGTCAGAGTGGGAGTCCAAGTCTCCGAAGGATCAGAAGTCGTCGCTTGCTATGCCCTCGAGCGACAATGGTGTCACACAGGAGGACTTTCAGCGGACGGTTTTGATTCCTATCGCGACCATTGGATGTGGCAAAACTACAGTCAGTGTTGCCCTCTCAAAGCTATTCGGCTGGACCCATGTCAACAGCGATGACTTCAACCACTTCAGGAAGAATCCCGGTCAAAAGTTCATCAAGGAGGTCGTGAGCCAGCTTAAGGAGAACATGGTCGTCATTGCGGATCGAAATAACTTTGAGTATATGCACCGACAGAGAATTATGGAAGCCGTCCGAGGAGAATATCCCAAGACTCGGTTCGTAGCACTGTACTGGTCGCATGATGACCTACCGATTGAGCGTATCAGGGAGATGGCGATCGAGCGCGTCAAGAACCGAGGTTCGAACCACCAGTCCTTAACCCCCGAGTACTGTCCCGACTATGAGTTCGTCATTCAAAAGTTTTTGCGATCATTTGAGCCGTTCAATCCTATGATCGAGCCCGATGCCAGTTTCAGCAACGTTGTTGAGTCCAAAGCTGGGGAAGATTCGTTGGCGTTCGTGGAGCGAATTGTGAAAGAATTTGCGATCCCAACGTTAGGTGCGGGAGGAATCGGTAACAGCCCAGTCCCAGGACCAAAGGAGATCAAGGAGGCGGTTCGATACGCCATAGAGGACTGGAAACCAGAGCGAGTTGCATCGGGCGAGGCAGAGAGACGCCATAAGGAGAAGCAGGCGAGCGAGGCATCACCGGAACAGTCAGATCAAAGTGCATCCAGCACTTTAACCGGCGATACTGCCACTATGGCTCTTTCTGGAAAGCAGAGGAGGGCAAAAGAACCAAAGTATTTTGCCATTGCTCTCGAATCCGGTTCAGTGCAGTGTTTCCTGGAGGAGCTGATTGGGCAGACGAACATCGGAACCAAGAACAACGCACTGTGGAAGCAGTTTAAGGATCAGTTCAATGCGTGGAAGGAAAATCATAGGGTCGGGATCTACCAACATGTTACGCTTATCCATACAAGTGCGCGCAAGGATACATCACCCAAGAAGGCGCAGAGGGCTGAAGAGCTGTGGAAACTGTACACGGAGGAGACTGCAGGAGTAGTGGCGGTGCCAACAAAGCCAAAAAGCTCATCGCCAACGACTTCTCCCCCTACCACGTCAATGTCAGCACTTTCAACCAACTTTGAGCAATCGCTGTCTGTGTCCTCGTCGCCGGGGGAAGATAGATTCACGAGAGTGGAGAAGAGAGGTAGACGTGGCAAGGTTCCGCCTGCGGCCGCCTCTTCTTCCAACACAATGGCTCCCACTCCTGCTACCCCTCCCTCCAACCCGACAGTTCCCATTCTAGCTGCCACCACCATCTCGTCCGCGGGCGGACAACTTGAGAAACCGGAGCTGGAGGCCACGGTCGTTACGGACTATATTATCTGGACAGAAAACATCATAGCGCTTCGGGTCTCGAGCGCAAAGAGAGCTGTGAACGGAAAGATGTATGATACTGTACAGCCGAACCTCCATGTGACAGTCGGTACTGCTGGTGACCATATCAAGCCCTACGAGTCGAACGAGATGTTGCGGCTGTGGAGGGAGAACATGAAGCACATTGGATCTGAGTCGAAGCAGGCAAACGGACCACAGATCTTCTCGATCAAGTTGAATGAGTCCAAGGTCTTTGCGGGACATTTGAAGGGCATGCTGTTCTAGGCACAGCTCTTTGTCTTTTACGGCCAGTATCTTGCACGGAGCAAAGATATCGCATCTCAGACTATTCGTTGTTGCAACAAAGAGTCTCATACAGTTGACAAGCAGAGATTTCTTCAAAATAATGGAATTTATTTTAGAAAGAATAAATTTCGCCGAACAGTTTATTCAGCATAGAAAATATATACATTGCAATGGTTCTGATAGTTAGTCATGAACAACGCTTCGCCGTCATTGTCGTGCCACAGCTTTAGTCAGTATAGCACAATCGCACAAACGACACGAAGCATTGCAGTAGCAACGAGCGAGTAGGCGAAAGCTTGGCTAGACAATGCTCTCCGCAGTCAATGGTGCACAAAGATATCTGTCCATCACTTTTTCCATGGTTTCCAGTCAGGATATCTGGTCATGATTTTGATGACTTCATCCCCCGCCTGGTCATAAACCAGCTCCTCCAACTTTTCAATCTCCAAGGGCTTGAATTTTCCGAGGATATAATTCGCAATGAAGTCAGGCGAGCGATCTTTGGATGCCGGGCGACCGACGCCGATACGAAGACGTTTGAAGTGTTGGGTTCGAAGGTACTTGATACAGGATTTAATGCCGTTATGGCCGTTGGCGGAACCTTCGCTCTTGTAAGAGATCTTTCCGATGTCCCGCTCCATGTCGTCGTGGATCACCAAGACATCAGTCTTGGGGATGCGCAAGTCGTCGACTGTGTGTTTTTTCCAAGTCGGAGGAAATCAGAAAGAGACCAATTAGTTTAAAGGAAGGGCACAACGGCTCTCAATGATAAATAACATTGCATGGACGAGTACCATACCTGCACGAGAGACAGCGCTTCCGCTGATGTTCATTGGTTGCAAGGGCTTGAGAAGGGTCAATTTGAGTTCCACGGCGACCATCTCTGGCTTCTCTTTCTTGTTAGCAATGGGTGCTGGCTCTGTCGAGGCTGTGTCCACTGTACCGGCTGCATTTTCATCCACCGCAGGAGTAGAAGTATTGATCGCATTTTTACCTGTATTCACGGTGGCTGCAGAAGGTGTTCTAGTAGGAGGCATGCGTGCTCTCATTATGGTCCGCTCGCGGTTCTTGATGGCAATAGTCGTAGTGACGGTGGCGACCTCGGCTCGCCAGGTGCCATTTTTGGACCAGGGAGCATTAAAACGCCGGGCGAAATTGTCGAGGACCATCATGCCGACGTTGTGGCGTGTTCCTGGGAGGCCGTAGTTCCCGAGTCCCACGACCTGTGGAAGGATAAAGTTGGTTAGGTTACGATGTTTTGATATCCTGGTAAAAAATAAAATAAAAAAGAATTTACCACTATGTGTCTTGTTAAGGCCGCCATGGATGAATGAAGGTGAATGTGCGGATGTGTGTCTGGGTGAAGGAGAGTGGAAGAGGCGAGAGATCTGATTAGATCTTCTCACCGTTCCTGAATCCAAAATGCGATTGATTGATTGCGCTGTGTCCGACCGCAGCACTAACACAAAAAGACGAGGTGATCCTTCTTAGGCCCCGTAAGCGACGTCCTCGCTCCCACCTTCCCTAGCCGCGCGTTGATCTTTTTTTCCTTCTCGCTCGTTCCATCCCACAAATAAGAGAGGCTTTCATACATCTCATCTGCCATCAACTCCTCCTCCTTCATCCCATCTTCCACCTTTTATCCCGTCAGGAATAACAATCACACAGCCAAGATGAGTCAAGTCATTGTTATGAGTACGTGATCGAATCAGAAAACAAGTGATCACCCACCCATCGCCAACCTGTCTAATTCAGGACACAACCACACAGCTATACAAGATTCGCGATCACCTCGACCTTTTCTAATCGTGTCGGGAGTCGCGTGGAGGCAGCTCTATTCAAAGCTAGCGCCTTGACCCCCCGAGTTCCTTGTGCAGGATGCTAATCACCTAAAAACACTTTTCCTCTCTGTAGACACCAACATGGAGCGCGAGACTGGTCGCAAGGCTCAATCCTCCAACATCACGGCTGCCAAGGTGATTGTCAACTCTGAGAATACGAACAAGGTGTTTGGTACCAACTTAGATACAGTGCTAGTCCCTTTCTAATCCATCTCTTTTCCTTTCGCTCTTATGTAGACTGTTGCTGATATCATCAGGACGTGTCTCGGACCTCGCTCAATGTTGAAAATGTTGCTGGATCCTATGGGAGGTGTTGTCCTGACCAACGACGGAAACGCAATCTTGAGAGAAGTCGAGGTTGCTCACCCCGCCGCCAAGAGCATGATCGAGCTTGCCAGGACACAGGATGAGGAAGTCGGCGATGGAACCACCAGTGTTATTATTCTCGGTAATGATTATCCTTGATCTGCTCGCGTAATGTTGTTGACTCGCCATATGGGTATGCCATTATCTCGATCTCGACCTTGATCTAACGCAATTACGCCAATTGGTGGTAAATTGCTTTTCCTTGTTCTAGCTGGTGAGGTCCTTGCTCAGACTCTGCCTTACCTTGAGCGCAACATCCACCCCATCGTCATCATTGCAGCCCTCAAGCAGGCGCTGGAGGACGCCATCGAGATTGTTGACAGGATTTCGATCCCCGTTAACATAAACGATCCCAAGGAGATGCTGGATCTGGTCAAGACTTCGATCGGCACAAAGTTTGTCAGCCGCTGGAGCGATATGATGTGCAAGTTGGCATTGGATGCCGTTCGCTGTGTCGCTGTTGAGAATGATGGTCGTCGGGAGGTTGACATCAAACGCTATGCCAGAGTTGAGAAGGTATGGTTGCAGTGCTTTCATGCGAAATGTGTTTAAGCATCGGTTCGGTTTCCTTTATTCAAAGTACGGTAACAATGATACTGATCTATAAATCATCTCTGTTACACCTTCATCTTACACAGATTCCCGGTGGAGAGATTGAAGAGTCAAGAGTTTTGGACGGAGTCATGGTCAACAAGGACGTCACCCACCCCAAGATGCGCCGTCGCATTGAGAACCCCCGCATCATCTTGCTGGATTGCCCTCTGGAGTACAAGAAGGGAGAGTCTCAAACCAACATTGAGGTCACTAAGGAGTCTGACTGGGCAAGAATCCTGCAGATTGAGGAGGAGCAGATCAAAGCCATGTGCGACAAGATCATCGAGTTGAAGCCCGACATTGTTTTCACGGAGAAGGGTGTTTCTGATCTGGCGCAGCACTACTTTGTCAAGGCCAACATCACTGCCATCCGTCGCGTCCGCAAGACCGACAACAACCGTATTGCCCGTGCTGTTGGTGCCACGATCGTCAACCGTGTCGATGACTTGAAGGAGTCGGACGTCGGAAATGACTGTGGATTGTTCTCTGTCGAGAAGATTGGCGACGAGTATGTGCCCATATCGACCGAAACTGTCGTTTTAAGCGCTACCATGGATCAAAGACCAGGAACTGACATGATGGTACTCTTTTTGTCCAATCAAATAGATACTTCACCTTTCTCACTGGATGCAAGAACCCCAAGGCGTGCACAATTGTCTTGCGTGGACCTTCCAAGGATATTTTGAACGAGGTTGAGCGCAACCTGATGGACGCCATGTGCGTTGCCCGCAATGTCTACTTCAATCCCAAACTCTCACCTGGAGGAGGAGCGACCGAGATGGCCATTTCTGTTGGCTTGATGGAAAAGAGCAAGACGCTGGAGGGTTCAGTCCAGTGGCCCTACAAGGCTGTTGCTGAGGCCATGGAAGTGATCCCCCGTACTCTGATTCAGAACTGCGGCGGCAATGCGATCAAGATCTTGACGTCTCTCCGTGCCAAGCACGCAACCGGCAACCATTCGTGGGGTGTTGATGGACATGCAGGCAAGATTGTGGACATGCACGAGTACGGCATCTGGGAGCCCAACGCAGTGAAGGTGCAGACAGTCAAGACGGCGATCGAGTCGTCGTGCTTGTTGCTCCGTGTTGACGATATTATTTCCGGATTGTCTGGACAGAGAGCTCAGCAGAGCGGTCCTGCACCTGAGCAGCAGGAGATGGGTGAGGGAGACATGCAGCCTGAGCAATAAGCGGTGCTTTGGAACGAAGAAGCGGTCTGAGCTGGATAAGGCAATAGCTTACAGATCGCGGACTGAGGACAGGGATAGACCAGGTGGAGAGATTCTTAGGGCGAACCAGCAACTTTATTTTTGAATATAACAAAGAAACGCATCTCATTACATTTTTATTGCTATCGTGTCTTCTTTTTGTCGAGTGCCTTGCTTGAGGAGAAATACGCGGTCGAGTACAGCAGCCAGCCATAGACGACACCCACGGCAGCATAGACCGAGGTGATCATGAGTGGCAGGAACGCCAGCTTATTCTGGCCAAAGACAGCCTCATGGATCACGTTGGTGTAGAGCTGTACGGGTACACATCCAAACACGTAAAGGCGCTCAAGAGTGGTGAAGTACCGAAGCATGGAACGGTTGATGGTCGATGAAGGTCCAGCCTCGATCGATGACGACGACCCTTTGGGTTGCTTGGGTATACATTGGTCCAGTCCTGTGCCGACCACGACGAACCAGATAACGGTGATCAGTACCTTGATTGGCGTTTCTATGCGTGCAGAAAGAGAGAAAAAAGAGAGAGAGAGAGAGAGATCATGCAGGATGCGCATTAGATGAATGTGTGCGACATGATAGAGACAAGGTGTACGAATGTTGGGGATTTTGTACCTTCGCGAGAAAAGAAAAGAGGCCAGAGTCCGATATAACCAGCCAAGCTAACGATCATAAATGAGCGAACATCCCGGGGTGTCAGCGCTCCCCCCTTCTGATCCGCCAGTGCGCCAGCTCCTGCTCCAGAGTTGGGGCTCGTTCCTACCAAGTTTGCGATCGCAACACTCATAGTGATCGTGCACAGCAAGATGGCCTTCTCGTGCACATGCCAACCAGCCAGGAATGACGCAAAGGCGGACAAGGCTACTGATCCAATAAATCGATCGAATGTCGGCTTTCGGAAGACGGCAATTAGACTAGGGATCTGCAAGAGGACTGTCAAGATGAGGGTGTGCTGTGCTGTCACGGTTGGTAGGATGCCAAACGCAGTGTCGCCGACGAGTCCGCGGGTAGTTGCAGCGAGAGCCGAGGGATCGAGGGTGAGGTTGAGATATTGTCCGAGAGGTGTCTTGGAGACGAGCACGATCATAACCCTGTCGACAAAGGTGTACAAGGCCCAGAAGTTGGCGGCCCAATACGAGTGACAAAGTCCTCGCTTAAAGGGGAACAGGCGTGAGGCCAATTGAGGCAGCTGGTTCATGGCAGCAAAGGGGCCGAGTGAAGCTGCGAATACGGCAATGACACTAAAGCCCAATGCGAGGAAGTGAAGGGGTCTGAAGGCTGAAGTCCATGATTTTGCTAATGAAGTACAAAGAGAAGTTGTACGACGCTAAGTTCCATGTTCCTGATCGATTTGAAGTCCAACCGCGGCCGATGAAAATGTTGTATAGTGAAATACCTCGGATGCTGTTTCCAGAATTCTCGAAGCAGTACGCACGAAGCAGAAACGCGAAGTACGACGGTGCGATGTAGAGATAAATGTGCTTAAAGTTCAACAGTGCTGCAAACAGGATGCCAGATCGCAGCAATTTTCCCTATCATACACAGAACATCAGTTTCATTAGTAACCATGTGCAACCTATCCAATGCCATTTGCAAGACAACAACTGTTCCGACCTGTAGCACTTTTCTATACCTGCTTTGCGTCGACCAGGGAATGGATCATGATCCCGTACAAGAACCCGTTGTATTGAAAGTGCATGTTATCGACCATGATTAGGCCCGGGTTGAGCATCAACGACCAATTGATGATTTTCTGGAGCGGGCGGTTTCCCATGACGGTCAGCATCCGCTGCAGTGCCCAGAAAAGCACCAGTTCGCTGACGATCACGGTTGTCCGTTGAAAGTAGATGGTCGTGAGGGTGTCGTAGTTGAGGTTATCGACCTGGACAATCTTGGGATCGATCTGGGCAGCGAAAATGGAGAGGAACTTTTCGAACCAGGCGAAGAATGGTGGGTAGTCCAGTGTCCACTCGCTTGTTTTCTAGCAGGTTTAGAAGCGATTGAAAGAGATATGGTCAGGATAAGAGGGTTCCCACAATAATACGATCCTGCATGATATGGCGTAGTGTTATCGATTGGCATGTGCAAGGAGAGTTACCTCATGGTACCATTGCGAGATAGGCAAGGAGTGGGTGATGGCGAGCCAGTTGCGGTGGACTTCAAAGTCTGTGGAGTGGCTAGTTGCATTGATGGGATAAGGATGTCAGAAGTCGTCGTCCTTGAGTTGCTCCTGATGTCCTGCTGTTCCTTTTTTTTTTTTTTTGGTGTTCAGGGTCGATGCGACTCACTATGTAGGGAACAGCAGCACCTTGAGGGCGATACTGATGATGAGCAACGAGGTCTGCATCCCTCGTTTCTATGGAGTCGCGTGGGTGATGAGGAGGGTGTATGTTTTTGATGAAAAAGGAATGGAGCCAAGTGGAGTTGAGCGTCCAATGTAGCTCGCATGGCAGCAGTGGCTTGTCCATATCTCAGGAACACGACCAAGGACTCAGCCCATGCAAACTGTCGCGTCTTTACTCTACTGCCAGTCATGTCGTCAAAGGAACTGCTTGGAGAGTATGCAAAACTCGCTACGAAGTTGGAGCATGTAAGGGAGCCAGGAACACAGCGAGCAAGAAGTTGGCGACAGAAAGCGGCGAACGATCAGGAAACTGACTTTTATCTGCCTTTGGTGATTCACTACCACAGATCAACGAGACGCTGCAGGAGATGAATGCGGTTGACATTGCACAGCTGATCGACAAGATTCGGATCGTAGAGCGAAAAATGGGTCTCGTCTATACGCTCTTCAAGGTATGTGTGCTCCCTCGAGTGCTTGTCCTATGGTCGTTGACACGCCCAATGACCTTTCACTGACACGCCCAATTGGATTGTAATAGTCGTCGGTATACACTGTAACAGTGCAGCATCAGGAGCAGGAACAGGCGCAAGATCAATTGGAGGAGTATGAGCAGGAGCAGGAGCAAATCAACAACAATGTAGAATACCACCAGGAACGAGACCAGTATCACCTGCAGGATCAGGCACATGGTCAGGGCCAGCAACAACAACAGCAGCAGGAGTCTTATCAAGAGTACCAAGGCCAACAACAAGAACAACAATTGCCACAATCGCACACGTACCGGTTATCGTCGCAGTCAAGGAGGACTTCGCTTTATAACACAAGCGACGGTGGAAATGAGCGACGGAGTTCACAATATAGGAACACATCACGGCCATCGCTACGGACATCGAATGCAAGGGAGGAATATCAGGCAACAACGGGATACCGGTCAATCCTGTCGCTCTCACGCGGAGACACATCCTCACGCTGGAGCCAGGCACTTGCAGGACGCGACCCAGACAACTACACCAATCGGCCCCGATACCATTAGCCAGACATTCCTGTGTGACTTTGTAAAATAAAAGGTTTTTCTTCTAGTATGTTTCGCTGAGCTGAGTTCAGGGAGGCAGGGGAGCAGAGCTGTATAAGAGGGAGGGGGATCCGCCAGGGATGATCGGTGGGCCGCTTTCATCGTCTTTTCACCCCTCCCATACCTAAAAGACGAAACCCGCTGTTGCATCACCCTCAAGTGCCAGCATTCGATTCCGTTCATTCTAAGAATCAGTTTCAGACTCAGAACAAGAAAAATCATGCCTAGTATCGCCAACGATTCGGTCCTACCGCCCAAGTTGCAGCAGGAACAGGACTTTGTTCAGCAACGACAAAACTACCAGGATGATGCACAGTCCTCAGACCCATCCCTGAGCGTATCCTCGAATGTCGATAGCCTCACGCCGCTTGTGAGGCCGACCTGGAAGGAGAGGATGGCTAATCTTATGTCTAAGAAGTTTTTGACCATCCTGTTGTTGGGACAATTGCTTTCGCTCTGTATCACTGCAACGACCATCTTCACGACCAAGCTGGCGCAGGGCGACAACCCGGTCTCGATCCCGACCACACAGTCGTTTCTGAACTACCTTGTACTTGGAATCGTTTATACATCCATTACGATCTATAAGGAGGGCTTCCGAGGATGGCTTGAGATTATCCGCCGCAGGGCTTTTTATTGTAAGTGCTCATTTTCTTTTTCTTTTTTCTTTGATCCCGCTCTCAATTGATCCATGGACGTCAAAGAGCCTCGCCTCCTCTGTCTACTCAATTAAAAATGTATTCCTGGGACGAATTCGTTAGACATGTTGTTTGCGATAGTTGATGTAGAGGGTAATTACTTTGTGGTTAAGGCCTACAACTATACATCACTACTTTCCGCCATGCTGCTCGACGCCTGGACCATCCCATGTGTCGTCGTGCTCTCGGTCTTCTTCCTCAAGATGCGTTTCATCCGGTTCCACTACCTTGGTGTCTTTCTGGCCATGGCCGGGATGGGTTTCTTGATCTGGTCCGACATGGAGGCTGGCAAGGACTTTCCAGGATCGGATTATGTCAAGGGCGACCTCTTCTGTCTCCTTGGCGCAACCCTCTATGGGGTCTCGAATGTCTACCAAGAGTTCTTGGTCCGACAGAGACCCATGTACGAGGTCGTGGGTCAGATGGGATTTTGGGCCACGATCCTGAATGGCATTCAATTGGCTGTTCTGGAGAGGAACGAGATCCGATCTGTGGAGTGGACGCCGCAGGTGGTCGGATATATCATTGGATTCGATATTGCGCTGTTCATCATGTACTCGGCCTCACCGATCTTGTTCCGGCTCTCGTCTGCGACCTTCTTTAACTTGAGTTTGCTGACGAGCGACTTTTATGGACTGATCTTTGGACTCTTCCTCTTTGGTGCCAAGGTACGAAGCAAACGCTTTGCCGATCTGTTGTATATGATCTGCATCGTTTGCAAAAACTTCGTTAACGCATGTATCTTTTTTTTTTTCTTCTCATGCAGATCAACCGCCTGTACCCCATCGCGTACGTACTGATCATTGTTGGTATCATTGTCTACAACATCTATCCGGCGCCCGAGCCCAAGTTCGAGAAGATCCTCCAACGAGAGCAGGGTAACAAAAGCCAGCTTGATGTCAACAACATCCTTCAGGAAGACGACGAATCTAATATGGTCTAGGGGACCCCAAACTCCTTCGGTTTCTTGGATTGTTGCCGTTATAGTACAACATCGCCATCATCTTTATTCCTCTGCTAGGAGGATTTAATAAAAGGATGGGCTTACGATATTAATTCGAGGCTATGCTGTGCTAGGACATAAATAATTTGAGAGGCAATTGTGGCCAAGCACATTGACCGACAAGACATCAATGCGTCTGCAAACGATCCGCGTTTTTTTTTTTTTTTTTTTTTTCGAATTGACAAATATTCATTATTCGAGAAATTCGAGAAGGGACTTGTTACGTAACGCGTCTGATAGTCTCCATCTACGAGGACTCAACACAACGAAAGATGCAAAAGCACGGCAGATATAGATCGTGATGAAGGCGCAGGGCGGGAGATCAACTTTTGGGCATAATCGTGCCTAGACCAGACGCCGCAATGACACGGCGCGGAATGAACGCCCCAAGAGAAGTACCATGACGGTTACCAGGGACGCATCCGCCCATTCGCCTTGTTTTTTTTTTTTTGTTGTCATTCGATGATGAACACCCTTTGTGTTATTTACTTATGTGTTTGTCTTGCACAAACAAGTCGATTGCCTTGTGCTGTCCCTATTTTGACTCCTTGCCGCCTCGGGAAAGCTCATGTTCCACAGATCGAATCACTAGTCTTTGGTGGCAAAATAACCATTCCGATCGGGTCGTTGTGTGGGCACAACAGAAGCGGACAAAAATGGGAATTTCCAGAAAGTCAATTGCAATCCCTTGTCATGAAGCACTGCCGCCCTCAGCCCCTCACCTCGATACTCACACGTCGGGCTCAGAAATGTATTGCGCCTCAACCGGAATGATCGACAATGAGCCAAATCACCCAAAAGCAAGTTGCGAAGAATGTGTCATATGTTATAACGATGTTTAATAAATCGCGCTGGGTCCTTTCTTGGTTTTGTCAATGATTTTGATGTGTGCAATATAGCATCTGACTGACTACCTAAGAAAATGGAAATAACTCTATGTATGCGACGAGACTATGTACAAAGTGTGGAAGGGAAGAGGAGGGGGGTGGGGAAAGGTTTTTTCTCTTTTTTCTGTTGTTAAAAAGCTGAAATGCAGGAAAAGTAAAACGAATAATAATGATAAAAAAGAAAAGAAAAGAACCCTATTGTACGCCCCTAGCAGATCAGCTTTGCTCGCGAACGAGCTGCCAACAACTTTTCGGTCTCATGACTCGCGGGATGGACACCATCCTCTCTTGCAGACTTGACAGTATAGTGTCTCAACAGCGCATCGCGTCTTGCAAACGGCCGGTTGCAGAACTCGCATGGCCAGGTCATCGCCTGATGTTTTGATGTCTGATGCCGCTTCAGGTCATGGATCCGTCCAAAGGATTCGCTAGGGCAGAGTTCGCATCGGAAGGTCATCGATTCCGTCTGGGGGTTATACACCATAATGGAGCCATCCTCATTCTTGATCATCGTCATGCCCTCGGCGTTGGAGAGCGTCGTGATCGCCGCAGTAGTGGGAATCGGTGAGATTGGGGACATGCAAGGTGTCGAGGGTGCTGCGGGTGAGGGTGGGCATGGCGATGGCGATGGTGCATACGTGGCTGCGGGAGATGGGGGCGTCATTTCTGAATAACGTTGTTCGGGAGAGTGAGGGAGGAAGGGAGAATGAGAAGACTGCTGCGTCGCAGGATAAGGTGCGCTGGAGATAACGGGCGAGAGGGACCTTGAGCGGTGAGGTCCCGCGTGATGGTGCTGTTGTTGTTGCTGCTGCTGTTGGCTGTGCAAGTTTTGGTAGTGTTGCTGTTGCTGCTGATTGTGCTGGAGCAATTGCTGTTGATATTGCATCTGCATCTGCTGCTGCTGTTGGTCCATGCTGTCAAAGTGCAGCGCCGCCACGGTCATCGGCTGCGGTTGCTGGGGCGCAAACAATGAGAAGTTCGAAATGGAATCAGAGACATCTGCGTCGAGGTAGTTGAACGAGAGTGGGTTCCCTGAAAGAAGATCCTCGATCGTGATGTTGAAGAGGCCAGCCAACTCGTCAGCCTCTTCCTGATCTATTGTCTTGAGGAGATCCACTGCGGGGCTTGAATGGGCTGAGTCCGAAGAAGAGGAGGAGCCTGAGTAGCATGACGAGGTGGGCGAAGCTGGCTGGTAGTGTTCGTTCCAGGGCGAGGAGGGCGCGTTCAGCAGCACATCCGGGAGCGCATTGGCTGATGCCTGGACCTCCTGGCGCTGCTGCTGGTAAAGGGCGTATTCCTGCTGCTGCAATTGATCCTCAGCATCGTAGAGGGTTGTGTACATCTTGCTCAGGTCGTCGGTGGTTTCGCGTTTCAGAGACGACTGGATGCCTTGCTGGCCTTCTGAAGGGTATGCGTTTGTAGAGTGCATTTTCTTTTGCTTTTGTTTCTTTTTGAGGGTGCAGTTTGCAGTGTGCGGGGTTGTTGGGGTAGGTGAGGAAAGGAGAAGAAGCGAGAGACGCGTTTTTATATTCGCTGCTGTTTGTGCCTCGGAATTTTTTTTTTGGTTTGATGCAGGTCAAAAGGAGGGGGGAATTGGATCGTTTTATACGAGGATGGCTGGTCAATCGATCTCTCCCCGGGTCTCTGGGCGGAGCCCTTTGGGTATTTGACGTATTTCCTTTTATGGTAATTCTCGACCGCACCAGATCGTCAACCGACTAGTCCGGCCAAAGTCCGATTGCACTCATGCGGGCTCACGGTTGTTCCACTTGCGATATGCTTAAAATAAAATAAAAGGCGGGTGCCGGTCCCGTGTGGGAACCTACCGGCCACAAAAGACTACACGCCGTTACAGAAAATAGAGAGCCAGTAAAAAAAAAAAGCTGCTGTGCTGCAAAACACAATCCGACATGCACTCAAGACATGCGAGGCTCTTCTTCGCTGCATTAGTCCACGAAAGGTCGTCTAATCAAAGGACAACCTAAAAAACTGGCGGCAACTGTCAGGCGAGGATTCTTCAACTAAATTTTCCCCAAAGGATGCTTGATTTTTTCCCTTGATATCCCATGGCAGGAATTCGCCACCATCGCAGTACTTTAAGAACAACTTTTTGATTGAACGCGCGGTAAAGAGCAACGGATCTGCAGAATGTAAACATGCACTCATGCACTGACATTGTCCTGAGCGACATAAAAAATAAAACAAAAAAAAAGTCGGTCCTCAGCCTGCTCTCAGCCTGCTCATGCAGTGTCCATCATCTACATTCCATATAGAAGGATAACTCGTCTAAGAAATAGCTAGTTTCTCCTTCCATCAAAGGTAGGGCTATGTGGAAGGCAAATGGGCCGGGGAAGCGTCCTTTGCCCCACTACTCAGTAGACAGCCCATTCGACACCAGTTGACCTGCCCTTTCGGCTCTTCTACCTTCCGCGGAGAGTCGCTGTATCTATTTGAATAAAGATCAATGTGGCAGCAGGGAGAAAAGAAAAAAAAAATGGCGAAGCATTGTCACGTCGTTTGCGGCAAGGGGTATTATGCAGTGACGACTGTATTTGCCACGTCTCCCAAAATTCCAATTTTCGTTCGCCACATTGTCACTGTCATTGGAGTCGCGCTGCAGGACTTTGCGATCTTGCACAGTTGATAACGACGTGGCAGTCGGGAGAGATAGAGAGGGACGAGAAGATGATGCCCCATGTAGAACAACCTCCGTAATTCTAAAATTAAAGGATGGCCATTTTGAAGTAAAAGCAACGAGGGCGCAGTGAGATTTACGGCAGTGCGCTCGCTCCCGCATGGGCTAAAAAACGAAGGCTAAGACATTTGCATCCTCGACCTTGGTAAGGATGCAGGATGCTGCAGCGGTAAACAAGGATGGAGTCATTGGCATTTTGGTGGCAAATAAGCCGCAGAAATTTGCATTGTAGCGATAGCTATAGCTGTATTGTGGTATCGTACATCCTGTCTTCTTTTTCTTCTACTTTATTGCTAATCTAACAAACGAGTTCACTCAAAGTCGATGGAATAAGGCAAAAGCTTCAACACGGCACGTGCTAGATACGCGAACGTACCCTCCTTGCCCTCCTGAGGCAGATCGTAGAACATCCTACGGGCGAGATGCTCGTGGTGCTCAAAGCTGACATCTCCAAGGCCAGTCACCGCAACATCCGATCCATTCACGACCCACTTTGACCAGAAGTTATCCATGGCCTCCTTCATGATCACGGGCAGATCGATCACTTCAGGCTGCACCTCCATACCCGGGTTACGGTCCTCGATCTTGGCAACCACCATTAGTGTCTCTATGGCGATCTGTCGCTCGGCCGGATCCAGGATCACGCCCAAAAAGTTCTCGACTGCCAATGCAAAGTTGAACTCCTCAGGCGTCTTTTCGGAAACGATAGGATCGCGTGGCATGAAGTGTGCCCCAATACGAATGCCAGCAGCGTGGGAGAGAATTCGCCAGACACGCGGGTAAAATTTATTGGGGACGCGGTTTAGCGCACCGTCGTTCTTGCGGCGCCGCAGCCAACGACCCGAGGAGTTTGGCACAAATGCTGCAATGGCCGATGGTGACGGAAAGGCTTCTTGACTATCGGCTGCCTTGGCCTTGTAGAGGGCCAGGTCGAATGTCTTTTCCAAAACATCGGTGGGTCCATCCATAAATGACTTGTGGGCTTCAGATGCCGTGCCAGCGTCAATTCCTATTGCGTGATTTTTCATTTGCGATTTTTCAGATTTTTTGATTTTGAACTAGGCAGTGCTCTGTACCACCAGCGTTCTAAATAAAAACGCAGGTACGCTTAATCAACTTACCCTTCTCGCCAATCATGCACCATGAATCACGATACTTGATCTCGTTGACATGTCCGCTTCCGAGTTGCTTCAGCGCAAGTCGAGCAGCCGCGGTCAGGTGCTCAAAACAGTCGTCCTTGCTCGCGCACACGACAATCATGCCAGAATGAAGCCAGTCCACCAGACGTGCCAAGTCGTCGCTCTCGTCCTCAGAGATATGGGTGTCAAACGCGACCGACTCGATGAGCACGCCCTGCGCAGGGTCGATTACCACTATGTTGATTCCACGCGACGACACAGACATCGTGCTGTCGTTGATAAGAATCTTTGAGAAATTGCCCGAGTGGTATCCACCCGACTGGACCTTGATTGTGAATGTGGTTGAGCCCTTGGTCATATTAGGGATGGGAACAGCGCCCATGGACAATGAGGAACCAGATGAAGCAATACTCGGGGGCGCGTTGCTGCTGGTAGCCTCACCCGTCAAAGAGACGTTGCCGGCTTGACGACGACCAGGAGACTGGTTGCGAAGAAGCGTATTGGCGGCGTTCGCACTGAGAGTGGGGCCAGACAACACCGTTCCTAACAGCGACTTGAGCTCGAAAGGCGACATCTGCATCAAGTGCTCGACAGCATCCGTCTCATCGCAACTGTTGAGACGCGAAATCTCCTCGCGTAGAGCAATAATCAGGAAGTGTGTGCGAAGACGCATGATACCCTCGAACATGGTGGGGTCGGCTCTGATGAGGGATCCCAGGTAGATCAGGACCTCCTGAACAACAGGACCCTCTCGAACGTCGTCAAAGTTGCCGTCGTAGATCATGCGACTGAGCACGTCAGGACCCAAGGGCGTCGTAATCTTGTGCTCAGTGGGTCCGGATCCGATGGTGATCTGCTTCTGACGAATAACCAAGTCGGTGATGTTGATGGTGAGCGAGTTGACAACCTTGTGGAGCAATCCGGCAGCCTGACGGACAATGGACCAGAGTTTGAGCTGCAGGGACTTGAAGTAGACCTCCTCCAGCATCGATTGCACCGTTGCATCCAAGTTACTGACATAAAATTCCATTCCCTGGCATGACAAAAGGTACTGGAGCAAATCTGGAATGTAGAAGTAAACAGAGAAAAGTGTGTGTTAGTTGACATTCTCTAATACCAAACACAATAAACAAGGGGATGGCAGTCGCGCATACCAATTTGATCGTAAAGGTTGACAGAGGTGGCCAGCATATTCATAGCCGCATCCATTTGAGATGGGTCTCCAAGAGTGAGGCCCAAGTTGTCCATGGCGTCGGCAGACCCGTCCGATTCCTCATCTTCCTCCAAGGCAGCCCCGTTAGCGAGTGCCTCAGAAATTTCGAGGTTGGCCAGGTCGGGCGTCAGGATACCGGAACCTGTGGCACCGTTCCTGGCCTTCGGTCGAGGCTCCTCGTGGTCCTTTAGCTTGAACACCTTGGCTTCATCTTTCTTGCTCTTCTTGGAGCTGTACGGCTCTTGAGCTGCGGTGGGCACGGGGGTCATGCCAAAGGGCGATCCGGGGAAGTTGGACTCAGAGGGCGTCGGAGCCTGCGAAAGTGATTCAAAGTAGCTATCTCCGTCCAAATCGGTGTTGACCGCAGGTGTCGTCAAAGATACGGGATTGAAGCCAGGACCGAAGGATGACGATCGTCGGTGCATCGACCAGCGATGGCTAGGTGTCCGGCTGCCTCCTGGTGTCGCTGCCTGTGTCTTCTTCTCGTTAAGTCCCAGTTTCCTGGCATTGCGGCCCTTGCGACGGTTGGCGGCGCCCCGAAGAATACCCATCCAGTCAATATCTTTCTTAGTAACCAAGAAGTCCAAGGATTCGATGCACGACGTGTTGACCATTTCACTCAAACGTCCTAGACGAACGCGGACACCGTTGCAAACGCCGCTGCGGAGGGTCATGAAGAAGTTGAGAAGGTTGCGTTTGTTGTCCTTTTGTGGAGCCGAGCCCAGCCCAGCCTTTCTCCAGGTGGTCAAGCGCTGGGCATCAATTGCTGTCTGCGAGGCGAAGCTGCGGGATTTCGACAATCCGCCCAACATAGCATGGGTCAGCAAGATCGTCATCGTGGGGCGTCCAGGATAATGCCAGTACTGGCGAACAAAGGCCAATTCCTGCTCAAAGATCGAGATCAGGTAGTCATTGTCGCTCGTGAGGTAGAACTCCTCGTTATCCATGAAGTGGGGTGTGAATGCATAAAGGTGACCCTCGACGCGATACAGGCGAGATGTTCCAAGAGATCCGATGGGACGCTTAGGTCTTCCAGACAGACCCAGCTTGGCGTTCCTTCCGAGTGCTCCATAAACCTCCTTGAGTCCCTGAGGATGACTGACCGTGATGGGGTGAACCTGGTCCATCGTCTGGGTCTCGAGTCCATACATGTTTAGCATGCTCTGCAGATTGGTGTCCTCGGCAAGGAGCACGACTTGAACCACAGTGTCATTGGCGTGAGTCTTGCGGGCGTTGAAACGTCTTCCGAGAGGATCGATTTCGGCTACGCTTAGCAGGTTCTCGTAGATTAAGCTGCCGAGTGTATGGAGTGAGTTGGCCCAGACAAGAGGGAGGTTATCGTTGGCGATACGAGCCTGGGAATGGTTGTCCTTCTTTTCGGCCTCGACGAGGTGGTTAGGAACGTAATACAACTCGGGAATAAGTGGCATGTGCTCAGGCAGCTTCCCGTCGCTTCCAGGAGTGGCAATTCCAGGTGAGGTAGGTGTTTTCAGTCCTCGGCCGTCCTCGCTATCCGAAATGGAGTCTGTGATAAACTGGCCGAAGTCAACAAGCGTTGCCGAATCGATAATCAATGGCTCCAGCTTGGCACGGTATTCCTCCACTTGCTCTTCGTTCTCGCTGAAGAGACCATCCAGAATAAAGTAGGTGAAGAACAGGGGCCACTCGCACTCGATACCCTCGAAAATCTTGAGCTCATGGGCATCATAATGCAGACGGGTTGTATCTAAATGAAGAGTCGCGTCAGTCTACTGAAATACTTTTACATAAACAGCTGCAACCAGTAGAAAGACTGCCATCCGACTTACTCTCAAGAACAGTCTGATGACCATCACGTAAGAAGCGCTTGCATCCATATTTGCCACCGAGCTTTTCAATAATCTCGTTCCTGGTGCGCTCTACCAGCTTAGCATCGCCCACGGCAAAGGCAGGGAATCCGATAACAGAGAGCAGGGCAGCATCGATTTCCTTGGAATTGGACTCTCTTGGCAGTGCGGAGTGAAGAGTTGTATAGTTGCGTGTGATTTCATCGGGCAGGACATGGATCACCTATTCTCATTCGCAGCGTGAAGTGAGGCACGTTAGCGTAATTATCTACTTTGTAAATCCCCCATGGATGACTGCAGCATGCAGGCAAAGACTTACCGAGCTGGGTCCGCCTCGAGATCCAAAGAGATTGATACCGTTGATCGCCTGCAGGGCTGCAACGGCCATACCAATCGAGGACGAGTTCAGTTCGGGCTCTCCATGGTTGATCTTGTTGCCTCTTTCCCAGATACCGTAGTCAGGGGTGCGGTATGCGCGTTCAATGTAAAAGACCAAGTTCTGCACAAAGTCGACCTCGTCTGCTGTGTAGACGATCAGTATTCCTGAGGCAGTCATCTGCGCCAATGCCAGCAGGAAGATGGAGGTGGCATCGATCTGCAAGTGACCCCACTCCGAGTCACCGACGACCGTGTCTCCGGTGGCAGTGTTGTACTTTGCGTGAAGGCAATCCTTGAGTGCCTGCGTCTTCTTGAACTCCTCAACCTTGTGCGACTGTCGCATCATACTGAACAACAGACCGCGCATCAGCTTGATGACAGCATGCTCAAGTTCATCTATCGATTTTCAGCAAATGGATCAAGTCAGCCTTCAGCTTCCAGGTCCCCCATCAGATCCTGATACAAAGGAGGGCAATGTGAAGATTCGGGGGGAAGAGAAGGGTCGGGCAGCAGTGACTTGGATTCCTCCCCACGGTATGTGTTCTGCGTGCGAGGATTGTCTATTGCGCGAATTTGCGGTACGACAATCCGTATGCAGGTACAATTTTTTTTTCTTTTTGGGAGTGCCATAGCCCCAACCGCCATGCAACCCCACCGGAGTCGCGTGCTGCTCGGGAAAGAAACATACCCGCACGCATACATCCACACGCACACAGATGTTTACCAGCAACCTTGGTTTGATGTTTGTTGAGCAGTGATGCAATGATGGCCGTATGGATCAAGGACACCAACTCAAACGGCGAATAAAGCAAGACAAAAAAAAACTTTGAAGGAGGGCGATAGCCAACCAGCCGCTCGTTGGTTTGTGCTTCCTTATCTGCAAGGCAAGGTTTGAACTCCTTCAGCTGCCCAATGTTGAAATCAGAACTGTGGGATAAGCGGGAAATAGCTGGCGACGACGGGACATGTCACGACTTTGGCCACTGGCTCCCATAGAGTTCGATCCTTTTTTTTTTTTTTTTCGCCCCAGCGGAAAGAAAGAATGTCCAAAGCAGGCTGCCTATCCTACTCACTACCAGATAAAGGACACAACAAGAAAGATGAAAGGATAAAAGGAACTTACAGGCTCGGCCTTCGTCATCATCGACTCGGCGGTACGCGAGCGCAAGACCGAAGACTGCCATGATAGAATACACGTTATCACTACGGGATAGATCGAACAATTAAAGCAGAACAAAGCACGTAAACGGGTTTAGTAAGTCCATCAATTGATCGATGCAGCTTGAAATTGAAGATGGAGGCAATGGTTGTATGACAGAATGATCCCTACCGAACCCAGGCATCGCGATAGTCGCCATGAGTCGTCACTGCAACTGAGGCTGGGATCAGGCCTGTGGTAGGGTTCTGGCGGTTGAGGATGACGGCATTGACACAGCGATAGTAGTGGTCAAGTCTCTTCCTGACGTTGGCCTGGGAATGGTGCATAGCTTGAGGAACGAGCGTTGGAGGTGTAGGATGGGGTAGAGACTGATCAGCGTGCTCTCAGGTGCACAGGTACGATACGGCGTGGACTGATCAGAAATTAAACGAGAAGAGGAAGGGGCCTTGAATGAACAAGCGACAATAAAACGTTGAGACGGTAGACAAGAGTCAGGGTAAGAGAGTAGGGAGACAGAAGGGATGAGGATGTGATGGAGTGATGAAGAAAAAGATGGAAATGAAGTCGATGTCAGACTTTTACGCTCGTCCAGGGACGGTTGGTAGACTGCAGGGACGATGGTGTCACTCAGTCTTGCGGGTCTAGTGGCCTCGCAGAAAACTCAATCGGCAACAGGGCACATCTTGTTATACGTCAGGCACATAAACACACGTACACAGGGTAGTCCATTACTGGCCTCCGGAAAAAGGGTCCATCGATGCTGTGTACGTGCACCCGTTATCGACCCTCCCAAAGCCCTTGGTAGACTGAGTCGTTTCATACCAGACGAACCAATGGCCTGCATCTGTGTATCTGCAGGGTATATGTCCTTGCATCCACAGTAAGGTATCAGTGTAGCTATTAGCTTGATACAAACGGGCAAACGGGCACCAGTCAGGAGACAACTCCGTGATTATTCAATGTCAGAATCAGTATGCAAGGAAACGGTTAGAAAGGATAGGAAAGGGATCTTCGTGGACACGAAAGAGCTGGGTCATTGGGACACGCTCCTGATCCCTGGGTTCCCACTATGCTGGGTCATCGGTGTCCTCTGGGGCACTGTATCTGAGACAAAGTCCAATTGAATCGGGTGGCAGTGCGTTGCGCACTGCCACAAACGAATTTTTTAGCTATGGGCCCTGAAGAGAGCAGTTTGATGCGCGACTACGCAGATTAATTATGTGCAACACTTGTTGTCCCTAAATGAGAGGAAGAAATCTGAGTTTTGTACGTTTAAAAACGGACGCGTTCAAGCTGGAATACTTTTGTTTCTTCATGCCGAGGGTATGGATTCAGCATGAATGATGATTCAGTCCTCAGCCGAAAATAGGTATCGGCAACTACAGCTAAGGATCGCGCGTCCTGGCGAGAGAGAACAAGAATACACGAATACCACGCGGAAGAGAGGTGGAAGAGCCAAAATCTGTCCCTTTGGCTCACTCGGATTGGGCGTGGTTGTTGAAGATCCATACAAATGTGTTCGCACCCGCACCCTTTGTCTGCTTTTTCTTCTTCTCATCGACTTCCTCTTCTTCTCGTCGACTTCCATTTCTTCTTATCGACTTCCATTATCGCGCCTAGCAACTCTGAACATTGCTCTATCCTCCCTAGACGTTTATCCACGATTCCTTGCCGGAAAAGGAGAGCTCAGGCATAAAATCAGATCGATAGCCCTCCTAACCTTCGCACCGGCCTCAAACATACGCTACAGACGTTCATACACGTGCACCCAAAAAATATCACAGCCTGGTATGAGATTAACGACTGTGCTTGCGGGTCTAGCGCTCGTTGTTCTCGCCGCAATGGTGCGGGCGCAACGCATCGTAGGGTATTATGGAAAGGTAATGAAGACTTTAAGTACTGCCTCTCTGTTCTTCTCCTTCTTCGATCTACATTATTAACTAGCCATTGCTGGAAACAAAATGAAATCGACCATTTTCACCACACCAAGACTTGGCGGGATCTGGACCAATGTTTATGTATCCTTCCTGTGCGATATGTATCGTCTATTCTGTACCGTTAATTTTATCCCTGGACAGGATGGAGAACATAGAAGGAATGTGGAATCATGATCTATTCAAGGTCCACTGCAGCCCACTAACACCTCTCTCTCCCCCCCTCCCCTTTTTTTCTTTTTTTCTTTTCTTACAGACGGCAGGACAGTGTCCGGACTACCCATCGTTCGAGCCTGAGGATCTACCCTACAATCTCTACACGCACCTCAACTTCGCGTTCGCGTCGATCAATGACGATGGTGTCATTCAAACGCAACACGCTGAAGATTTAGAGGGCTATAAACATTTTAACGATCTCAAGCTGAAGAAACCCAGCCTAAGGACTGCAATCACCATCGGTAAGGCGGCCAAAACTAGATGTCATATATTGTCTGAAATGTAAGATAGTACAAACACTCGAGAATAATCTGACGCGTCTATGGGAGATACGCTTTTTTTTCTTCCTTTGCTTCTGTGATAGGTGGATGGAACATGGATATGGCATACTACTCCACGATGGTCTCCACCCAAGCCAAACGTCAAAAGTTTATCAAGTCAGCCATGATTTTTGTCCGCCAGCATGGTTTTGATGGAATTGACTTTGATTGGGAATAGTACGTGGTCCTCATTCTTTCTCTCATTCTCTCTCTCATTCTCTCTCATTATGCTTGTCCAAACGGTTGCAATTGCATTTCCTTCGTGCTCTTTTAAGCGCTCTAACATCTTAATCGGGGGGTCGTGGACGTGTGCAACAAAATAGTCCTTCAGACGACTTACGTGGGGGACATCCAGAGGACCCTAAAAACTTTGTCTTGTTCATGAAGGAAATGCGCGACGCAGCGGATGCGGAGGTGCTTACTGAAGGTCGTGAGCGTTTGATTCTGAGCATTGCTTTGCCTGGAGGACCCTTCCACGGACAGTACTTCCATATCCCTCAGCTTGCGCAGTATGGTAGGCTCATACACCTTTTTTTTTTTTGTTTTGCAGCCCACCACCAATGAAGCATCGCACGCTAACTTTGCACCTTTTCTTCTCGCACTTCTGGCAGCTGACTGGCTCAACATCATGGCGTACAATCTTCACGGGTAAGTATGTTAAGAGCGCGCATTTTGAGGATTAATGTCGTCTTTGCAATGCAATACACAGTTAGCTAATATCGCGTCGCGTTTTTAAAATTAACATTAACTTCTAGTCAATGGGAGGATATGGCCTTTTGCGCGGCTCCTCTGTACGACACTGCCAAGAGCACAAAGTATTTCGGCTATTCTGTCGACGATGCAGTTAAATCCATGGCTCCTAAGTCCGTGGATCCCAAAAAGTTTAACCTGGGCCTTTCCTTCTCCGGTGTCACGTTTACACTCAAGGACAAAGCCAAGACCGCACCGGGTTCACCCGCCATCGGTCCTGGTAAACAGGGCTGCCAGGAGAAAGGAGCCATGTCTTACTTTGAGGTCATGAGACTGTCCAGCCTCGCACAAGTCGCTGACACGAAGAAGCCGATTGATCACTTCCAACGTCAGGTCACGCAGGAGCCGAGGAGGGATGAGGTTGGCTCTTGCATGTACATGGTCGTGAATGAAGACCAGTGGATCGGTTATGACACGCCGGAGACCTTTGCGGCTAAGATTGATTACCTGAAGAAGGCCGGCTTTGGAGGCGTGAGTATCTGGTCGATGGACTCGGATATGGCCAACCACGAGCTGACGACGTCGGTTTATAGCAGTCTTACAGGTCCATCAGACGAGATTCGAAAGGCCGGCAGCAGCGATAGCAAGGATGAGAACAGCAGCGAGGGCAAACAGACGAGCGCTGGTATCCGTGACAGTAGCACCTTTCAGATTGCAGGCCTCGCAGCCAAGGTGATGGTTGTTATCATGTTCAGCGTTGTCCTTCTTGCGTAGTCCTGGATACATGTCTTTTTTTCTTTTCTTTTTTTCCTCTTTACAAGAAAGGACGAAGGACGAAAGGGTACAACAACAGAAGCTACACATAGAACATTCATCTTTTACTTTTTTTTCTCACTCGGTTGCCCTAAGACTCTTTCATTATTAATTTGCTCTTTACATAAAGAAAAAAGCTGGCATTGCTGGCAAAAAAGGGAAAAAGGAAAAGAGAAAAAGGTCTTCCAGGTATTCTTGTCTGAGTGATCTGAGCATTAAGCCATAGCCCAAAGAGAAGCGTTTAAAGTACCAGCAGAAGTCCTAACCGTCGGATCCGCTGTCGTTGGCCGGACTGTCCCTGTCTTTTGAGCAATGGTTTTTGCAAGGTTCGGATACAATGTGCGAGCACCCGTCGTGGTCGTTGTATGCACTGCTAGGGTGGGTTTCGCAGCCTTAGCCGCTGTGGTCTTGGAAACCTTAGCCGTCTGGGACACATTCGCGTTCGAGGGAGCACTGGTCTTTGGTTGCACAATCGTCTTTACAGGTAAGTTCGCTGTACGAGTGGCAGCAGATGAGACCATAGAAGCGGCTGGAGCAGCAGGAACAGCAGCAGGAGTTTTAGTAGGAGTGATGGTAGTCTTGGGGGCGACAGCTGGACCGAGGACACAGATTTCGTTGTCAGTATCGAGGTTGTCGCAGTTCTTGTGAAGGCCCGTGTTCCAGAGCAGGAGCTTTTCAAAAGTTGTACCGTGCTTGAGCGCAAAGTCGTAACATGACTCAACGCTGCCATCCGCTAATCAAGTTTGAGAGAAAGGGACCGTCAGAACGTGGTTTTTATCTTGTTCGTATATATCGTCCAAGGTGTTTGAGGAAGTGTAACTGCCTACCTGGAACGACTTCCTTGCGGAGGCATCCTGCAATGGGTGTTGAAGGCTTTGCGGTTGCCTCCTGGATAGCGACAAGAAGCGACAGACAGGCAAGGGTAATGATGGAGGACTTCATGGGGAGTATAATGGAGGGGTTTCTCTTATTTTTTTGGTTTGTTGCGACCACATCCTCGTTTTTATAGCATGCGCTGATATACGCGCCACCTTGGCTCCCAGATGGCCACCAGAAACCAAGAGCCCTCGCCTTGTTCTTTTTTTTTATTTTTTGGCTCCTATGCTAAAAATGCTCATGTGCCTTGAGGTTTCCGCGGATCCTATCACATACATCTATCAAGGAGAGAAAAACGAACAACGGCCATCATACATCTGGACCCGCCTCCTTATTCTTGCTATCCTATTCTGTTACTTGATATCATCGTCCATTCAGGAGACAGGTACCAGTAGAATGTTGATTTTGAATGCTATATCACTTTTTTATTGCATAAGTAAATTAAGAAAAAAACTGGGTAGACATATACACGAGCCAGCAATTGCTTCCCCCGTGGTTCTCCGCGATCAGTTCCTGAAGGCGTGAGTCAATTAGCCGTCGTTGCTGTGCATATGTGTACCGTGTGTACAGTGAAGGATGTGCGAAATGCGGCGACCAACACCCTTTTTTGGTTTTTCTAGGGCGATTTGTTTTTGATCAACTTGTCGGCCATGACCAAGAACTCGTCGAAATCAATGTGCTGGTCGTTGTTTGTGTCAAACTCTTTGAGAGTGTGTGCAACCGAGGTGGTGTGGAACTTTTCGCCGACGAGCTTTAACAAGGAACGCAGCTCTGAGGCATTGATGGCTCCATTTCCGTCGCGGTCAAAGACATTGAAGCTCTCCTTGAAGCCGGCGATCTCCTCGGCTGTGAAGGTAGTGGAGGAGGACTTGCAGGTTGCAGTAATCAAAAACAAGGCGAGGGCAAAGTTAGTTTTAGCTTAATATAAGCCCCTCCCCCTCGTTGCTTCTCCGAACACGAACGGTCGCTTGGGTACACATACCATGGTGACTTGGCTGAAAAAAGAGATGGATGAGGAAGATGAGGAAGAGGGCAATGAATCGATGAGCGAGAATGAGCAAGAAAAGAAGGAAAGAGGAAGAGAGAGAGGGAGATAGGAAAAAAAGAATGAATGGAAACGGAAGAAGGGAACGTGCTGAGCAAACCCCTCGGGCTCACCTCCAATGGCCCACTCACCCCTAATGGCCCACCCCCAATGGCCCACCTTCATTCCGTATTAGTCGAACTTTTTAGAGTTGCTAATACAAAACAAGCCAACATCCTGCGCACCGTTGCGGGTCTCAGTAATACTAAGGCGGCCGTTGAGTGGTCTGTCTAATGAGGTCCCAGGTCCGGGCAATAATGCCTCGCACGAGTATCCAAACCAACACCCTCTTCCTATTATATCTATCAGCAATATTCTCTTGTTTATTTCTGCGCGTATACCCGGTATGGGCCAATTTTTGCACTGCCATTTTCTTGATGGTCTGTCGCCTTTTGCGCGATGTCCAACAGCCCCGAGGCATCATTGGAAAAGAAGAAGATAGAGAACAAAGAGAAAGAGCGATCTCGGATCAAACGGGCGCAAAAAGTCGGCGTACATACATTCTTTATTACAGCGCGTATGGTATGTAGAAATAGATAATAGGATAAAGTGGAGCGGATAAAAGGGCTGTTCGCAATTGAATGGTCCATAACTCCATGTATTGCTCCCTGGCTTATTTCTTGTCCAGCTTGTTCTTAATCAAGATACCGGTCAGCTTGACGAATTCGTTAAAATCGATGGCGCCTGACTGGTCAGCATCGTACTGTGTGAGGAGATCCTCGAGACCGCGGGCATTGACCTTGTGTCCGACTGTGTGGAGGAGAGAGTGGAGCTCGCGGCGGGAGATGGTGCCGTCGCTATTGCGATCAAAGGCTTCGAAGCTCTCCCTGAGGTCAACGAGTTCTGAGTCTGTGAATTGGTCAGCCTAGAAGGTAGGAAGCATGTCCGAAGAGGAGGATGAAGAAGACACGCACAATGAGTTTTGAGTTGCCATATGCACATGTATACCATATCACCGACGAGGTTCGTTTGACTACCATGATGAGTATGGGATGGATCAGGAGGAGAGAGATGAAGAATGAGGAATGAATCACGAGAGAATGATAGAGGAGGAAAAAAAGAAGAGCGGCTAAACCGTCGAGCCTTTAGAAACTCGCTCTTCTTCGCCCTGCTAGGCGGTCGGATATAGTCAGCATGATAAAACTAACGAGCACATCGATGCTCTCAGTAGCCGTATCCCTCCTAACGCCTGTTCATCCTATCTATCTCTCGCTTTCTTTCCTTTTGAACGATGAAGATAGACAGATGGGTATAGGGCAGTGTTAGTTTTGGTCAGAACACTACACACGTTGGGTAGACCCTTGATTAAGGTCCAACTGGATAACTGAACTTTATTCTATCTTGTCCCGCATCGCTGAATCTCATTCCTCCCCTTCCCATCACAAACACACATCCGCCTGCAATCACTTCTCAATGATCATCAACCCAGTACTCGAGAGTGCAGAGTTTATCCACAATGTATATTGCCATGCCTATATTATATTCGGAGTCGCAGTGTTGTGCAGGGCAATGCAGTACTATTCTGTCTAGTGATACGCTATTATATACTGACATCTCGCGCCCTTTTGTTATTGTTGGTGGTACCAACAAACCAGCATAGCAGGCATGTGTCGATACCCAAGGATAGTGTCAACCATGGTGCAGCAATGGTAGCTCAGTTAAATCATAGGATACATTTGCATGCACAGACTATGCAATGTTCATCTGCCTTGAAGTCCGGCACTTATGCCGTGTTTTTGTTTTGTTAATATCACAGATCTTTGAGGCGATGAAAAAGACCCATTACGACACAAGCAAGGTTGACAAATGCATCAATTGATCTCTTGAAAGAGCAGTCTGACAACCTATCAATACAGCATTCAGCTAATCAGCTCTTCGTCTCTCTCAATGCAACAATGATACAATGATAGTGGAAAGAGCATCCTCTGAATCCCAAGGAGTGCAATGCCAGCACTGTAGATTGGTCAGAACACTGTCTATCAGCTGCTTAGCCCCTGCATCGAACAACATCCTTTCTTCTCTTTAACCCTCTGAATTTACTGCTTGTAGGATCTTCCTAGTCGATCTGCTTAATTTTTCCTTCTGGTCCGAGATCGACATAGATGACACGGGTGTACCTCACCCAGATCGCTACCGCGTAACATTCCATGGCGTTGGGTACACCGGCTACTGGTCCATGGTCGCTGCCATCAACAGAGGTATAGGAGAGAACGGCTGTTTCTCTCCCTTCTCTATGCTAATTGAAAGTTCACCTTCCTAATATTCCTTATGCATGTCGTTATTAGCGCTTGAGGAAGGGATCCCTATTACTACACCCGAATTCTTTGCATCAGAGGAGCGGTTACCCGACAGCGACATCGAGAGAATCTTTCGATCCGACACACAAGAGCAGATCCCATTGCTGCAGGATAGAATTCGCGTCATGCGCGAAGCCGGAAAAGTCCTTGTTGAGGTACTAAACGCGCTAGCAGTGCTGTTGCCTCGCAGTGTTTGTCATAGAGTTGACCTCTCCCTTCTAACAACTCTTTATGACAGAAATTCGATGGCAGCTTTACAAACTGTATTGCACAGGCAGACAAATCAGCCTTGAAGCTGGTCGAGATTGTTACCTCCAACCTTTCATCCTTCCGCGACGAGGCAGAGTTCTACGGACGAAAAGGTATAAAGAGATCGCATGCTCGATTGTTGGTATTTATTCGTTTGAAATCTAACAATCTTTATGCCATGCTGAATAGTTCAATTCTTCAAGCGCGCTCAAATATTGGTCGCTGATCTCTGGTAAGCGATCATCCCACGTTCCAGGTTCTGTACCATGTTGATTGCATAGCTGCACACTGTTTACACCACCTTTCCTCACATCCTTACTGACCCTAGGGCATGCTTCCAGAACCAGGACTATGGAGAGTTCAAGGATATTGACGAGATCACCATGTTTGCGGATTATCGTGTCCCACAGACGCTGTACCACTTCCGTTGTCTTCAATACTCATCTGAGCTGCTCGAGATCCTGAACCGCGGCGAGATGCTCCCCAGCGGATCGCAGCTCGAAGTAGAGATTCGAGGCAATTCTATTTGGGCAGTCGAGCTGATTCGGCGCAGGATTCTAGACTTGATCGGTGAGGAACTCGTGGAGCGACAGGCCCATGCTACCAAGACTGACTTGGAGGCGGAACCGCCAAAGATGATGACAGTGAACGCCATTTTGATCGATTTCTTTATCTGGGACTTTGCTAAAGCTGCACAGCTGGAGCTGACATTGGGGGAGAGACCGGTCAAAGTGCATAGAACGCGCTCTGTGTATTACTAGACATGGTGCCTCACGTCTCTGATAAGATCAGTAGACACCGTCTAATAAAAAGAATGCAGCTGTGAAGCAATTGCGAATACATAGAGGTACAACGATAGACTGGAGCAGTTGGAGGATGATATTTCATACATGAGTTGAGTGGAACCTAGGTGGGTGTAGTCTTGGCGGAGCAATTGAGAGGACTCGCACACATGGCTTAGCCAGAGGTGCATCGCCCGTTTATGTCCTGAGCTGCTGCAGAGTGAATTGCTCTCCCTCTTTGAAATCTATTTTTCTGTATGTGATTCAGTGACTGTTGCGAGAGGCATCATCCATATCCATGGATGGATCCACCCGTCGCCACCATCATACCATCGATCCATTAATCGATCCCACACGGCAGCGGGATCAACATGACACCATGCAGGAAGGGCGTATCTATCATTCAACTAGTCAGAAGTACGGCGAATTCGCGTGTCATGATACCAATAGTCCGAGCCTAAACCTTTGACCTGGACCGATGGCGAAACTATGATTGAATGAAGGATGACCTCCGCCACGATTTGAGTGCAGGCTGCAACGCACTAGAAGTATCCACAACAAAGCAACAGAAGTTCTCTTATCGACGTGGAACAACCTAACTCACGATGGAGTGTGCGACAACTTTCTTATCACAGACACCTGATCGCACATCGCTCAGAGAGGCCTTTCTCAGCTGGCGATCGCAACATACTTCAGTTGACAGGACCGGAACTATGATGGATCGGGTCCAAACACAATCTACTGTGTTTTCATGGAGCCTTGGACCAAATCAACTAAAACTGATTTCAAACTGTCTGGATTTTATGTGCTGCGTTTTTCTATTAGAAAATGGTCACTCCTCTTAAGAAGCACACCATCGTGAAGAAGCACACCGCTACCTTCAAGCGTCACCAGTCTGACCGCTACAAGACCGTTAAGGTACGATGACGGGACCGGCTTCAATTGATACGCACGCTGGACCAGGAGGCGAAAATCGGCAGGAATATGTGTGAAGAGGGATGGCAATTTGACCTCAGGAATTGCTTTGAGCTATCGACCAAACATGACTATGGGCTTTTTATATTGACCAGCCATTGTTGTGCCTCAAGTGCATATTGTCTCAATTGGCATTGAATCGAGATCGCACAGCATATTACATATTAGCGACAGTAAAGGAGACTCAAAGGAGATCCAAAATTCAGGACGATTAATATTACAGAAAGACGATGGGCGCAGCTTTTCAGCGTTGATATTATGCGGCAAACCTATCCTTTTTTGGATAGCAGCACGGACATAAGAAAAGAACACAAAGAACGGCTATCGAAGTATTATTGTATCTCTATTCCACGGAATTTAACATCTCTCTCTTATCGACTCCCTTTTTCATGAAATTTGCGACCTGCAGGAGTCATGGAGAAAGCCCAAGGGTATTGATAACCGCGTCCGTCGCCGTTTCAAGGGCCAGATCGTCATGCCCAAGATCGGTTACGGCAACAACAAGCTCACCCGTCACTTGATGCCCTCGGGCTTCAAGAAGTTTGTTGTCTCGAACATTGCCGAGTTGAACCTCTTGTTGATGCACAACCGCACCTTCGCCGCCGAGATCGCCCACAACGTCTCGTCCCGCAACCGCATCGCCATTGTCGAGCGTGCCCAGCAGCTCAACATCAAGGTCACCAACGCCAACGCTCGCGTCAGAACCGAGGCTTAAATTCTCTCTTTTTTTATTTTTCACCAACAAAAAAAAGTCGTTTCAGGTCGGGCTACTCGGATACTCGGGACTTTTGGACAAAAATCAGGACTTTCTCATATTTTTTCATGTTCATCTGGACCTATCCGAGCACGAAACACAACAGAAGCGAAATGATGCGAAATAAAAAAGGAAAAGAAAAGATGGTGCTGTCTCTTTCTTCACACATCAAGGTCCCGTTTTTTGTCGTTCTTGGAACGTGAATACATGGACAGTTTTTTTTTTTTTTTTTTTTTTTTTTTTCATCTCGTTTATTATTTTCCTTGATGAAGGATTGGTGGTTTTCTAGTGGTGTCTTGAAAGCACATATCTATTAGGAATGGAAGGTAAAAAAAGAAGTGCAGGACATTCACTAGTTGGCTCCCGTTGCTGCCATGGGAACTGACAATAGAGTTGCCTCAGATAGCGATTCACTTGCGTCTGTGGTGGCCGTTGGGGGCTCCTTGACGGGCTTGTAATACAATGCGGGCTGAGCCTTTGTCATCTTGAACAGCTCAGTCGGCTGGACAACCTGTGTCTCCTGCTTCTGCTCCACTTTCTCGCGTTTGAACACAACAACTGTGGTTATGAAATGCGATAAAAGGAAAAAAAGGGGGGCGAGGTTAGAGGAGGTTCATTATGTTGTATCTGTCAGCAGTTTGATGAAAAGCGACAACAAACCTTCAACATCATCCAGGTGCGGTGCAACTGCAGGTTTTGATACAGCAGCCGGTTCACCCTGACCAGTGTAGATCACAGGTCGATTTCCGCTCTTTTGAGCCTTTTCTGCTGCGTCTATGCTCGCTGCTGCTGCCTCAGGTGCGATGAAGTGAGGTTCTAATGGTTTGCCTGTCTCTTTTGGGAACACTTGTCCCTTCACTTGACTGTATGCCTTCTCTGCTGACGCCGCTTCCTTGTACTTTTTTGTAGGGAAACAAAGCGTATTTTTAAGTTAGCATTTTGTTTCCTGGTTCGATGCTAGAATGCGTTCCGATGCTGTATTTTTCAGTGACTTACAATGACATAGCAATGTGTCCTGATGCTGTCCATCCACAAAACTTCGATCTCGCCAAACTCTGAAAGCATCCTCTTGACCTGGTTCACTGTCAAAGGACGGAGAAAGTTTGTGATCGCAAGAGCGCGTGTTGTCTCTGAAGGGAGTGTCGCACCCGGCTCTATTTCATTTCAAATTTTGTTTGCTTTCTGTAATCAGCATATACAGCGATGACAATACGAGATTAATCGGTAATCGAAAGTATCATACCTTCTGATATCTCTTTTAAGGCTTCAATGGATGCTGAGGGTGGTGAGGGTGCTGACTGCGACGGTCCTGAATTTTTTGAACTCACCTCGGGCTGACGATCCTTCGCCGCCAGTTTGATCTGTTTCTCCATCATGGATCTTGCATCAAATCTCCGTCCACCCTTCCGATCCTCAGTGGGTGATCTTGGTGCTGAAGGTGTTGATGACTGTGAAGAGTTGTCCTCGGCCACAGTGGCTGTTGAGGATGTTGTTGTCGTTGTTGTTAGAATTGGACGCCCCGGTGCTGGCGATGGAGAGGGTGCCATGCTACGACGGCGTGCAGCGGCCTCGACTGCATCCTTTGCGGCTGCTGCCATTGCCTCGAATTGATCCCGCTTGATTTCGATTGCCTTCAGCCTCTTTGCTGGTATTTCCTTGGGCTGTGAAGCATTCCCGGTAGCTAGTCCTTGTTGACTAGATGCGTCCGCTGTATCCAGAGAACGCTTCTTCGATTCGGTAGAGGCGGCGACAATTGTGTTGCCGGTGGCCGAGGTTGTGGTCGTATCCACAAGGCCCTCCTGCGTAAGCGTTGGTGTGCCGACCACTGGCTCCAAGATCATTGATCCCTCCATTAGCTCATCCTGTTGCTCTCCCTTCTCCTCTGCGACGGCTGGTACTGGTGGTAGCGGTGTATTGACAACTGCTTCATCTGCATCGGTTTTGGGTTCTGTCACGGGCTTGACGATCTGTGTTATCTCCTGCACCTCTGATGCTGTAGTCGTTGGTGATTTGGATGGCGCATTTGTATCCATATCTGTCGAATTATCGCCTTGATTTGTCTCCACTTCCTTGGGTGCGACGTCGGGCTCTGTGACCGACTCTGCAGGCGCTGGGGTGGTTCTCTCTGCTGCCAATGCCTCCTCTAGACGCGCTACAAGCTCCTTCTTCAAACCCTTGGTCGACAGACCGCGGGTGGTCAACTCTGCCTTGAGCTCCGTGACCTTGAGAGAGTTGGGGTCGATCATAATCGTATGTGGAATGAGGTGAGGGTGTGTGATGGAGAACTGAGCGAATGAAAGGCGCACACGATCTGTCTTAACGCGTTCTGCTTTTTTTTTTTTTCGACCGATGACGTATTTGCAGATCAAATATAATTAACCAAGCCGACAGAGGAGACACAGGAAGGGTAGAAGAACAGGACTGATGAGTCAACGATGAGCACGATCGACCCGCCCAAGAGGAGATTACAGGACGATGAGAATCTCGTGAACGGACAACCAACAACCAACGAGATTCACGGACAGAATGAAATAGCTCTCTCGGCTGCACAGGATGGTGATTTAACGAATTCACCATCAGCACAACTCTCAGTGCAACCTGCACCAATGGAACTGGACCCTGCATATGTTCGCAAACGTGAGCATGCCTTGCGCACCACAGGAGAGATACTGCATCAGCGATGTGTCAAAAAGATGGAGCGTTTGCAGCAGGTACCTATATTCACCGCCATGTTGCTCAATTGGTGTCTGAAAGTTTAATCCGATAACTCATAGTTGCTCGACGGTGCACTCGCAAATAGCTGAAGCAGAAATATGCACAAAGGAATCCTCGACCTTTCATTGATGCCGAATTAATGCAGGACAAGGTAGTGAAACAGGATATGCTGACGATGCTAAGTAAGGGACGTCTTCGGCCGCCACATGTACTGACCATATATCTATGGTCCGTTTGCATTTAGTCATTGGCTATCCTTCGGCTAGAGGAAGCACGTTTGCAGGCAGAGTACGAGAAGATACAGGCCAGTAAGTTTCTATTGAGAGCTTTGGATACTATGCATCGATACCGATAAGCTTGTTAATCCTTGAAATGCACATTTTTCTAGATCAAAACGTTTTTCCTGAAGTGATACCGGAGTTGTCAAAGATTCAAGTGCGTCAGATGGTGCGGGACTCAATTCGCGACTACGGGATTATGATTTCGCAACTGAGGAAGGAGCTCGAAGAGACAAAGACAGAGCTGGCGTCCGAGCGACAGCTGCTGAAGGAATTGAAGGAGATAAATCAAGCCTTGCAGGCGAGGCGGAAGGACTTGGCAAACTTGGTCGAGTCAGGTATGAGTCAGGAAAGTAGCCAGGATCGGCAAAGGATGTTGGAGACCAGAGTTCAAGTACAGGAATTGATGCGGGAGTTGACCAGGTTTCTCAGCAAACATTATCCTCCAATTCAACCGGATGTAAGGCGCCATCGCATGATCAACTTGACTACGATCTTCCAATGTCAAGACACAGATACTGAAGATGACTATTTTCCTTTTGTCTATCTTAGGACGATAACCCGAATGTTTTCCAGTTGAAGGACATATTGGAAGACATTATGAATTTGTCGGTCAGTCAACCTGCCGATCCTTATCTAGTCTTGGTGCATGGCGAATACTATCCGCCTCATATCGAGCAGCTCATCAACGCAGGAATTGCTGTGCGACATTCTCGTGACTCCCAAAAGTTGAGGCTCATCGACTTTTACTCATGATCACCTTGACCTCCTTCTTTTTGTATAATAAAACTGTTCTCAAAGCATGTACTTTATATTGCTTCGCCAGTTCATCGACATGTGCGAGTGCAAAATGATTTACTTTATTGATGGTATCGTATTGTTAGATCTACGCTTAATCCTTCATGATATTGGTGTAGGAGGAAAAAACAACATCTGCTTGTCCTTAGGTTTTCTCTTTCACAGCTTGTCGAGGTGATCCAGCCGTGTCAGGACCACATTTTTGCTCGTTTCTTCAATCTCGCCCGCGAGAAAGACTTCATCAAGGATCGAGTAGACCTAAATATCCCAGCGAATCGGCATCAAAGTCAATAAACAGGGTTCATTTTGAAAGCCAGCAAGAACAATGCCAAAATGCCGTCGTCCATGTTGTTTTTTATTACCTTGTAAAAGTTGAAGACGAGATCTAGCTCGCAAACGTTGCCAAAGAAGGCGTCGAGGACCTCGACAAAGAAATGAATTGCCTCCAAGTATGCGAGCTCGTTGTCGTTTGCATCGACGCACAGACAAAAGAAAAGGCCGGCATAGCGGCGATACACAATCTTGAAGTTACGGAACTATTTAGGAACAAGGGACAGATAACGGATACTTAGCAACATTGAGATCCCGTCAATAGTTACTGGGTTCGATATCCCTGTTTCTGTTTCTGGAAATGCAATGTTACCTCGACAAAGTTGGATTGATATTTCTGGTCCCTGGGTGCCACAAGACGGTGAACTTCGCCCTTGAGCTTCAGCTTCTCGTCGTCCTCATAGGGCGAATACCACTTTGACAATCGCGTCTTGCCCTGGCGATTCTGAACTAGAATAAAGCGAATCTAGTGGATGCGATAAAAGCAACTTGGTGAGAAAAAAAAAAACTGAAAGACTCTTGGAGTTCCCATCTGATCCTGCCTGTATGTCATCAACTAGAGGTTTGGTTGTACCATGGTAGATGTAATATGATAAGCCGAGACAGAAGACGGAGCGGCAGCGGAGACCCTGCAATTCAATGTAGGTATTGTACGAGAGGTATGAGTGGATGAATGTCGATCAGCCGTGGATGGAGATGATGATTGCTTCGGCTTTGTTGGTATGCTTGAGGTGTGGAGGATGAACAGTTATACTGTTCCCATCGTTGAGAGCAACGCTCCTGTAGTCTGGCTACTATTTTTGAGACAGGCAATTTATTCGACCTTCATAAATGGACATGACTGGGTTTCACATTATAGAAAGAGTTGACCCTATCACATTGGTTCGCCGCCTTACCTCTCTGCACGCGTTCTCATCAACACTCAGGACGAAGACATCCAGCAACACTCTCCTTAAAGCAGCCCAGCATGGTGGACGGAAAGTCGATCATTTCGATTGCGCCCGACGCCAAGGTCGCCATCATCTCCGCCTTACTTAAGCATCCTGACGACCTGTCCAACCTGAGCTCGATTCGCCAAAAGCTCATCCGCGAGAAGGCCATTGTCGACCAGCAGCTCAAAATTGGTGTCCAGAACCAGATGGAGGAAACTAAGGAAGCCCTGGATATTCTTGGGACGACAAAGGAACAAGTGTTGGGAATTCGCGCCAACATGAAAAATATCGACTCGCTTTGTAAGGACGCCCAGGGTTTGATCAAGGACTATCCGCGTATCCGCAAGGTTAGTGGCGGTGCATGGGGTTCTTTTGAAGAATAGGGTCATATCACCGTACTTTCCGTAATCGCTCAGATGCCTATTGCTTGCTTGCTTGCTTATTGCATTTCGAATACGGCTAGATTTCCCAAACGCACCAGAACTTTGTTGCAACACAGTCATTGGTCAACAACTTCCAGGAGCTGCATCAGGATCTAGACAGGATCAAGTCAATGATGAAAGAGGATAAGAGGAACATCCTTGGACCCGCGCCAAACTTGCTCATGGTTCATTACCAATTGTACAAACTGGAGCAGCTCCGCGACAAAACCCTTTACATGGCTAGGGACGAGCCACTGGACGTCAAGGTCACACTCAAGGAGTACTTTGGCCGACTAGACCAGGTCATCCAGGAGTTCGAGGAGTATCTATGGGAATTGACGCGCAATATGATTGACCTCATCAAGAGCAAGCAAGGATCAGTTATCGTCCGTCTCATCAAGATTATCGAGAGTGAGGAGAGTGCCGACGCCAAAGCCGTCACCCTTACCACCAAATCCGAGCACCGTGGATCTCGCCAGGGACTCGGGGGCAAAAAGACGGACAAAGCACCACGGACGGTCAAATCGCTGCGAAGCAAGTTCCTTGATATCCTTCACGACGAGGTCTCTCGCAAGTTCAATATCTTGCTCGAGAGAGTCGATAGCGAGCCGTTGGAGTGTCTCGAAGCCACCGATTTTGTCTTCCCGGACTTGGCGCTTGTATACGATGATCTGGTTCCTCGGTCACCCTCCAACTACAAGATCTTCCCATTCCTCGTTATTGAATATCACCGCCATGTATATGAGCTCGTCAACAAGATCGTGAATTCACCAGATCTAGACGGCGGCCGTATTCTTCATCTTCTGAGATGGGTCCGAGAATACTATGCCAGCATGAACCACCAATTGGGCGTGACCGAGGAGTTGTTGGAGCCTCAGCTGCTGGATGGTAACGAACAGGGGTTGCTGGATGAATACCTCAAACTTGTCCGGACCAATCTCATCAAGTGGACCAACAACATGATGGCTACTGCAACAGCCGAATTTGTCGAGCGACAGACTGCACCCGAAAAGGACTCTGACAAACTATACCACATGCAGACTGCCAACCTGCTCTTCGAGATGGTGAATCAACAGGTTACGTTGGCAGCAGATTCTCAGCAGAGCACAGTGATGGAACAGGTAGTCCGGGAGTGCATACAGGTCATCAAGGACTACCAAAAGAAATGGAAGGAACTGACTACGGCAGAGATGAGAAAGCAGATGGACTCGCCAGGGACCGCTCCGGCTGGGTTGGCAGAGTACATCATGGCTGCGACCAACGACCAAATCAAATGCGCCGAGTTTGCAGACGCATTGTTGATCAGGATAGAGAAGGACAACATGATTAAGAACCGCAAGAACTTTGAGGCGGCCAGAGATCTGTTGAACGAGACCATGGACGATTTCTTTGACGTGGCAACACACGGCGCCAACGCGCTCTTGGACCTCGCCTTCAATGATGTCAAGGAGCCCCTCAGCAAACTGCACACGTCCTCATGGTACGACGATGATCCTATGGGACTCATTATTGCGACACTCAAGGACTACAATGACGATTTCAGGATACATTTGAACGACTACATGTTTAACAAGCTGGTAGACTGGATGCTGGAGCGACTGATGATTGCCCAGATTGATGCACTTCGTAATAAGGGCGCAAAACTCAAGTTCCCGATCTGCGAGGATCGTCTGCAGCAGGACCGCGCTGCTGTATTCAACTTTTTTGTGCAATACAAGCCAATCAACGATCTGGAGCAAGACTTTGATGCGATCGAAAAGCTGCACAAGTTTACTTGTAGCACCAAGATGGCGGCCTATCTCAACTTTTATTCGATGAAGCGCATTTATCACGATCTGCCGCTGACTCTCGTGGAAGATATTTTGGGACGGAGGGATGATCTGGATCGGTCGAGCATCAAGGAAATCATGGACCCAATCAAAGAGAAGTTCAAAGATAAGGATCCGATCGATGCAGCACGTTCACCCACCGTCTTTAGCAAAGTCAAGCAGTAACTGGATACCTTAAGGCCACGCGTCAATAAATCAAAGCTTTTCTTTGTCCCCCTTTGTTAGCCTGTAATGTCTACAGCCCCAATGCCCCTGAGAAACCGGAGACAGCAGCATTCGATGCTCCACAAATCAAAAGCGCACAAGTCATATCAATGTTCTAAATTCATTAGCTTGGACATATCCTGCGGCGCGAGCCCTTGCATCTCTTCACATCACACTTCCCATCCACATCCTACCTCTCATTCCATTTGCTAAAATGCGCTTCTCATTCGCTGTCATCTCTGCACTTCTTCTGGCCTCGCACATCTCTGCCGGCAAGACCGAGCCTAAGACGCTTCAAATTGGTACAAGCAACCTTTTCTTTGTCGCTTGGTCCGCTCATATCTATATTATTACTATTATTACTGCTATTATTATTTAGCTGTGTCGCTTACTCTCTGATTGTTGCATCTCGATAGGTGTCAAGGCAAGGAACCCTGATCCCAACTGCGTCAAGAGCAAGGACGGTGACAAATTGTCCATGGAGTACACTGGTACTCTCTGGGCCACGGGCGCACAGTTTGATAGCTCCGTCGGCCGTGGTCCCTTTGATTTCACCCTTGGCGAGGGCATGGTCATTAAAGGTAAATTCAACTTGTCGAATGCAAAGATAAACTCGCTGCCTTCTTTCCCTAGATGTCTGACTCTCAGCGTTATCTTTCGCTCGTCCTCTTCTATGTAGGCTGGGACCTGGGATTGCGTGGCATGTGCGTTGGCGATAAGAGAAAGTTGTCCATCCCCGCACACTTGGGATACGGTGAACGTGGTGCGGGTGCTTCAATCCCTCCCAACGCTGCTCTTGTGTTCGAGGTTGAGCTTTTGAAGATCAACGGCAAGGGTGCTAAGGACGAACTTTGAATCAGATACCAGCCCCTCAGCACCTGGTTCCCACAAGAAAAGGAAAATGATTTCGCAATAAACTATATCCAGTATGAAGTCGGCAAGGGGTTTTCGCTTTTGTTTATTTCTCATACGAACGAATGCGTAGCATTGTCTTCACTTGCAGTAACGATCCGACTTTAGTTTTTCTCTGCGGTCCAGAAGTGCCTCTGAGAAGCGACCTTCTTTCCTGGCTGTTTTGAGTTCACCCACATCATCTTTCGAGACTATTACACGACCGTGATTCCAGGTCTGAAACTTGCGGTTCTGTTGGGCCTCATAGTCTTCAGTGACAATCTTGACCTCATCCGACTTCTTGATCTTCTTTCGGTATTTTGCCTGGATCTTTGCCTGAAAGAGTTCACAGAACCCAATCACGTCTGAATCTGCCCGGATCTGGAATCCTGCTGTTGCTGATAATGATGCTCCGCCTCTGTTGTCCATTGCGGCGACCTCATCTATGCTCAGGAACTTTCCGTAATGGTTCTGAAAACAGATCCCACCCTCTTCCTCTGGTTTAATGATGGCTGTCCATTCTTCCTGCATTCCAATCGCCTCTGAATCCGCTGACACAATACCAAACTTGTCAGAGCTGAGGTACCGGTCATTGAAGGTCTTAAGCGCCAGGCGATCCGAGTCGGGGATCATGGTTGCGACAAAGACTTGGTTGACAGCTGTGGGTTCTGATGATTCAATGGAGACGGGTGCAGAACTGGTGGATTGATCATCTGCGGAAACTAGTGATGATTCCAGAGGTCTCATGACGACTCTGGATTTGTCGTCGATTGCCAAACAAGAGGGTGGATCGGACGAGAATGTGAGGAAGATTGGGCCACCGAGGTCGCTCAAGGATTTGATGGGGACCCAGCCTAGTAAGTGCATAAAATATTTTGAGTGTCAGCTTCGTGACGATGGTATTGCTGAGTGTCTTTTCTTGCTTGGCTGAGGACCTGTTGCTCACCTTCGAGGTTAGTACTGCTGTCATCGTCCTTTGCGTCATCCTCGGCCTTTCTTTTCTTCTTCTTGCTATTAGAAGGACATTGTAGATATTGTGGAGGCACAGGACAGAGTTAGTTTGCCTATTTTCTTCAGCACGGAGTGCATTGCAACACTCGGAGTAAAGTCGATTTACGTCTTTGTGCTTTCGCCCTTGAAGGTGAGTTTTTTCTTCTTGACGGCATATTCGTCTGGCATGGTGGAGTGAGTAATGGAAGGGTTAAAAAGGTTGGAGAGGGGTGCAAAAATAACAATGTTGGCATTGGTTAAAGGCAGAGCGTCTTCCACGTGACGGCAGGCGAAGCACAACTCGCGGACAACAAAAAAAAAAGTGTGATCATCAATATGCAACGCCGCATCCACATAACGTCTTTCAGGGACAACACTGGAAAAGATGAATGACAACCGGTAAGACGTGCCAACTGGGTAGGACATCATACTTGACGCGCCAATGGTGCAACTTGGGTTGCTCATCAATATATATCACCGCGCTTTTTTTCTTTTTTGGTTTTTGCATCAGGCGAGAGAGTAGCTTCGGATTCAGACAGTCTTTCAATGGAACGGGCAGTGGAGGGTTCCCGACGTTAACAACTAACGTCAACCTCAAGGAACCACGGCCGATCAAGGACAAGACGTACATGCGAAATTTGATCAACAACCTTGTCAACTTCTTGACCGAAACTGGATACCCGCATCCGATCACGACAAAGAATCTGTTGCAGCCAACAAACAAGGACTTTCAGGACACATTCAAGTTTTTGTATTCCAAAATGGAGCCCGGTTACGACTTTCAGAAAAAGTTTGAGGACGAGGTACCGGTTCTCCTGAAGTCAATGAGGTAGGGCGCACTGGATTGAACGATCTTGTCCAGGGACATTGAATGCGCTCTTGGACTCTGAAAAATTACCAGGGATCATGGAACGACGCCTGACAGTCTATTTTGGTTTTGGATAGATACCCTGCCGCAGACACTATCTCCAAGACATCATTATACACTGTTGGAACACCCCATTCATGGCCGAATATGCTGGCATTGCTCGGATGGATGATGGAATCCATTCTCGTAAGTGCCATAATTCGTTCATGGACACGGAGAGCTGTCTTAAAGTGGTATAACAAATGTACTAACAGCACCCTCCCTTATGATCATACTCTAGGCACTGGATAGCTACAAAGAGATCATGGATATGCCGCAGTACAATAGCAGGCATGGCCGAGACCTGGACCCGAAACTGGACATGACTTTGGTCAGCGCGGACGATGCACTCTATTACTACCTCATAAAGACATACAGGGTCTGGATGGTGACAGGCAATCTGCAGGATCTAGACCTTGAGGCACAGTTGGCAGCGAGTTTCCAGATAAGAGGAGAGTTTGCGGAGGATGAAGCAAAGAGGCAAGCAGAAATCAATGATGCCCTCCGGCAGGAACTCGAAGTTGCACAAGCCGAAGTGGTAAATCCACGCCTTTTATCTTTGGACATATATTTGCGTAAGGTATACATCGCCAGCCTAACAGAATTTCGTCCTCTTTGATACTTATTAGTCACCACTGATTGCTCTGGAGAGGGAACAGCAGGTTCTTTTGAGTGACATTGAGCGGTTCAAGAAGGCCATTGACCACGCAGAGCCGAGGATCGAGGAAATTCGAAGGGCAAACGAAGACACGAGGAGAACGATATCCAGCAGGCAAATAAAGCTTGGAGATCTTGCCAACGCAAAAGCCGAACTGCAGGAGATTGTGAGGACACAAACGACAACGCGGGCTGGCCTGGACAACAAGTTGGAGGAGCGCAACCGACTGAGACGTAGAGAGGACAGTTTGAATCAGCAGCTGCAGGATCTCGAGAATGAACTCCGGACCCTCGACAAGCGACGTCAGGACGGCGAGATTGAGGCAGAGAGATTGGCTAAGGAGTACAACGAACTGGCGGTGAAGATTGGAATTGTTCCGCGGTCCGCAAAGCATGCAAACGGACAGGATTATGAGCTCAGGCTGGACTTGGACAATGTGACTTCTGGAAAATTGTACTCTGTCGACATCAAGGGCAAGACTGAGCGGACCATCAGCGCCCTGAGGACGCAACTTGTGAATTCTACGAACGAAACAAGTAACGAGCTCTTTGTTCTGAAGGAAGAACTGGACCGACTAAAGGATCAGGTCGAAGAATCTGTCGAGGAGCTGAACAGTAAGGAATACCAGCTTAATTTACAGGCTAAAAAGTATCAGGACGATAAGGAGGTAAGGCAATACGTGCGGGACAATTCGCGCTTTGTTACTGAACTTGTGAGAAGCATGGGACTGACGGCGTCTTTTGTGATCCTTTTCTATCTATAGGCGGCAAGGGCGGAGCTTATGAACCGCCAGGTATTCGCAGAGAGTCAGCAGGAGCAAATCCAGGCGATGATCCAGGAGACAATTCAAAACCAGGCCGAGGATGAGCGGATCGAACAGGAGAACATCTTTCTGGAGCGCCAGGCTGGCCAAAATCGAGAGACCTACACGCGAGGGGTCAAAACGATGCTGGGACAGCTGACTGCGGTCAAGCAACACGTGGAGCAGCAGGCGGGCTTGGTCCTGAACATGGCACACAAGGAGCTCGAGGATACGCAGCAGACACGGAACCACGTCAGCCAGGTGCTTGTAGTTGAGGCTTCAGGGGAGCGCAATGGTCTCGAGGGAGTGGAGCGCGACCTCCTCTTCTCTTCGGCATAGCATATTTTTACCTGAATAAAACTTTGTACTGTATAACAAAACGCTCTGCTCTTTTTGTTTAGTTTTCTATGCTCAACTCAATCGCGGCCAAGTTCCATTCACTCTGGTCTAGCCATGACTCTGGTAGGTGTTAATTCGCAAAACACTGGTAAGCTGGTAAGAATAAAAACGATCCGCGTCATTCTGACATTCTCTCTTCGTTTATGGAATCGCAGAGATCACTGAGGAAAACTGCGGATACGCGCCTTTCAAAGAGTTGCAGGATGCAAGGGCGCTATTGACAGCACTTTTGGATGAATCCGATAACCGGCAATCAAGAGCCTCGCTCTCAGCTGCCGAAGAACTCGTTCTTCAGATCGACGCACTCATGGACTTTGCGCACGGGATGCTGCATGCATACCCGTATCGAGAAGTGCCGGTATGCTGGCGAGAACTCTACACGGATTCAGGGATCCTCAAAGCGCTAGCTCTTGGGTTTATCGCCTCATCCACAGTATCGATCATGGAAGCGAAGCACAGAATACCTCTTAAACCGGCCATTCTGGCTTGCGATAAGGTTCTCGTTATGGCGGGAGCAGCCGGTCATGAAAGGAAGCAACTTGTGTACGAGTTAATCGACTTACTAGAAGGCATGGTGGAGGGTCTTGAGGAGACTACGCAGCCTCCAAAGAAGCGGGCAAGGACAGGAGCGCCCGCCAAACTGGGCGAGGAGGCACATCAAGGACCAGTACCTGAAATCCGATATCCGATTCCTCGATTGCATCTGCCTTCAATGGATGCGTTTCAGCAGCACGTCAACGGACCATCTGGAGCAACACCCATCATCATCACTGACTCTATTGATCATTGGCCTGCGAGGGAACGGTGGACAGATTTGGATACCATTTGTCAGACAGCAGGACCCGATCGGCTAGTTCCAATTGAGATCGGCAGCCAGTACACGGATGAGCAGTGGACTCAAAAGCTGGTGACTGTACGTGAGTTTATTGAGCAGTACATTGTTCGGGACCCATTGGAGGATGAGACAGGGAATCATGGACAAGACAAGAAAGATGGTTGCGATAAGAAGGAAAAGCCGATCGGATATCTGGCACAGCACGATCTGTTTGATCAGATCCCTCGGCTTCGCAGGGACATTGATATCCCAGATTACTGCCTGATCGGACCCAGGGATCAGGGGGGCTACGATCCACCAGACGATGTGCTGCTGAATGCATGGTTCGGTCCACGGGGTACGGTCTCGCCGATGCACACAGATCCGTACCATAACTTGCTGGCTCAGGTTGTGGGCAGGAAATATATCCGGTTATATGCGCCTAAGGAAACTTCTAAGCTGTACTGCTTTGGATCAGATTCTGAAGACGGCACTCAGGAGCAGGAGCAGGAGCAGGAGCAGGAGACTACGATGTTGGGCAACACAAGCCAGGTGGAGGTGGAGAATCCTGATCTGGAGCGACATCCGCTCTTTGCAGAGGCGAGATATGTGGAGACGATTCTTGAACCGGGTGAGGTGCTTTATATTCCGTTCAAGTGGTGGCACTACATCCGGTCGCTGTCGACAAGCTTCTCGGTCAGCTTTTGGTTCTGAAAATAAAAGAAGGCATCATTCCCAGGATTGCATTAGTCTATAGTAGACACAGTCGTATACACGGTGTGCGTGTGACCCGTTGTGAGCACTTGTCTATGGGCGAATGAGACTGGCGTCTTCCGCAGGAGAAGCGTGCCTGGCGCGGCCTCCTTGGAATACCGCCCTCATCTCTTCCATAACTCCTTCCTTCCTTCATCCCCCCTCTCCATTCAGCACTCATCCTCATCAGCTCACTCGTATTTTGCTCTCGTTTCTTATTTATTATTTATCGCTTCTTATTATTCGCTCGTTCCTTGTTTACCCTTCTCCAGTTCACTAAAAGAAAGTACTCGCAAATTATGGTTCGCTCAACCCTCTTGTCCGTGTCGGCCGCCTTGCTGCTCGCCGCCTCTGCTGCCGCTGGCGCAACGACCGCCTCCGCGACCCATTGGGAGTTTGTCGATGTAAATCAGCCCCGAACTTTGGAGTTCCAGGTTGGCTGCGAGAAGGAACTGCGCGGCATCTACGAGGATCTGTCTATCTACGCCGTTCCAGAATCCTGCAGAGTCACTTCCAGTATGCTCCCTGCCGAGCACATCTACTCGCAACTGATCGTTCTCGAGCGACAGGAGCTTGAGGGTGACACTGCCCAGGATGTCCAGGACTGGAACAACGCTGTCCAGGACGCCGTTGCCGATTTTGCCATGCATCCTTACACCGACTTTGCAGACGGAAACTCTGGCGCCCAGCTCCCCTACGCCATCCCTCGTGGTCGTCGCAACTTCTGCCGCTTCGCCATTATTGATCTCCCAGAGAGTCATCCCAAGTACCGCGTCCTGGTGGGCTCCAATTGCGCCGTAAATGAGACCCCGTACCTCATGGACATCCTACCATCCAACACGGAGATTCTGCCTGTCAGGACCCAAGGCTTTGTTGCGCCATTGGCGAGACTTCCAGCGGATCACCCCATTGTGGTCAAGTCCAAGAATCTGAAACATCGCAAGGCGCTTCAGTCGCTTGTTGACCAGGTCGACGTCAAGACCCTTGAGAAGGACGTAACCTGGTTGTCAGGTGAGGCTCCCGGTAGTCCCTTTATCACCCGTAGCTCTACCTCCAAGCAGAGCCATGAGGTGGCTGCGTGGCTCAAGTCGCAATTCGAGAGCTATGGCTGCCACACCGTTGAGCTGATGCTGTACCAATCTCGCTTTGGGCCCAATGTTATCTGGTAAGTGAAGTGGACCTGTTGCTTGTCATCTTTTTCTTTGATGCATTTGTTTTGGTTCTGCAACAGGGGGCCAGAAAAGGAAGGGATTGTAATGAACCTTTTTTATCATCCATGTTGCTATCCCTCTGTAGCACCTTCAAGGGAACTGAGCACCCCGACGAGCATGTCATTATTGGAGCACATCACGACAGTCGTGGCTCTTTCTTGAATCCCAGGGCTCCTGGAGCAGATGACGATGGCTCGGGTTCGAGTATGCTGCTTCAGGTGGCGCGCATTATCAAGGCCAACAACGTCTCGTTCGGCCGTACCTTTGTTATTGCCGCATTCTCAGGAGAAGGTTAGTGCATGTCGTAGACTCTCTCCTTTTATCACTTCCGCAAATACGCCACTCTGTCTTTTTCAATGCATACATGGTTAACGCTGGAATCTTTTGGGTGTTTATGCAGAACAAGGATTGTTTGGCTCTGCTGCTTTGGCCAAGAAGCTGAAGGAGGCAAGAACAACGATCACGATGATGATCCAGGGAGTAAGTCCGGCGTTGTTATTTTCGAAAGCAACAGTCGGCTGTTTGCAACAGATGGGTTACACATTTGCAGATCAACTGAATGCTTTATTGTTTAAAAAAAAAAAAATAGGACATGTTGGCGTACAGAAAGCCGGGTGAGCCTATCCAGGTCGCATTCCCTGCCCGCTACCACACTCCCGAGCTCAGCTCGCTGTTGCGCAACGTGACGGAGCTGTATGTGCCCGATGCAGTGGTTGGCACAACCGGCGCATGCTGCTCTGACCACCAGGTAGGGCCACTATGTTTTTTTTTACGTTTCTGTGTTACCAAACAATAATGTCCCTGGGATGCAAGCGATGCATCAATGTAGATGTCTGAACTGTGATTTTTTTTTTTGTGGGTCTCTACGCGTAGTCTTTCTGGGAGAATGGCTTCCCGGCAACGGCGTTCTTTGAGAGAAACGGACCGATTGCGGACCCTAAATACCACAACTCGGGCGATCTGGTCTACAGGGAGGGCTATGACTTTGGGCAATTGAGTGCGTCGACCAAGGCCATGCTCGCATCCGTCTTTGAGGTCGCCGATGCTAAGGTGAACGCACCGGATGCGTAAAGGAAGAAAATAATACATTCGCATATGTATTAAAATCTCTGGTCTTGACTCGTGTAAATAAAATAAAAGCGATAGTGGGTGCATGCAGCAGCAATGGTGCATACCCTCCCATCCATTGACAAACGGATATGTATTGGCGATGGAATAGACGCATGCTGCTGGCTATTTTGGTGAATGTTGCAATGATGTCTGTAGATGGATAGCAAACAGGCAAGAGGAATGGTTATCAGCCAAAAGGACCTTTCCGTCCCATGGAGACATGAACAGAAGATGTGTGTGTAAATGCTTCCTCCGCTCATCCTTTCCTCCTCCCCCCGCATCCCGATTCAGACCTTCCTCCATTCCCCTCCCCATTTCATCCCCGTCCGTGATCCCATTCGTTCTCTTCATCCCCATTTCTGAGGACAAACGAAGCAAGAAGGAACTCTATGGCTGCCACCCGGGAAGCTTCAACGCCCTCTAAAGCGGCTGCAAAACAGCCTGCTACCACCGCGGTCGGTGCACCGAACAAATCCAAGCCTGTTCCTGGCGCCCCCAAAGCACCAGCCGCCAATAGTGCGACCGCCAGGACAACGACCTCCATACGCACAACACCAGCCACGGCCTCAACTGCAAAACCACCAGCAGCGAAATCTACTGCTGCTAAACCTACAACGCCAGCAACATTGACAGCCAAAGCGCCAGTGACCAAGCCGGCGGCAAAAGCACCCTCGACCCCAGCAACAACAGCGAAAGCGCCGATCAAAAGCACTAACCCAACGTCGACGACGGTCACCAAGACTGCCGCCAAACCCACCGCCTCGGTCAGTGCGACAGCAAAGCCTAATGGTACCACAGCAAAGCCCGTTTCCCCGAGTCGAACCACAACTGTCGCATCAAATGCTAAGCCGGCAGTAGGAGCAGGAGCAAAGAAGCCGTTGACATCGAATGCGGCATCGTCGTCTGCTCCCTCCAAAACTCCTGCCTCGACTACCGCTAACGCCGCTGCCTCGCGCAGGGTCCCAGCGACAGCGACTGCACGGACGACCACCTCCATCAGAGTCCCACCAGGCTCTGCAGGGCAGGCCACGAAGCCGCCTGCAGTGGGAGGACGTCCGCCCGTCAACATGACTCCGACCACCATCCGCTCACCGGCGCGTACACCATCGACTGTGACAACGCCTGCTGCACAAGTGAAGAAGACGGCATCGACTTCTGCTTCTAGACCAGGAACTGCGACTCCCACAGCAACGCGAACCAGAAATTCAGCTGTGGCCCCCACCACGCCTTTAGCCAAGAGAGCGAGCATGAGCAGCAACGCTAGCACTGCCCAGAGCGCGTCTTCAACAAGCTCAAGTGCAAGGCCTATTAGAACAACAACCGCTCCGGTAGCACCCTCAAGTCTTATGGAATTGAAGAAGGCCATTGCCAGTGTACAGGCGAAGGTAAAAAGAGAGCAGTAATTGCTCAGATATGCACGTTAGATTTCATAATATGCCCTATTCTCACACTTTTCTCTATGCTTGTCTAGCTTGAGGAAACCTCTGGGCGCCTTCAGGCCAAAGATGATGAATTGGTATCGCTTCGAAGACTTTTGGAAATCGACACTTTTGCAGATTCTGCTTCAAGCGATGGTGGGGAGACCCTCGTACCCGAAATTGACCTGTCAAAGTTGGCAGCCCAGGTATCGTCTCAGTTTCAACGAGCATACACATCTCTTGTTTTCATTTTATTCAACAAATGTCATTTTGATTAATTCAGATGTGTATCATTTTATTGCTACTCATTTTATTCTTAGGATAAGGATGTAGTCGTGTCTGCCATTGCTGCCAAGGAAAAGGAGGTGGCAAGAAAGAAACACCAGGTCAGGACTTTAAGGGGTCGAACTGAGGTGAGTGGTTTATGCATGTCTGTGCTATTCATGCGCAAAAAAGAGAACCTGAAATCTTTGGCAGTAAACTGACCTTATGCCCTTTATCATCTTGTATAATAATGAATCCTGCAGCGCATGCGTTTTGAACACGAGCTGAAAGCCCAGGAATTGATCAAGAAGGGCGCTGAAAACAAAGCGGCGAATGATGCCGAGCTCGCATCTCTTCAGCAGCAACTCGTCGCCGCTGTTGAGAAACATAACGATGTGATCGTTCTCCGTGAGAAGCTAGAAGAGACCAAGGCCTTGCATGCTACGACTATTGAAGAGCTCAACAGGATTCATGATGATAAGTTGCAGAGTTTGGAATCGGAACTGCAAATGGCGAAGCAGCAACGGCTCAGAGGCTCGAATTTGAGTGGCCATGTCCAAGATTTGGAGGAGATCATGGAGACTCACGAACAGGAACTGACGAGGTTGCTGAAAGAGCACCAGCAAGAGATTGATGCAGTCAATGCTGATTTCGACAATCAAAAGAAGCAGGAGGTGGAAGAATACGAGGTATGGACTCGTGATATTCTCAAAAATGGCTATGGAGTGTTCGCGTCAACTGACAATCATTGCTATTATTATTTCCGCACAACCTAGACGGAAGTGAAAGAGCGTCTCGATTCAGAGTTAGAGCAAATCAAGGCCTCCCAAGCGTCTCTTCTCAACGACCGCCTCGGTACCGAATCCAACATGTCTGAAGTCTTGCAGGAAAGGCATGACCGAGCCTGGGAGGATCTGAAGGTCAAGACCGCGAAGGAGCATGCGCATTACCTGAGCGCGGTCCAGAATAAGCACCAGAGTGAACTCTCACGATTGGAGGTTAAGCATGCTGCAAGCACCACCGAACTCGAGAAGAAGGTCGCCAAGCTTCAGCAGAAGTACGATACCGACATGATGTCCATCCGTTCTAAAGCGGACACGAGTGTTGAGGAGCTCAAGAACAAACATGAGAACGAAATCAAGGCGTGTGCTGAAAAGCACGCAGCAGAGCTGGTTGCAATGGAGTTATCCACCAAGGTTCGTATCTCGTTTAATAATCGTTGGAATCAAGTTCTCTAGTACATTTGATGAACCAAGAAGGCTAACGCGATGTCTCTGCAAATAATATAGGACAATATGCAGTCAGAATTAGATGCGGTTCAAAAGAACTTTGCTTCGTTCGTTGCAGATATCCAGGGTACTCAGGATAACGCCATGAGGAGTCTGGAGAATGGATACGAGACCCGGATCGCAGAGCTGATTGTCGGGCATGAGAACCGAGTCCGTGAACTGGAGAACGAGGCCAATGAGCAGGTTCAGCAGGAGCTTGAGAGGGTCGAAATGGAGTTTGAGATTGATCGCGAGCGTCTTGCAGAGGAGCAGGCAAAGAAGATTGCGGAGCTGAAGGCGGCACATGAGGTTACCTTGGAACAGTTGGAGGATCAGCTCACCAAGGCAGAGGACCGTGCCAAGGAGTTGATTGCGACGATTAAGCGGACGAGACAGACGCATGAGATGGAGATGAGTGAAGTCAAAGCTGACCTGGAGGCACAGCTGAGTGCTGTTGAGATCTCGATCGAAGCACTGGTTATTTCTAAACAGCAGGACGATAAGGGTAGAGCAGAGGTAATTATCTGTTCTTGTTTATGTTTTCGAATTCTGAAGAGGATATCGACGTATTCGTTGCTAACTTCACTATACGGTCCTTGGATAGACATTGGAGGCTGGACATGCTACGGTCATCAGCGCCAAGAAATCGGTGCATGAGATGAACTTGAACGAGGCACTCACCATGAAAGAAACGGCGTGGAGAACCAAGACCGAGCCTTTGCTTAGGGAAATCGAGATTATGCGTGAGCGACTTCAAGATACCCAATCGGAGCGCGATAAGGCCCAGTCCGCCATGAAGGCCATGGAAATCCGCCTAAAAGAGGTTTGTCATTTACTGAGAGCTGATCGATGTTCACGATGGCTTTAAACACCAGTAAGGCGTCTCCACTAACACAAAAAACACACTCAATGAAATATCGTAGGAGTATGGAGCGGCCTTGGAAGGATTGAACAGGGACCACAGTTCACGGGTAGAGCAGCGTCAACAAGCAGCACACGCGCGCGCGGATAGGCTGATGAAGCCGCACTCAGACAATGCAGACGTACACGAAAGCAAGCTGGCGGATCTGTTGACCTCGCATCACCAGAAACTGCAGACCATGAACGACCAGCACCAGGCGGTGTTGAAAGTCCAGGAACAGACGAACCAGGGTCGTGTCAAGGCTCTACAGCAATCTATTGAGGCGTTGAGCATCAAGGCTGGTGGGTCTGAAACAATGGTGTCCTTGCAGAAACTCGCGGAACTCAAGGTAATGAGAGACAAAGCATGCTGAATGATGCACTCGGAAGTCGTTATGAATCCTGGTATTAACAAGCGTCTCTTGGCTTCTTTTCCTTAGAAACAAAACGAGCTTTTAAAGGGCGAGAATCAACAGCTGGAGAGCATGGTGAAGCAGCTGCAGGGCTCGATGACCACAATCGCGTAACGACATAACCAGACCAAATATACCAGGCGAGCCAAGTGCGCGGCCATAGTTAATAGATACATCTCGGTAAATAATTATATGAAGTTACTATTTGTCGAACGAGCCGTTTTCTATATGATATGGCACGCTTCGGTATCTGTCGGCCGGTGCTTGTCGATCGGTATGTCACTACAAGGCTGCAGCACATGTAGCGCCGTAACTCCGATCTTTACATGTCAGATAACCTTCAGCACTGCTTATAGCATGGCTAATAAACCCTGTTTATCTCTCACTCCATTGGCGCGCTTGTTCCTATCGCTAGACGCGTCTTTTTCTGTGCTTTTGTCAAGGATTATTATTGTTCTACTGCTACCTGTCATCTGTCGTCGCCCTCCTTCATAGCGCACCCTTACTCTCCTATTTCGGTTCCCACCCGATGCAGGGCCAAAGCAGCCAATCCAATGCTGATCTGTGCCGTGGGCTTTTATTCGAACAGAGCTTTGCACTACGACATTTATCTACTGTTTGCCTTGGCAAGCCTGAGCTTGAAGTACCTCGTGGTCATCGCCCCCTATAATACCGTCACTACAACTACCTCGAACACCTGTACTAGAGAATATGTCGGACCCAATAACGACTTCACGCCTCTGTAAATCTATTCAACTCTCTATGAGCTGACTGTATTCTAGACCCAGTTCTTGCGGTAGTCAAAGAGTCTTGAAAGACACGAATGTGTCTTGGATCTTGTGCCTGTCTCGGGGTGGTTACTGCGCCTGCCTTGGATGCTGAGTCTGTTGTGGGTGCGAAGTCTACTTTGGCTCCTTGCACCTCTCTTGTACCCAGAGCTATTGTTCCTCAAGTCATCAATGACTCATGAATAGGCCCTCTCAAGCTTGACTACGGCCAGAAGGGTTGCAACCATTCTGACATCAGAACTAACAGTAAGACAGAGGACGAATCCAAGGCTTTGCAAGAAAAGTAGGGATGTGCTATGAAGGGAGACGACGACAGATGACAGGTAGCAGTAGAACAATAATAATCCTTGACAAAAGCACAGAAAAAGACGCGTCTAGCGATAGGAACAAGCGCGCCAATGGAGTGAGAGATAAACAGGGTTTATTAGTCATAGTGCTATTAAATTGAAATCAACGCGTCCAAGGTTACGTACGATTTTGCTGTCCATGACACGATGTGCACGTTCCTTAAGACTTGGAAATCTCCGCCGCATCTGCTGTGAGCTTCAACGCTTAAATACTAGGCTCCCCTGCAAGGAAAAGAAGAAGCCGACATCGAGGGTTCAAATAAGTAACGCCGCCATGAACACTTTGATGGCCTTTATTCATAGCTATAACAGAGCGATAGCTAGCGTAGATAGATCCTCAGTTGTATTTCTCGCTTAGCCACTGCGGCAAACTCTCTTTCTCGCTCACTCGTCCTCCCACTGCTATCTAAGAGTCCTACGGCGATATGACCGCCGCCTCTGTCATATATATTCGATCACCCATTTCCCGCCCCCCTTCTTGTTACCGGGTTCCCATTTCTCCTCCAGGTCACCGCGTACCCAACGGCAGTCAAGTCTCACGTTTAACCACTTTAATATGGTAGCGACATGCATCTCCCATGGGATTGTAATCCCGCATTCCCTTGCCAGCACCTCACTCCGATACATCACCGCGAAACATGCCTTCAGGTACTCCTTAAGCCTCCCCATGTCCTCAAAGAAGTTCCCAAACTCCTCGTCTTCATGTGTATACCAATAACCCTCCAGCCCCCTACGACCTTCATCGCCAAGCGGGTCCAAAAACCGACAGTGGAAGGCTTCCTCTACGCTGTGAAAGCGATGGCGCGATAACTTATTCATAATGTCCCTGTAACACGACAGACCCTTGTATTTTCGTCCTTGGCAGTACTCTGGGAATTCGGCGAGAATGTTGATGAATACGTAGGCATGAAGGGCATACTCGGGTAGTACATTCCATCCAGGATTTCTACAATGCTCTGGAGGATATGGACGATAGAGGGTCGCCAGGGGTATGGACGGGTGACAGGCAAGCGTGAGGACGACCGACATTTGATTCTCGATGAGCAAAGCTGAGACCGCGCTCGCGAGGCCCAGGTCTGTTCCGCGGCCGATCCAGTACTCGACTTTTTGATTGTTCTTGTTCAGGCAGTCGTTTTGACTATGGGAATTATATTTCTTTTGGAATGTTTGGATATCCTCATCTGTGAACAGGTCTCCAGTCTTTTCTACTAGGAGTGTTGGTGGATATTTCTGACGCTCCGTCGTGGCGAACTCGTGGATGGTCTTTATGAGGACATGGGAAAAGTGGGTGAATATCCTCGCTTGGTCCGGCCGTTCGCGAGGATAGAAGTTGAGGGGTTTGTTGGTATAACGTGGATCGGAGCGTGGAGCAATGAGGAAGTGGGTAGCGAGGGTTTTCCAGGGGATGTTGTGGTCTTGGTGCATTATTGTTGGAAGGGAAGTGGGAGGAATTATGGGATTGCAGTGGGATGCCGCAGAACCGCGGTCGTTTTAAATTTCATCTACTGCGGCAATTCCATTTTTTTTTTTAGGAGAGTCATCAATTCTTCAGGACGTGAAGTAAAAGAAATTGTTTATAGTCAAACAAATACGTAGAGCAACGGGCTTAATCTCAGCAGATCGGAGCAACAAGGCTACTCAATAAAGGTCGTCTGCAATGGGCTTGTCTCTCCCACTCTTTGAAATCAATATCAACAGGCGTCTCATGAAGCCTTTCCGCGCCACAGGACGACAGGACCCAAGGGTCTATTTGTATTCAACTAAAAATCGGAAGAGGCGGTAATCGTCACGTTCTAGCATGGATCCTGACTTGGAGGTGTTCAGTCACAATTCAACTTCGGGCCATTGCCTGCTTATGCAATTCCAAACGCCAACCTATCCCACGACGGTCTAAACCCAGCTCGCGGTCCCTATTAGTGGGTGGAACAATCTAATGCCTGTTGGATTCTGCTTCGGTATGAGAGGAAGAGCGGACATAGGAAGGTCAAAAAGCAGCGTTGCTATGGATGCTTGGCTGCCACAAGCCAGCTATCCCTGCCGGCCCCCTCTGGTTTCATGCAGTATTGCACATGCAGATTTTTTTAATGTATTGAATTTAGCTGGTACGGCAACAACGAATGATAATGTGCCGTAAGTCAAACGGTTATACATGTACCTAGTGGATAGTGGACCAAACAAGATTACAGAGATTATTACAATTGCCGGCATCTGCAAAAATGATTGTCGATGTCTATGTTCTTTGGCAAATTTGCCAGAGTCTGGCTGGGAGGATTTGCCCATATCCAGAGCCTAACAAAAAGCGTTCGCAAAGACTTAAAAATGACAACCAATATCATTTTTCAACATTATACACTTTCTCTTTCTCGCACTTCCCAAGCTACCTTTTGCAAGACCATGGACACTCCTTCTGTCGTGCTTTTTCTGGAACCCTACAAGGTGCACCTCATGATCGACGCGCAATCCCGGTATCATTGTATCTGTGGAAGGTCGCTAAAGGACAAGTATGCTCTAAAGCGGTACTTCGAGGGCTCGAAGGACAAAGCAAGGCCGTTATGTGCGAATGCCAAGGAGCTTCTCGACAAGGAGCTCAAGGCAACTTATGAGTTTTCAGGGTCTCATTTCATGGCCAATAACACTGCCATGTCTGACCCAAGTCCTCAAAACGAAGTAAGGATTATCTCGTTTCTCTACTCAAGATATCATAGGCGAGGTAATGTGCGCAATTAACGATGTATTTCTCCATAGGCCACAAACCAAGGTGGCAGTATACCAAGCTAATCTCCACCCCTCTCTCCTCAGTTCCTCACCATATCCTCTATTTCATCGTCGGTGGATGTGCCACGCATCGTCCCTTCAAATCAAACCATTGAAATCGCATCCTCTGAGACTTCTTGTACACCAAGCAGGAGAACTCCAGTTTCAGATCAAGAGCCTCGAGAGAGCAGTTCGGCAGAGGAGTATCGGTCGCTCATGTCTATGTTAAGTCGTATAGACAACAATGTGTCCATGCTGCTGAACATGAATCAAGCGATTATGGGCACTTTGAGTAGACATGGTGCGATAATATCGGAACTCACGCCCTTACAAAGTTGGTCAATGAGTACAAGGTCTGTGACCTCTGTCGAGCTGAGAGAAGAAATTGGGGTGTCAATGGCTTCCGGACAAGCGCATTCCCCCTCACCAAGACGAGGATCATGCTCGCGTCAGCCTACGCCCCAGTGACCCGTAAAGAAGACACATTCTGGCAAAATAAAGAGCAGTAGTTATGGCTAGTTGGTAGTTGTATTGCACGTGCATGAAAAAGCTGGCGACTTTAGTTGGCATTTTGAGGTACCATTGACTGTAAATGCTTCTTTTCATCCCTTCATTGCTCCCCGCTTTGTCTGTTCTAGCTGCTATACTTTTTCTCTCTTTCTTTCTTTCTTTCTTTCTTTCTTTCTTTCTTTCTTTCCTTTTTTTTCTTATGCCTCACACGGGTCTGCACATTTCTTCACATCTGTTCACGCTTGTAAAACATCACTTTATTGATGAATAAATGACGCTAGTCCTTAATGTTTTGGCTCATAAGGCGTCCATGTGGTAGGCTCGCTTTCCTTGAGCGCCAAAGTTGAGCGCGCACTTTGATCACGGTAGTGGCATGGGCGGTAAGAGTTGCATCGGCGGACCTTGGGGCAGTAGCACTGGTATTTGGGATTGCGACGGAAACGGTGTCTGTAGCATTTGAGGTTTCAGCAGGGGTGACGACTGCCGACTCATTTGCGGCTGCCCTAGATGCAACGACTGCTGCTGCATTTGTAGGAATATCTGCTGCTGCCAATTCGTCTGCTGCTGTTGCTGTTGCTGCCACTGCTGTTACTCCTGCTGCTGCTGCTCCTCCTGCTGCTGCTGCTCCTCCTGCTGCTGCTGTCGCTGCTGATCTCGCCGATAACGCTGCATTTGCTGCTCCTGTCGTCAATGTTCGAGTGACGTCTGAGTAGTCGTATTGCCAAATATCAGGCTGGCATTCTTTGCGATATCGTGGAGCGCGTGTGTTATGGATATAATCTGGTGGCCGAGTCTTTATATTTGGCGTTTGACTGGTCGAGTCCCATTCGAATATGTACCTCTAGTGATGCCAGGGAGGTTTTTATGGAGCGAAACTCTTGCTGGATAGCTAGCGCATTAGCGGCTAGACTGTCAGACAGAGGTGATTTTGCCGTTCGCATGCTCTCCTGTAACTGCAAGCTGAATTCCTGGAACAACGTGGATGCGAAAACCGGCAAATTGGTGAAGACATTGTGTTGACCGTACAGACATAATGGATCGATCGTCTGTAATACACACCAGAGCAACTGCATCCCGCAGAGTAACCTTGCGCAAGTGAGCCAGATAAGCATGAATCGCATGGCGGGGAAATACGCAGTAAGACGGTCGATTCGGTGAGACTCTGGCCTGTTGAACTCTTCAGGATTATCCAGCATAATGTTGTCGATCCATCTAGCCCAATCGCTGTTTCTTGGAAACAGGTTCTCAATGAAGGGAAAGATCATCCTCTGGAGTCCGACTTTAGGGATGATGGTGTTGCGTTTCAGCCAAAACTCTTCGTTTGGAAGGGCAAACCCCACCATCCTATACGGAGCCTCCTTTGGGACTGAGCTCAAGTAATGTGTAACAAGACGACGATGATTCCAGTTGCCATGATGGGCAATATCCTTAATATCGGCCCCATTGGCATGCGCATGCTGTGCTCCAGCTTTCCGACCTCCGTGTGTGACCTTGTTCGACTTGTGATTGACCTTAACCATCAAGTTCTTCTGCGACCTATAGTGTCATAACCGATGATTAGGAAAAACTAATAACGAATCACGATGTGCTTCCTTCATGATCACCCAGTTTTGACTACCTGTAAAGCGTAGTGGCCGCCATCGGATTTGTCTTTGAGGAACCAAATATGAGATACATGACTTTCCATGCTTCTGCATAGAAGTTTGGTACGCAGCGCGGATCCTATTGGGCGTAAAATGAGCTGTTGCTATTAAAAAGCGTCAAGGTGTATATGCCACTTATTAAATGATATATAATACACATGACACATACTGTCCACAGCTCGAGCAAATAGAACGCGAGACAGCCCACAGGACATATTTCCACGTCCTTGTTGCGAACGCAAGACGAATATATCGTGTGGTCTTGATTCGTCTTCCCTTGAGTGATCGCAACTGCAATTTTTAGTGCGAACTGCCTGCCTTGCTCGCGGGTTGCATACTGGTGTGGATATATGTTGGACAACAAAGCCTCTCGCACACTCTAGCCGCGGGTAGTCATGAAGTGGTTCCATGCACTAGAAACACGACCACGGGCTCCGATGATTTTGAGGGCCCTGGCACCGCCGTTTTGATGCTTGTAGTTCCGGGTCCAAGATGACTATCAAGACCAACGAGGCACTCGTCAGGAGTATTCGCGAATGGCCAACACCGATCTCATTACGACAACTTCAGCAATTCCTTGGACTTTCTCAATACTACCACCAATTTATCCACCATTTTGCGAACGTAGCTCAACCACTCTTCAACCTCACACGAAAAGATACACCTTTTACATGGACACCAAGTCACCAACAAGCGATCCAAACAATTAAAGATCGCATCTGCTCTGCATCTGTCCTACAAATCTTCGATCCCACACTACCGATGGCGGTGGAAACCGATGCTTCTGGGTATGCGGTTGAAGCAGTTCTACTACAGACGGACCATGACGGCGTCACCAGACCTGTTGCTTTTACCTCACACCAGATGACTGAAGCTGAGCGGAATTACCCCACGCACGAGCAGGAGCTACCCGCGGTCGTTAACGCATTACAGCATTGGCGCTGCTACTTGGACGGCACTCGTTTTGTGGTTTACACTGATCATGCTACCCTCCAACACTTCCCAATTCAACCTAAATTGACTAGGCGCCAAGCCCATTGGATGGAACTCCTACAAGAATACGAATTCGAGTTCCGCTACCGACCTGAAAAGGACAATATTGTGCCAGACGCCCTGTCTCGTCGGCCAGATTATCACATCAACAGCCTCCAAATTGACGTCGACCCAGAAATCAGGAAATCCATTATCGACGGCTACCAGACGGACAAATGACTGCAGCCAACCTACAATCGCTGTACCAACGGTGACCAGGATCAACGATATTTTATCCGCGACGATTTTCTATGGATCCGCCAAGGGGACAAAGAGGCTACCACAGTGCCACGGACAGCCGGAATAATATCCACTTTGTTGCATGACTATCACGGTTCAACCATAGTAGGTCATCTCGGCTTCGATAAGACGTATGCCAGTTTACGCAAAACATTCTACTGGCTACAAATATCAAAGGATACCAGACAGTACATCAATTCTTGTCCGGATTGTCAACGCAACAAAAGACCACTAAAGCCCAGCTGGACTTCTGCAGCCCCTCGATATTCCTACCGAGCGGTGGTCTACGGTCACGATGGACTTCATTACACAACTGTCAAAAACAAATACGGGTTTCGACGCTATCACTGTCTTCGTGGATAAGTTCACCAAACAGGCTTACTTTTGCCCAAGTCATACCGTGGACTCAGCCAGTGATGTCGCCATGCTATTCTTCAACAACATCTTCAAGTTACATGGCCTGCCTCGCGTCATAGTCTCGGACAGGGACTCCCGATTTACAAGCCGCTTTTTGAAATCCTTGCACGACGCCATGGGAACACGACTCGCTATGTCTACAGCCTTCCATCCGCAAACCGATGGCCAGACCGAACAAGCAAATCGCACTCTGGAAGAAATACTAAGAGCCTATGTCGGATACAGACAGGACGATTGGGACCAGTACTTACCGGCACTCGAGTTTGCATTCAACAACACCAAGAATGCCTCCACAGGATTTTCACCATTTTTCCTCAACACCGGATCGGAACCTCTGGTGCTCTCGGCACTTCTCACACCGCCTAAAATCGACTTTCCGTCGGTCAATGCATTTCTGGAATACCAGTCCCAGGCGTTGGCAATGGCCCACGACGCATTTCTCAATGCTCAGTTAAACCAGGAAAAGCACGCGAACAAACATCGACGACACGTTGATTACCATGTTGGCGATGAGGTTTTTCTTGATTTGGCACACATTTCTTTGGAGCAACAACGACTGCGACCAGCAAGGAAGCTACAGCCCCAATTTACCGGCTCTTTTAAAATTGTGGAACAAATCTCGCCGGCTGCCTTCCGACTGCAACTACCAGAGACAATGCGTATACATCCTGTTTTTCACATTTTTCTATTGAAGCTGGTCATCCAGTCCCCTGCTGAGTTCGGCGACAGAAATCCGCCACGACCCCCACCTGTCATAGTTGAGGAGGAACCCGAGTATGAAGTGGAAAAGATACTCAATGGAGGACAACTCATGGGAACCAATTACGAATTGCAAAAACGCCCCAGAGCTGGTAGCAGACTTTTGGAAGAAGCGGGGAGAAATGCAACAATAGTCATATAATATATATATCCGTGCGCTGCAAATATTATTAAAAGTAGTTCATTTCTCCACTCCCTCTCGTCTTGCTACAGACAGCGGCCTTTGGAATGGGGATTGAGAAATCAAATGTGCGGTTCGTCATCCACTACTCTCTTCCTCAGTCAGTTGAGGGTTACTATCAAGAGACAGGCCGGGCTGGACGTGATGATAACAGTGCACATTGCCTGCTGTTTTACTCGCCTCTGGACAGAACCCCGATTGAGTATATGATCAGAATTGGTGCAGGCGATGCCTGTCAGATGCGGATACAGCGCGACAACCTTCAACACATGGTCAGATACTGTGAGAGCCATGAGGACTGCCGTCGCGTCCAGCTACTGAGCTATTTCAATGAAACCTTTTCATCTGTTGATTGCGCCAACAGTTGCGACAACTGCGGTTGAGGTCAAGATCCAGCACGCGAAGAAACATCCCATCATCTTATCAATGAGCCAAAGTCCTCCAACATCTCCGGCAACTCCAGCTCCCTCAGCATGAAGCGATATCCCCTTGAGACCATACCCAGCATCGACAGTACGGAGAGTCATGTCGGTTACACACGGCCACGCGGGGATGGCACACAGCCAAACGAGGACATTGCCATCAAGAGCAGTAACGGCCTGTTTAGTGATAGCTGGTAATGTGATCAACCGCGCAACAAAATTCGATTTTCTTTTGAAAGATGTGTGTTATCCTACGTCCATTCTTTCACTCATTCGTTTTTATTGGAAACGTAGGATGTTTAATCCAGAGGCCTACAAAACCAAAACGATCGTCAGAGCACATCTGGAAAAATGGACCACTCTCCTGGAGACAATCAGAGAACCTTCCTCTCTCGAAGGAGGTATTCTGTCGGTCTTTCAATTAACTTCTAATTCTCTTCCGGGACATTGTTCACGAGGATTGGGTCGATACAACCGCCTTAAAGAATGAACATTGGACGCTGCTGTCGGAGGACGCCTTTGCCTCAGTTTCCCCAGTAAGAGCGGATGACAACACCTCAATCAGCTGTGATTTCTGCCGATGCGACGTATGGAACAGATATTTCCACTGCGAGGAATGCACCGACACAGGCAGCAGTTACAATATCTGGACCGTATGCTTTGCAAGGGGTCGCGGTTGCTCACACCGAGCAACTTCAATGACTTTCATGGAGCATGTTTCCATGCCGTCTTTGTGGAAGATGTATTCACGAGCAGTGGAGTCATGGAACGCAGCATGTGATCTTCTCAACTGCGACGCGTACAGTCCCATCGTCGATGAGTGGTCTAATGGGTAAGTATTTGTTGCTAGGCGCTCTTTCTTCAGGTTCCAAAGTAACCAAACACTCATCAGTATACACTTCCCACCTTTAGAATCGTACCCATTGTAAAAGCTTTGTATGGAAGAGCTTGACAAGGTGAGTCTAAAGACAAGAGGATACTGGAGACCGGGAACTTTATGACAGGAACTAGGACTAGACAAGGCTGACCAACCAGCTAGACTAGGCGCGTCCTTTTACAGTTGTCTACAGCTGAGTATTACTAAGCTGGGTATTACTAATAAAGAGAGTGTTCTGGATGGATCTGGCTGTAGGTAGGTATCCACCTAGGATAACGGGACTCCTAAGCTTTTCTAGAGGAGCCTGAAGCCCTCTGATCACGTACATGTGACCATCGTCCAATCACAGAGATACAAATCTCTGACACCCATTCCTGGAAGGAGCTACTCCTTCACGTCCTTGGCATATGTGAGGCAGTTGCGATTACGGACGGCGCTAAGCAAGGTAACTCTGGTTTATTTATCTATGAGTTGAAGTCGCATTTGCATCGCGGATGCTACAGCTAATTATTTCCACACCAGTCATCCTGCCATCAGTGCAATCAATCCCGTGCAAAGAGGCCGAACACAGTGGTTTTCAAGTGCTGTAATCTTCGCCCGATCAACTGGCTGTCGAGACCAGCGAAAAAGGGCGTCAAACGTTGCCATTACAAGTTCTGTGGACGATGTCTTGAGCGTTCGCATGGAATGACCTGGGTTGATATGATGATGAATCCCCAGAGTTCTGAATCCTGCCCGTCATGCTTAGGCGTCCGTGTTTGCTTGGAATGCAGCAAAAATAGGCCAGAGATTAATCAATACAGGCCTGCCAACACTCTCCGTCGTAGAAACGATGGGCAGCCGCTGATCTACAATGATCCCTCCGACGACCATCGTAACAAAGGAGGCATCGCTGATAGTATGGGCCGCTCTTTTGCGAAATCGAGCCGTAAACGCGATCGGGAACAACAATAAACTCTGGTCCCGAATCTGGGCTCTTTCAACCAGACTAAGCCCCTTCGGTCTCTACATCTTCACTATACTGGATCACGCCTGGCAGAAACTTATGGCAATAGCCCCGACCTATTGCGAGATATCCAACTCCAGTTCCAGTGCTGTGGATTCCACGACGTCTTGGACCGCGCCATCCCCAAGGATTATCCTTCAATCTGCCATGACTCTCCGGACTTTGGATTCTCAAAGTCTTGTGAAGACAGATTGACTGTGAGACTCACGAACAAAAAAAAGTCAGCTTGAGTATCATGATCGCGTCGGTCGTATTGACAGCGCTGATCCTCGATTTGACTTACACCCTGTTTGTGATGCGGCCCTCAGACGATAAGCTTGAGCACCTCTTCCGCCAAGAGCAACATGCTTAGTGAACACTACCAGAACAACTACTGGGGACGGCCGTGCAACAGCTGGAGGTTGTGGTGATAGTAATTTGGGAGGTGCAATTGGCGGCGTCAGCAGTGTGCGAGGCCGTGTGGGCGACAGGGAAGAAGAACGACGATTCATCTGGCTTTCACGTAGACGGGCCTATGGATCGACCTCTCGCTGACCTCTGTGCCCCTCCTTTGCATTCTGGCATTCTGTACTCTCCTTTTGCAGCAAGTCCTTTGTAACATTAAAGAATGCTGACGATGAAAGCTGCAAGGAACACTCACCTGACCTTCTTGCGTTGATGATGGCCACTAGTCATGGTGCGTGCTGACTCATTTAAACTCTTCCCTGGTATCATCTGAGTCAGAATAGGAAGCCCTGGAAACACTGGAGTTGTCGTACTCTTTGGTCTGTGTCGGGCCAGACTTTGAAATTAGCACGCCTTTATAAATACGCCGCCCCATCTACTACAGACACTTGGATGGAGCGTGGTGGATGAAGTGGGAAGGAAGGAAGCTGAAGATCCAACAATCTAGCGCGGCTCGGTACGTACGACACGCAGAAATAGTTCATTATTATTGTCCAAATACTGAGAACTACTTCCTTTCCTGCTTGTCGTGGCTATTAACAAGGCTATAGAAAATGCTATTGGGGTTGGCTAGCAGGGTGGCGGGCTTGTCGTATTCAGCAACTTTTCCTCGCTCAAGGACAAGGATGCGGTCGCTGTCCATGATTGTATTAATGCGGTGAGCAATCGTCAGCACCGTGCACCCTTGGAACGACCTGCGGAGCGCTCGCTGGATGGCGTTGTCGGTCTCGATATCGATTGCAGCGGTTGCTTCGTCGAGACAAAGCACCTTGGTGTTCTTGTTGAGCATGGCGCGTGCCAGATTCATCAACTGTCGCTGGCCAAGCGACATGTTTTCGCCACCATTCTCAATCACCGTGTGGAGGCCCTCTGGCAAAGATGAGATATAGGGCTTGAGTGAGGCTGCCTCGAGAGCAGCCCAAAGATCCGCATCTTGATGTTGGTCAAATGGATCGAGGTTGACGCGGATCGTGCCGCCAAACAGGAAAGGATCTTGCGGGATGATAGTCAGCCGAGATCGCAGCTCATGCAAGCCCACGGTCGACGTGTCAACACCATCGATCAGGATCTTGCCCTCGGCAGCTTCAATAATGCGGAACAGGGCCATGGTCACAGATGACTTGCCCGCGCCAGTGCGGCCAACAACACCAACACGTTCGCCAGCGCGGACAGTCAAATCGACGTTACTGAGCACCAGATCTAGGCCCTCACGGTAGCGGGTTGAGAAGTTTTGGAACTCGAGCTTGCCCTGCTGTGGCCAGTTCTTGTCCGTCTTGGAGTCTGGGATCACATCGAGGGCCTCAGACGGAAGCTCACTGTATTCCTTGACGCGCTCGACAGAAACTATGGTGGTCTCAAGGTTGCAGACGCTGGTCATCACTGCCTGGACATTCGTCGTGAAATAACTGATCTCACTGAGGACAATAGCAAAGACACCTGCAATGGCCGAGTTGCGCAGGACGACAGCCATCAGAGCAATGAATGCCATCACAACGTCATTGAGGATCTCAAGCATGACCTGCAGCCAGCGCTGGGTCGTGTTGGTGAGATAGTACACTTGCTGCGACTGGTCGAGCAGCTTGGTTGCTCGCGTAGCAAATCGATCCGCGTCACCATATCCGCGGATAGTCACCAGGCCGTTGAGAGTCTCACCAAAGTGGGCATACATTGGCGAGCGAGCAGCCGAGTCGAGACGCTTGATCTCGCGGGACGAGACAAGGTAGTATGCTCCGAGGTAATAGTAGCAGGCGCAAAGAGGGACCATGAGTATCAAGAAGTATGAGGTTGCCGCAATGCAGAAACCAACCTGCATGAGGTTCACCATGAAATTGAGGAAGATGGTGAGCAGGGAAAACGGGATCGTCACATCGATGGTCGCGAAATCGTGAGCGAAGCGGTTGATGATCTTGCCAGACGATGTGGTTTCGAAGAAAGACATGGGCGAACGGATCAAAGGAGCGACCATGCTGGCGTGGAGAGACTTGGAAGCCTTTCGGGCGAGAACCAGAAAAAAGGTGACGATGGCCAATACCAGGGCGAATGCGGTTGCAAAGATCCATGCCAAGTAGGCCAAGATCCAGTACTGGTTGCTGTGAGAGGGAGTGACCTTGTAGTTCTCGTTACCCCAGATCTGAAGCCAGATCTGGGTGCCAACGCTGGTGCCCAAGTAGGCGAGGCAGACAAACACGAACAAGAAGAACACAGGGAGGCCCATCGAGTGGAAATAGTACTTGTACACAGACCAGTCGACCCGACCCTCGCTCTTGACCTCGGCGTCCACTTCGTTATGTTCCTCCAAGTCGAGATCCTCCTCCATCTTGGTTGACTTTTGTTTCCGGAATGTTGTTCGTTTAGTAAGCTCCACAGGTCGCTTTTGTCCTCCTTCGACGATCTCCGCAATAACCTCTTCGTCAGCGCCAGATGCCTGATCGTCTTCAGCTTCATCGTCGTACTCTTTGGAGACGACAATCTTGCTCTCAGCGATCATGCGGTGCAGGTCACCTTCAGTGTCTTGGATCAAGTCATCGTAGGATCCATCCTGCGAAATCCTGCCCTGCTTGACCACGATAATCTGGTTGACCTGCTTCAGGTGGATAGCTCCATTGGTGACGAGAATGCGCGTCTTGTGGGCGAGAATCTTGGTAATAGCTTCCTCAAAGATGTGGCGATCGACATGGGCATCGACAGCAGAGAGCGGATCGTCAAAGATGTACACATCGGCATTAGCATAGACTGCACGAGCAATCGAAATGCGCTGCTTCTGACCACCTGATAGATTGATGCCCTAATGTACAGAATTTCAACCACATACAAAGTGTCAGATATCGAGCTTTGAGTCGTGTGTGGTCGTCGCCCAAAGTTGTTTGCATCTCCTTGCCTTTTCACCAATCAGAGTTTTGTCGCCGTTGACGAGCATCTTGAGGTCAGGGACCAAGGCACAGGCTTTGACGACTTGAAGGTATCGCTCCTTTTTGTACTCGCGACCAAACAGAATGTTGTTGCGGACCGTGTCATTGAGGATCCAAGCAGACTGGGCAACATAGGCAAGCGAGCCATAGGCACGCACCGAGCCGCTGTACTTGTGCATCTCGCCAAGAAGAGCCCCAACCAACGACGATTTGCCCTCGCCAACGCGACCAATAACAGCAGTCAGAGATCCGCGTTTGATGATGAAAGAGATATTGCGCAGGACGGGACCGAGAGTGTCACGAGTAGCCTTGTCGCCCTTCTTGGACTCGTCAACCTTCTCATCGGATGCTGTGGACTCCATTGTAGAAGTCTCATGGCCACCACCAGCCGATTTCTCATCAAGAGTCATCTTCTCATCCTGTGTAGGATCAACTTTGGTAGCCAGGTTTGCGTTCTTTTTCGCCTCCTTGGCTTCTTTCTCGCGCTTCGCTTCCATTGCCTTGATCGCTTCGGGGCTGTACCAACCAAACGTGCCGTTCGTGACCTCGTATGCAATCTCGAACTTGCTGGCATCGGGATGGCGTTCGACATTGGCAGCGTTGATCTCCTCAGAATCAAAGAAGTCGCGTAAACGAACATACGACACATGGCCACTGATGATGCTGTTGATAGAACTTGTAATATTATTCACGGGAGTCCCCAACATGTTGAGCAAAGTAATGCAGGTGAATATCCTCTGAATATCCAAGGGAGCGTCAGGCGTGGCAACGGTGCTGTAGACTGTCAATGCGGCGAACGACGATAGTGGCACTGTGACGTTGAACAAGGCAACCCCGATGGTGATAATGATGTTGAACCAACGCAGGGCGTTGAGCTGCTTCAAACGGGCCTCCGAGACTTGGTGGACAAAATAACGCTCCCAGGCATACAGCTTGATCGACTTGATGTGATTGACCAACTCGTTGACGAGTTTCATACGCAGGTCATTCTTGGCTGCCATTTGTTTGTACGCCGTGCCAGTCTTGGAAGAGATGAAGCCGCTGAGAATCGCGATGCCAACGGTGACTCCAAGGCTGGCAAACATGGCATACTTTACTTGCTGATAGAGAAGAGCCAAGGCAATAGCGACTCCAATAATGCTGCTCCAGAGCAAGTGTATGATCATAAACAGCTTTAAGACGTTGTCGACATCGCTGCTCATGTGGTTGACAATCGATCCCATGCCCTCTTGCTTATTTGTCGAGCTCAAGCGCAGGGCTTTGCGGTAGATGAGGCTGTTGAACACGCCACGAGCGCGAATCGAGCACTGAAAGCAAACGTTTTGGTATTGGGCATTGAACAAGCCACCAAGCACACTTGACGTCAGTACACCAAGCATCAGCCCGTAGCCCTTCCACGCTGGTTCAGGCTCGAGACCCCTCTCCTTGGACGCTTGGGTGTAGCTGGCCATGAAGGCGATCAAGTTCGAAAAGAGGACAGGGCGGACGTATGTTGCAGCAGTGTACATCAGACAAGGGATCACGGCACTCATGTACGCCCAACCAACGGTGTACACAAGAACTGAGAACAATCGAGCCTTGTGAGGCTGGACGGTTATCGCCTTTCCAGGGGCTCCAGTCTTGTCGGCCAGCTGTTGAGCTTTTTGGCGAGCAATTGCCTCGTCGGCATCCATACGGGCCTGGGTGGACAGAAGAACAGGGTATGACAGCATCTTGGGGTGCAGGTTCCAAATGTCATCCATTCGGAGAGTCTTTTTTTTGCCCTTATTCAGAAGAGGAGCAACCCAGAAGAAAGTGAAGCGGGAGAAAAGATTGGAGTAAGGTTCTGGTGAAGGGTTCGCTTGTACCATCTTCTCGACATTGGGGCGGGTCAGTGAGTGACGGTTGGCCTTGGGGATGTTCTCAAGACCAAACACAATGAACGCTACAATGGTGAAGAGGAGCTTGAGCAAAGGCAGCGAGTCTGCAAGACCGTTGCTCGACTCCTCGATCCGCGAGCGGGTTGGGAAGATTGAGATCAAAGCCGTGAACAGCCAGTAGACAAGCAGCGTGCTCGAAGGGTTAGGCATGTTGAAGTGCTCAAAGTAGTGCAGGAGGAGTGCAGCTAGCTATCAGTGCGATACAATATGAAGCGTACATGAGCAACAACTTCCCTCTTGGGACGCATAAACATATAACGCAAACAATCAATGCACTTACAATCGAGACAATGTACAGCACAGAGTTGAGGATAGCAGACGAAGGGTAGCCCCTCTGAGCAATAATGGCAAGGAGCGCGATCTGCAGGGCAAGAGTCGTAGTGACGCCGGTGATCTTGACGAGAAACCACGGACTGGCCCTCACTCCCTCCAGACGGCCCTTACAGAGGAGCTTGAAAAGTCGAGGAGTTGTGCCAACCAGCAAAAGGACGCTCGGAAGGATAGTGAGAAGGCTGGCAGAGCCATGCTGTTCTTGGTTAGTAATAGCGGTAATATGATATGACGGCGACGGAAGCGACATATTTACTTCTCCGTGACTGTACCTGTCCTGAAAGCATGTTGTAAAATCCAAAGACCGTCTATTGGAAAGAGGGCCCCATTCCTCAGCGTCACAGAACGGCATTTCTGGCACCAGGGTTGAGGACGAAGATTAACTATGGTTTTAAGGATAGGCAGAGAGAAAGAGAGAGAGAGGAAGGAAGGAAGGAATAGAAAAGGAAGGACACGGGGAGGGAGGCCGGGGAGAAGGGGAGGGGGAACCTGGGCTTGGCATGCAGCGTAGAAGAGCACCAAATAAGGAGAAAGTATGCCATACGGACGGAGCGTGATACCGAAATTCGCCCAAGGTTTGCACCAGTCAACGCCGATTGGCCCCAAGCAGCATTCTTCTCATGAGCACGGGAGCAAGCCCAATCTTTTGGCGCACCTTTGTTCGATAGAACGCTTTGAACGATGTCCACAGCTTGAACTTCGGCAAAACTTTGCGCTCCGTCTTTTCCGCCTGCTCATGCATCCTTAGCGCAAACTCTCGCGGCATTTAAATTCAGCCCTGTGTAACATTTAGCCCTGTGTAACATTCAGCCCTGTGTAACATATTGCTCAAGTTGTCATTGGTGATATTGTTTAATCCATTTTGACTCCGTCATATCTTCCCAAAACTTTTAAAGAGCCGCTTTTGCTCGGAGGGACGACGGGTGCAATGGGCAGTAGAAGAGAGATGTGCGTGCTAGGCACCGGAGGAGGACCTCCAGCACTATATCGCTTTGTGCCCCGCTAAGCGCCATGCGTGGGTCTCCTTCCTATCCCATTACACCACGTGCAACACATGGTCAGACCAGGAACTGCTCGAGATTCTGTCTCTTCGATGCTCCAAAGGAATCCCCGACCCCGCAAAAGGGTCTTTGTCTCTCCCGTCTGGAACTCGTCGGCTGCCGCATCGCAGGTATCGCCAGATTCATTCGCATACTCTATCTCGAGCAAGCTTCCTTGCACCCAAGGACCCTCGCCCAGATCATGTCTTCCTTTGCGGACCGTATTCACCTTTTCAACCAAGTGAAGCTAGATAAAAAGGGCCAGGCAGTGGGTTCTTAGAGCCTTTCTCCCTCTTTTCTTTATTTGTGTTGAAAAGAGTGTTGGCACGCAACAGGTGGCGAGGTGAAGGTGGGAATGCACGCGGACGGGCATGAGGCGGGGGAAAGGAACAGGCGAGAGGACAGGGAAGGACGGAAGAAAGGGGAGGGCCTTCACGGCAATACACCCTCATCCATCCAAAGAGTGGCACCAATGTTCAATGGCGCGGGTTCTAGAAAGGCTCTATTCTTTACCACGCGCGCAACTTTGGTAGTGATTCAAGCAGGATAGACTTTCCTACGGAAACTTGCGAGCGAGCCTAAGGCACCATAACTTCAAGTGTTGAGATGCCCGGATGTCAAGAGTCCAGACAGAGCAGAAACCACTATGTGTACCTGTGCCACCCGTGCGACAAGGTTGGACAACTATCCTGAGGCAATACTTTTCTCTCACCTTTTCTTTTTCTTGGCTAGATGGTGACAGGTGTTCTTCTTCCAGCATCCCAATCTCACCATCCTAGTCACACATGATATCACCAACCTCATCTCCTCGCCTACTGCACCCTGAGAATCAACGTGTACCACTTTGCCGAATTCAATTTCCTAACGGCTGAAGCCAGCCGGAATCCATACCGAAAACAAATCTTGTTACGGCATTGACACCGAACGATAGTTACAATTTGCTACCTAAAAGTCGACACCTGCTCAATTTTCCCCCAATTGAGCCATGTATTCTTTAGGGTGTACTGTACCTACAGCACATTGCAGCTCACAACATAGAAGTTTTCGAAGCGAAAGTTTGGAAGTTTGAAGACGCCAAGCACGATGCTATTCAATTGGCTATGCCATCGGAATGCATGCTCTGCCTGCTGTAATAAAAAGCGAAAGGTCGGCTTCTTGACACCTCTACTTCTCGTTGCTATCCGAAGTTTCCGTACTCTTGATGGAAAACAAAATGACCAACTCCCCAAGCTCTTCGAAGGACAGGTAAGCCCCAGACAAACATTAAGACATTGCACGAGCCGCATTGGGAAATATGTAGATCCGACAGGATGTTGACAATACGCCCTGTCCCAATCAAACAGCCAAGCGAATAATTATGTTCCAGGTACAATCGCGAATCGCCTGCCTAACGCTCAGGAACTGGCAGAGGCATTATCTGTAAGTGGCAATGCACGGTGTGCAAAAAAAAGGGTTTTGGGAAGGGAGAGGGAAACTGCAGTGTAGAATGGAGAAACAAAAGCAGGACACTGACCCTCTGCTATCATCTTTGGAGTAGACTGTTGGTTTCATCTCAGGACTGACTAGCCATGAAAGGCTTCCAGACATTTCGGGTATGTCGGCGACGCAAACGGCAGCAGGCGTAAGAAGGTATACCACACTTGTACCAAATGCTCCCTTCATGGTCCATACATCGTCAAAAGTTCACGAGGGCAATGCTGACGCTTGCGATCTCTAAAACGTTAAACAGCGACTGTGCCACGCCTATGACCCGACAGCCATCGGAGGCCTCTTCGCTTAGTACTCTCACGGTGGGCGGATGGGAAGACAAGATCACTCCTATTGAAAACCTCAAGGCCCAACCAGGTTACCAGCAAAAGACTCTCGCTGGTGTCTCTAGAGCGCTCGATCTTCCCACGGACCGTCATAGTCCTATCGAGCCTTCATTTGCTGGAGCAGAGTGCTCCGTCCACCTCGAGGCGCCATTGAAGCAGCTGCTTACAAGCCTCGGGCACGATAACGGCTCGGACCTTAGCGCCGTCGTGCTGGCCGCCTGGAGCATTATTTTGTCTCGACTTTCTGGCGAAGACTCCTTTGTCATTGGCACGGGTGGTGCCGACGAGAAGGGCCTGTCCATCAACGCACTGCCTATGCTTGTTGATCTCTCGGGAGAGCCAAACACATTGCAACTGCTCGAGCGTGTGAAGCACGCACTTGTCACCATTCCAAGGCAAGAGAACGACCTCCCCTCATTCCAGGTTGCGTTCTACTCGCACGTTGAACAGTCTGCTCAACCACTGACCGACTATGTTTCCGTCCAGTGTGAGCTCGAGCTGCATCTGCTTCAAGACAAGGAGGATGCCGCTGCAAGAATCCACTATGCCACCGATCTCTACAATAAAGGCACCATCGAGAGGTATGCCGGCTACCTCAAGGCGGTCTTGATGAACATGGTTGTCAACAGCGGCCATCCAGTTGCCTCTTTCGACATCATATCTCCAACTGAGAAAAAACTGCTCCTTGAGACGTGGAACGAGTCAGCCGCAGAATACCCTGCAGACCGCTGCATTCAACGCCTGTTTGAGGACCAGGTGGACAAGTCACCCGAGACCATTGCTATTGTCCATGACGAGCAGGCACTCACCTACCTTGAGCTGAATACGATTGCCCATCGTTTCGCCTGTCACCTTGTCAATGCTGGAGTCAAACGTGGGGACTTTGTCGCCATTCTACTCCCGAGATCTATCGAACTGGTCGCTACCCAGCTAGCGGTGCTCAAGGTCGGAGCAGCTTACGTGCCGATAGATTCCAAGGCCCCCGTGGATCGGCAGGCGTTTATCGCCAAGGATAGCGCTGCAGTCCTGCTGGTCACCAATACCAAAGCTGAGAGCCCTTTTGCGCTGAAGCTTCCATTACTTCGTTTTGGTATGTCGCATGGGGTTGGGATGTGAGGAGGTCACCATGGTTAATCTCGTTTTGATGTAACTGAATTCTAACTACGACCTTCATTCTTCGCAACTGCAGACACATTCGCGTTGCTCAGCGCGGAGGCAGATGGGTCCAAAGTCAACATAGCAGAATCCAGCTTGGACACTGCCTATATCATGTACACATCCGGTTCGACTGGTATTCCTAAAGGTGTAATGGTTCCCCACCGCGCTATTGCTCGTCTTGTCATGAACAGCGGTTACGCAGACATCGGTTCCGATGACCGCGTTGCTTTTGCAGCCAATCCTGCCTTCGATGCAAGCACCTTTGAGATATGGGCACCATTGCTCAACGGTGGTCGTCTTGTCGTTATTGATTCCGACACATTTGCCAACCCGCAGCTCCTCGCTGAAGCATTGAGTAGGCATCAGATCAACACGCTTTGGCTCACCATGGCTCTCTTCAATCACTATGTCTATACCATGGGTCCTGCCCTGGCCAAGCTGAAGTACCTTCTCTGCGGTGGAGAGCAAGGCAACCTGGAGACGTTCGCTGCCCTGCTGAAGCATGGTGGACCACAGCATCTTATCAACGGCTACGGACCAACAGAGACGACCACGTTCGCTACAACATTCGAAGCCTTGGAAACAGACGACCAGCCTGAGCGCCTGCCAATCGGACGACCTGTCGGCAACACTCGTGTGTATGTACTGAACAAGCAAAGCAGGCTGGTGCCAATTGGTGTGGTGGGCGAGCTGTACATTGGCGGCGATGGTGTTGCCAGCGGCTACCTGAACCGACCGGACCTCACGGCCGAGCGATTCCTCCCCGATCCCTTCAGCAAGAGCGAGGGTGCTCGCATGTACAGGACTGGGGATTTGGTCCGCTATCTTCCCGATGGAAACCTGGTCTTCATGGGCCGCAACGACGATCAAGTCAAGATTCGTGGTTTCCGAATCGAGCTCGGCGAGATTGAGGCTCGTCTTGTGGAGCACGATCTGGTCAAGGAGGCTGTCGTTGTTATTCTTGGTGAAGGAGAGGAGAAGCGTCTCGTA